CTCCATACTTTCTGAATTTTACAGTCCCTGCCCCCTGGGACCTGAAGGATGGGGACAAAACCACTAAAATTAATGCAATCTTTAAAAATCTTCTTCTTTACTCTTTGACATCAATTGCAAGTAGTCAAACTGTGGGCATGAATGTAATGAGCATTGAGTCCTGTACCAAAATTGTGAAAGTCATGGCCGCGGGGTCAGGGGTCCTAGTTCTAGGGAAGGGCTACATACATGTAGATAATATAGTGAAAATGCATTATTTCTTTGAAAATCTTCTCTGCTCCCGGGTATTAAGGTATACCTTTACTCAGATGATAAAAAATTCCACTGATAAGAACGAAAAACCACCTATTGCACATTGTACACATGTGATTCTTGTGTTAAATTTCAATTTCAAATAACTAGGTCAATGACCTACTTTTCGTGCTAGTGGGCCATGAGTATTTGTCGGAAAATGCCCAAATTTTTCACACTATGACCAATTTTTTCTTCACTCAGAAAATATTACAAGCAACAAAACTCTCTAAATAATGAAATATTATAGCAATGGAACAGCGTTGCTTCATAGAAAGAAACGATTAGAGTTTGGGTCATAAACTTGATAATTATTACAGTCCGAATTTCCTCTGTCATATTTATATTTTTCTCATTTTTTAATTGAATATCATAAAATCTGAATGATAAGAACACTAAACTATTTATAGCCTCAGGTAACTTTTGTTGCCCTAATTCTCAAAGTAATAATATCATATTGGGTCATTGATCAATTTATTGAGATCGTCTGGAATGGTTTTTGTTCATATTTTTGAATTTCTTTATTTCACGGCATTCAATTATTTGAAATAACTTATGAGCTTTAATATGAGCTTTAACACATATAAAAGTTGCAAAATGGTGTTTAAAAATACATATAACCTTTACATTGTGTTGAATATTGCAAGAAATAAAAAAGAATTGACAAAAATGAAAATCAAAAAATTAGTCCGAATTTCCTCTGCACTGCCATACATTGACTTTTGTTCCTGTATATTTTCTTCAAATAATAAAATATTCAATTTTTAAATTGACATTGAGCTAAAACTTAGTTATTTTATGCATTCAGAACAATTTTTGATATAACATATTATACTTTATAAAATTTCCTGTCTGTTTTTTGAAACCTGAGTAAACGTCATCCTTAAATAAACTAACAAAGGTCAGAGTAATGATGAGCAAGAATGCCTCTTCCAGAATTGTGATTTTTTTTTTTACATCAGGGTCAGGGGTTCTGGTCTTAGGATGGGGCACTATTAATTGATTGATTGATTTTTTGTTTATTGTGTAACGTCCCTCTCGAGAATTTTACACTAGTATGGAGACGCCACCATCAGCCGGTGGAGAGCTGCGAATTTTGTCCTATACTCGATCGACACTCAGGACCATCGAGCAATGAGGGATCTTTTTCATGGTCCCAGTGTCGTGGGTTCTGGTGTTAAGGTGGGGCTCTATTAATTATATAGTGAACATTCATTAATACTTTGATCTTCAAGATAAACTTTGAAGATGAACCTTCTTCTCTTATCCTGGGTTTTAATTAAGCAGATGAACTACCTAGATATATCTATAATGTGCAAGGGCCCTTCTAACTTCCAGAATTAATGTAAATTTCAAGGCCCTTGGGTCAGGAGGTACTATGGGGGGGGGGGGGCTCTACTTATACTGAAAATGAATTAAATGTTTGAAATCTGCTCCTTGGTATTAATAAACATTTAGGATAAGCAAAGGTGCCTTTTCAAAAATTGTGAAATATGTGGATCTACACGTAGTATTAGGGCTTCATATGTGGTAGGAGCCCTACTGATTATTGCTGAATATTACTAATAAGTTGAAATGCATTTTTTGTTCCCCTACCCTGCCTATGGGTATTAGTAACTAAACAAAGTAATTGCTAAGTGTATAATTATGATGAGCAATGGTGCCTCTTTCAAAATTTTGAATGCCATGGCATCTACCAAACTCAATCACTGGAAAGCTGTTGTATGATGTTCAAGTGACCTTTAAGGCCCATGGGCCTCTTGTATTTATATACATGAGGCCTAGTGCGTAGCTCTTTTTTTCTATTGTAAAGTGTATACTAACGATATTATGGGGCATGGGATGCTTTCTTTCCCTGTTTCTTACATTATTTAAAATACTCGTACATGTACAAAAATCGTTAATGGCTTCGTGTAACAGTGCGAAATATCTGATGAAGATATCCCTTTATTTGTACATGTACATAACATACTTATAAAGTAAGTGATCTAGAATTCCAGATCCCGAAGTAAACTAGTATAATGCATGCTTCAACTGAAATTTCAAATACCAGGGTAGTTTGTACTGTGGGAAGGTCCAATGACCACAGGCACTTGTTTCTCTAATAATTTTTAAACTGTTCTACAAAAATTCCTAGGAAAAATATTCTCTGCTGTTGAACTACAAATTCAAATCAACAAAAATTATGAAATGTCTCAGATGCTTACTGGATAAATAAGCTTTTAACACAACACATTTGCTAAAATTCAAAATGATGAATTAGCTGAGATGTACATTACATCATTTATTCAAATTACATTTTTGCTGGTTTTTGTTTTAGAATTTCACACAAACTAGCGAATCCTCTGATTCATGAAACGAGAGAAGAGGGACATGAACTACTTCTGCTTCTTCCCTTGGCGTGAGTTTGTGTCAAGTGATTCCCCCATTAATGAATTCAGTACACGCTATGCTCCTAAATAACAAACTTTAAGATAAACGGATGAAAAACAAGCGCATATATGACCTGGATCAATATTTCTTACCCATAACCAAATATATATCAAATCGTGTGTATAACTTTTAAAATTGTATATTTTATTGAGGAGGCTAATGACATGCCACGAAGTTAAGGGTATAGGCCAAATAAAGGAGTTTTGACCTTAAATATATCTAAATCTCTTGATGATTATTAAACAATAAAATGCACACGAGGTAGTGAGTCATCATGAATGAAAGTGTAATGAAGTATTGAAATTTATATCCCTTGGTCTAGTAATCATGGTAATGTGAATAATTATTTTTTAAAAAATCTCTGAATTTTAGGACCATAGGATACAGCCTTCACAACAAAGACTAGAGCTTATTTTGCCTTTAGTTGACACAAGTACATTTATTAAATTAATAACCAATAGAACCCAGCATCAGAAGAGCCACCAATATTAGCTGCAAGCACACGTGGACTCAATACGCACGTTGATTTATGGTCAGCAAACTGCAAGTGAACAATTTTACACCATAGAGGAAATATTAGCAGTACTGTTTCTGCATTGCCTGCACGATTAATAATTTACCCCATAAACCATAATGAGATATGTTTATCTTCAAAGGGTGTAAAGACTTGTACCATAAAAGAAGAAAGGAAGATAATATATCGCCCAAAAAGCAATTGGACAGTCCGTCTTTCTAGAAATCAATAAGGAAAGCCAATTTTCTCTTAAAGAATAAACACTGACCATATAAGAGGGCCGAATTAATATGTAGGTGGTACCGCATGAAAAATGGCTTCTGTCTGGAATGGATTGATTTTTGACAGTAGGGAATTCTGGTTAATATCTTGTAATGTTGCTGGGAAATGAATTACATATATCATGTATATGTGAGTATTACACAAAGCTATTCTGTTTGATAATAAAGCATTACTAATTGATTCTTACAAGAGAGAATCAATTTTCAAAGGATACAGTATAGTAATGATCCCTTAGTTCTTTTATATTCTGTGTCAAGTTCAGAAACATGGTACAATAAATTCCAGAAATAAAGTAGAAATACCGATCCATTGCTGTGTATCATACAATTCTTCCAAATTGAATTTAAGAAGAAATGAATATGCAATTGTTGAGAACCGTAAAAAGTGAAGTTGGGGTGGTAACAGAAATCATTGTTAATTGTGTAAACTAACGTCAAGAATCTCACTATTCACAATGGAGGAGGTAATTAATGTTTAACTGTATGGTAGCGCATTTCTTACTTTTTAATTTCTTTTCTTCTAACGCAAAGAAATATAACATTAACGTTAGAATGCACTCCAAAGATACATGTATGACTGCAATATTTTATCCACTGAATGCTTGTTGGCCATTCAAGTTGGACCAGCTTTATACAAATCTTAATTAAAAGCAGAAACTACAACATTTTTTAATGAAATGAAATTGAATTGCTTTGTATAATAGTTATATCAAAAATAAATCTTTTAGAATAAATTATAAATTCATTTACAATTTTAAAGCATTACACAACCCTTTCATAAGCTGATCACACGTCTACAAAAGACCTTAGAGAATGAATTTAAGAGCATACAAAAATCATCAACTTTACTCAAAATATAGATCTATTCAACGTCTCTGCTAGATCGTATGTTTATATAGCAGTGAACTGTGAGAGTTATCGTTCATTATACACTGTCTTAGTAAGTAGAGTACATGTATGCCAGTGCATCAACGATAGTTGGAAACGTGGGATAATACTCAAATTATCCCATGTTTCCAACTATCGTTGATGTCCCTGGCATACTCTACTAATTTAACTAGACAGTGAGTTCTTATATTTGAAATAAAATTGTGAATTATGATTTTAAAAATGTAGATTAATAAGTTTAAAAACATATAAAAATCATCTTGAAAAAAAATTCTGCTCAAGAACAGGGAAATCATGTGTAGTCACATTATAATAGGAGCATCATTATGTAGTGATGATTCAAATATGTTTAAATTTAGGATGGGTAGATCGAACCAGTAAAACATAGGAATACCAAGGGAAAAATCATTAAAAATTCTTCTGCTTTATATTTAAGTCAAGCCACTAATCCGTTCGATTGATAAGTACATATTGAATAATTCTTTCAATTATATAATTGTTCTAAAAATACGAGAAAAGCTCGTGTTCCGAGAAATGTTAAAAATTAACTTATGTTTACGTAAATTCACTTATAACACGACAAATTTGTAAGGGCTGATTGGCGTATAAGATACGACTTCCGCTTTGTCATTTAAACAAAAAATAAAGAACACGAACACTTAGAAATATTGGCAATTGTATGGATGTTCATGTGCATTTATTTTGTTAAAATATCTTCACAAAGCGCGAAAATAAACATGAGACAGAGGAGAAGTTCATCTGGACCAAAACGCAGGGGTACATAAATTTTTCATTTTCTTCCACGGTATCTGTTTGTCTGTATGATGTCTAACTCTCTCGCTCTCTCTCGTATGATATAGAATGTTAACAACTAGTTAAAATAAGGAGGAGGATTGGAGTCTTAAAGAGCAACAAGACTTTAAATACCTTAAATGTTAAGATTTAATGTGTCTTCCCTTTATACAATTTTGAAAAAAAGATGTAAACACAGAATTCGATGTTATGTTTTAGTATTTCAGAAAATATCGTTATGTATATCCTCTTTAAGCCATTTAGCCCGATTCCTTACACATATACTAGCATGATTATTGGAAAATAATTAATGGAACTGGTTTTACCTGCCCTTCTGTAGGAAACTGTAGTAGATCTCGTTCTCCCAGATGTAGAACAACAACACCAACATCACAATCAACAACTTCAACAAGACAACCAAGAAGGTCAACAAGGCAATCAACACCTACACGGAGGACAACATTAAACCAAACTGTCACATCTCCAGAGACAACAGCAGTAATCTCAAACAACAGTGCAAGAACACCAACAGCAGGCAACATTACAAGGACAACGACAACGCCAACACCAACAACATCAACCACAAAAGACGCCACAACAAGTTGGAAAACCGGTAATACAGTCATAACCACCAAATCTCAACTAGGTTGGTACAATAAAATTTTATGTACTAGTAGATGCAGAGAATATATTAGAATGATCATAGAAATTAACATTCTGAGAGTATTGCATAAGCAATGCATGTCCCCTACCGGGTTCCCCTTTTCATTTTAGGAAAAAAGCTCGTTTGGAACTTTAATTTTGTGCATAATGAATTCGATCGTAATCCCAATTTTGAAAATTTAAAAATGCCATATTTCCTTCAAAAACAAATGAAGCGGAGAAAATTCAAACTTGATCTGAACCTCATCAAGATACACTCATATACCAAAAATCAGCAAGCGTTTAGGAAAAAAGTGCGGAAAACCAAGTGGGACAGACTGACAGACAGACGGAAGGACAGCTAGACGAACGGACGGACGGACAGATTCAGAGGAAACCTATAGTCTCTACCGGTGAACCCTTCAGTATCACCGGTAGGGAACCAATAAGATGTGAGGTACAGAATGTATTGCTTTATCAAAGAATTGAATGAAGTAGAGGATATATGAATGTTTAGATCTATAAAAGGATCCAATGTAGTGGAATAGGGTTACCAAGCTAAATGTTAATCGGGGCCATCATTGGTTATCATGCCTTATATAGAAAGAAACTTTACTGCATCAAGAGAAAAGCTAGCTTACTGGCAGTATAAGTTCTCCATAAACATAAACTTCTTTCCGCCGAGAGAAGCTTCAACCCGAAGATAAGTATTGCTTCTCTTTGAGTGATTGGGGTCTCTTCAGCCACAGCACCAAATACTGCCCATAGTCAAAGTCCTACCACTATTCCTAAAGCAGGTCTGGGACCTCTTCAGGTACAGCAACACCTGCCATCAACAGACACTGAGTCTGCAAATGGACACTAAGTCCTACATGTAGCTTTAAGATTTCTTGAAGCGGATCGCCAAACCCGTTACGCTGTCTCCATTTAAGTAACTTCAAATGGTCACTAATCCAAGGGCCAGACTCGCCATTGCTTAACTTGTCTGATATAGAAAAAAGACTCTTCTGTTACAGTATGTTACCTGCACTTTCTTTAGTGGATAGTATACAGGGAACTTAAACTGTCTCGTTTGTTAGTCAGTTATTTAAGTACATGTATTTATTAATCGGAACGTTACGATTAAGAAAAAAATGTGTACAAAAACAACTTGTAAAAAATGATTGATATGGAACTTTGGACATAATAATATATTGACGCTTGTCTCTTCTTGGTGTTGAAGGGGAACAAGAAGAGTCGACACATTTACATGTTGCACTGATTCCAACAATTATTGGTCTAGGAATCATCCTGACTCTCCTCCTTTGTTTTGTGTACAAAGAGAGACTTAGGAATAATATCAGAAATCTTGTAAACAAAGTAAGTGAAATGATTTAAAGCACAACTGATTAAAATTTTCATATATTAAGCTTAAAATAAATTGACAGCACAATTATAGGTATTTACCATTGCACGTCACAAGCATAATAATGACTTTATATATAAGTTGCTAAATTTTGAAGGGAAACATTTATGTTCAGAGGGGATTTCCTGAACGAAAATTTGAACTTTCAAAACTTATGCGTATAAAAATAGTAATCTATGATTTTCTTTTTTTCAAATCAGCTCAGGAAAAACAAAACAGATGCTACTAATTTTACGACCTTAAATGAAGAGGAGGGTAATAGTGAAAATCCCTATGATCCTTCCACATATTCTGTTATTGAAAACCACGTTGTTGTTTCCCCACTTCCGGCGAGCAGGCCAAGTCAACAGGAAACAGTTCTGCAGGCTGAAAACTATAGTGCGCTAGACAGACGAGTAGAAAAATCTGAAATGAACAAGATTCATAACAATGATTATGATTTGCTAAATCACCCCAACCAACCACCAATGAACAGTAGCAACGTTTACAGCAGTACTGACCCAGCTTTCAGAAGCACAGAAGCAACACTGTCAAATACATATGGTTTTTACCAATAATATGGCAGTGTATTACAATCAATATTTGTATACTAGGTCATCACAACTGTTTTGTCAAATTATCAGTTCCAGTATTAATTTTTTTTATTGATAAACAAAAATCCACAAACATTAAAATTTAAAAGAAAACGTTCTTATATTTGTTGGTTTGTACATGTAATATTTCCATTTCTATTTTTTTCTCTCTGTGATAACTCTTTGAAAGTTAGGGGTAGTTTATTTCTTGATAATTCTGCCGGAATGTAAATTAAGCAGGTCGATAGGTCGGGAGCTAAGGAGGCCTAATACGCATGCAATTCTCGTGCGCATCTGTCTCTGTGTCTGACGCTAAGGAGGCCGAATATGCATGTAAATCTCGTGCGGCTGCCTTTGTGTTTGACGTCGGTTGGCGAGGACTATTGAAATTGGCATGGAAGTCATCATGTGATTTAAATCTATTTATCTACATTTTTAAAGTCTAAATCTACAATTTTATTTCATAATGAAATGGAAATATAAGGAATCACTGTCTAGTTAGGAGGGTATGTCAGGGACATCAACAATAGTGGGAAACATGGGATAATTTAAGCATAACGGGCTTCGCCCGTTATGCAAATTATCCCATGTTTCCCACTATTGTTGATGCCCTGACATACCCTCCTAACTAGACAGTGATTCCTTAATTAATTAGCGTTCGTTCATGTGAACATACTTTCCACAAATCTCTGAGCTTCTTTGTAAACGCACATGTCTCTAAGCTGAGAAAGAGATGTTCTTATTGCAAGAAAGTTTTACCAGTTTAAATTTTATGCACAAGAAGAAAGTAAAATAGAGAATACTGAAGCACAAAACGACTAGGCATATGCCATTTTTATAATACTTTTTACATCAACACCGAGCTCGAGGTATCCAATCGCATTCGTTTCACCTAATAACTCTATTGTTTCAGGTATCGACGGGACCTATATTTATATTTTATTGCAATCACGTGTATTTGTGTTTGTACACTGCACTGACTTATGCAACTGTAGTAAGATTCGTTGGTGTCTTACTAATCTGCTTTAAAAGAGGTACACATTTATTTTACTCGCTACCTTAGTGCTGTATTGCATTCTTCCGTCTACATCGTTGACGACCTGTTAGGGCCGGTGTAACGACGAAAAGTGACCCCCGTAGAATATTGACCGGGGGTCATATTTCTATGTAGAAATTTGACCCCCTGGTCAAAATTCTACGTAGAAAAATGACCCACTTTTCTGTAGAAATCATGGCCTTGGGGTCATTTTTCTCCGTGTGCAACGTAGAAAATTGACCCGTAGAATATTGACCCCTTATCATTTTTTGATGCAAAAACAATTCGTTTTAGTAGGAATATTCTTGTTTGGCGTATGCATACGGGTAATATCAAGCTGCCTTATGTTTTGAAGTGTTAATTTCTGAAAGCTTTTAAGCTAAAATAACAAAATTAAAGCTTTAAAATATCTTACATTAATGATACATACTGTTTTATCCCCACTAAAAGAAAACAATATTAAAATGTTCTAACTAAAGGCTACATATATAAGAGCAAAGATACGAGAATTCATAGAAACGAGTTTATTACATTTTATGCAGTAAGTTTCCACAGTTGCCATTTTAATCTTAAACAAGAGGCCCGGGGGCCACAGCGCTCACCTGAGCACATCGGGCTTGAATTTAACCCCCCCCCCCCAGGCGTTCATCATTTGAACAAACTAGAATCCACACTATCTGAGGATGATTTCATATAAATAACACTAATATAGCTTTGAAGTGCTTGAAAAGAAGATTTTAAAAGGTTTCCCGATATATCCCTATGTAAAAATTGGGTGGGCCATTTTGGCCCCACCCTAGCCCCAGGGGTCATGATTTGAACAAACTTGAATCTACACTACCTGAGGATGATTCCACATGAATTTCATCTTTCCTGGCCCAGTGGTTCTGGAGAAGAAGATTTTTAAAGATATTTTCCTATATATTCCTATGTAAAACTTGGGTCGGCCATTTTGGCCCCACCCTAACCCTGGGGGTCATCATTTGAACAAATTTGAATCTTCACTACCTGAGGATGATTCCACATGAGTTTCATCTTTCCTGGCCTAGTGGTTCTGGAGAAGAAGATTTTTAAAGATTTTTCCTATATATATTCCTATGTTAAATTTGGGTCGGCCATTTTGGCCCCACCCTAGCCCTGGGGGTCATCATTTGAACAAACTTGAATCTACACTACCTGAGGATGATTCCACATGAGTTTCATTTTTCCTGGCCCAGTGGTTCTTGAGAAGAAGATTTTCAAAGATTTTTCCTATATATTCCTATGTAAAATTTGGGTCGGCCATTTTGGCCCCATCCAAGCCCCCAGGGGTCATCATTTGAACGAACTTGAATCTACACTACCTGAGGATGATTCCACATGAGTTTCATTTTTCCTGGCCCAGTGGTTCTGGAGAAGAAAATTTTTTAAGATTTTTCCAATATATTCCTATGTAAAACTTGGGTCGGCCATTTTGGCCCCACCCTTGCCCCGGGGGTTATGATTTGAACAAACTTGAATCTACACTACCTGAGGATGATTCCACATAAGTTTCACCTTTCCTGGCCCACTGGTTCTTGAGAAGATTTTTTAAAAATGCCATTAATTTTTCTCTAATTCATAATTATCTCCCCTTGGAAAAGGGCCTTGCCCTTCATTTGAACAAACTTGATTTCCCTTTACCCAAGGATACTTTGTGCCAAGTTTGGTTAAAATTGGCCCAGTGGTTCTTGAGAAGAAGATGAAAATGTGAAAAGTTTACGACAACAACGACAACGACTACGACAACGACAGACAACGGACAAATTTTTATCAGAAAAGCTCACTTGAGCCTTCGGCTCAGGTGAGCTAAAAAGGTCCTTTCTAAACTTCCGCCAGAGTTCGTTTGTACCAAACAAAATCTCAAATCTCTATGTGCGGAGACGCAGAGGACTATATGGGTAGTATGGATCATTTCTAGCTGGTGTCAGAAAAAAAGTTCCCGTTATTAATCAATAATAATTCTCTTTGATTTTACCTTGGATACATAATTTTTCAAAAATTTAACGATTTTTATCCCTACTTTTAAAACTGGCATGAAAAAGGGTTCCAGCTTAGAAAATTCGTATAAAAATATTTGATTTTCTAAGAATGAAGTTTCAAACTTCTCATTAAGAATAGGGATGATTTAATTTGTAAAAATAAGTACGAAATTAAATTGCCTCAGACCTACATGTATGATACAACTGAAACAAAAATTGATTAGCTCATAATTTGTAAAATGTCTTTTGTCGTTTGCTAGTGTCAACACTTAAACCTTAACAAAATGGGGGTTGTAGCATAAAACATGATTAACTAAAAAACGACGTGCTCGTCTTTCCAAAATAGGCACATATAGTATCGTTTTGTCCGTTCTATCATGTACTTAATAAAATACATATGGTGATTATAGGAGTTTTTTACCAAAAGAAAAAATTTGGATGATGAAAAAGTTGCTACTTTACATGTTATACTTATGCCCCCGTAAACGAAGTATCGGGGGTATATAGTTTTTTACCTGTACGTCTGTCTGTTTATATTTGTCCGCAAAAACTTGAACCTTGCCTATAACTTTAGACTTGGTAGGACTATGGCTTTCATATTTCACAGGTGTATTTTTGTGATAAGATCTTTTTTATGTACAATCATATTTTACCTTTTTACATTGACCTTGGAGTTTGACACAATTTTACGCAAGAAGGATATGGAGATAACGAACAGTATTCAATATCCAAGTCCATAAAACAATTTAAAATAAAAGTAGAGCAAAAACGGACCTCCGAAACATCAGAGGTGGGATCAGGTGCCATAGAGGAGTTAGCATCCCCTGCTGACCGGTCACACCCGCTGTGTACTCCTTGTCATGATCGGGAAATAACGGAAAATCCGTAGTCAATTCATTGTATAAATAATGAACTAACAATCAGTATGAAAAATGTCAGTCAGTATTTGACTTAATGATAAATTGTATTCGCTGACAAGGTCATTGTATCGACCATAGAACTTACGAAATGATGACTTTAAACGAGACTGCTGATATTCTTGATTCATCAACTTGCTTGTCAATAACTTACCTCATTTTAGAAATTGTTCATACGTAGAGAATGCTCTTGCATATCGAATTAACTGAGATATATATACACTTCATATGTAGGTGATGAAGGTATATCGCTGCATAAGCAAGGGAAGTTGACGATAGAAAAGTCAAACTCATCACATTTATCATATAGCTTGGTTGTTAGATTACAACTAACGTCTTTTGCAAGTAAAATATCCAAGTATGAAACAGATGTGTCAGACTCTGTGGTATCTTTCATCTCAAGCTCAGCAAGATATATCGTATCGACGTAGGAATGAAAATTTCCATTGTTAATTGACAATACGTGTTTTCTTCTTTTCACACATTGCACAAATTCTGCTTCTTATGATTCAGAATATAAAAATAGATCTGCCAATAACGGAGCGCAGTTGGTACCAATGGGAATTCCAATATATAGATTGTTGGAAAACCACATAGATACTGTCAATGAGTAACTCAGGCACCTCTTTCATATCAACTTTAAAGTACTTATGTGTGTGCGATAAGAATGTGTTTTTACAAAATAATTTTTCAAATGACCAATGACCAGGTACTAGTAAGTAAATTTAGGAGTTCCATTTTTATTAAAAAGCAGCTGTCAATGATTTAAAAATTCCTGGTTCACACCACTTCTTGAACATATTGTTGCGCAGTACTCTTGAAGTTTTTCTATATTAGTGTCAATATTTTAGTGAGGAGTAACGAAAGAGGTTTGGTTGAGCATTTACTGGAACTCGCAATGTCTTTTTTTGGAATCCAATATATATAGGATAATTCAAATACATTTTTGCTCTGTGGAATATTAAAATCTATATTATCAAAAATATTTAAAATTGACATATGATTTTGAAGAATTTCTTTCTTAGAAAGGGAAGTATGAGAATAAGTAGAATCACCACTTGTAGAATTTAATCCAAGTTCTTCTACAATATAATATAATGAGCCTTACAAACGAAGACAATGTTTTACCTGCATTGTTGGCAGGGACCAGTACGTACTGATCATGTAATCTATCTATCTTTTTTCACTTTTGGATTATTGAACACAGAAGGATAGATGGTTTTCATATTGCCCCTCAATCTTTTAACACGCGGCTTTCACATGGATCTGAAACATTTAATCCATTCTGAAAAAAATTCAACAATTCCACACTTTTACTTTGGCATTAACTTTTGGACGGTATGTGCTAGGACTATATCGAAGTAGTGGCATGACTGAGAGTTCTTTTATTTGCAAACTTTAGGTAGTGTCTATAAAATCTCAGAAAAAAGGGGATGCAACAGCAACCATTATTTGTTAGTTGTCTTTGGGCTAAAAAGTGATGAAAAGGGAAGATTTTTTTTAATTACAAATATCTCTGAAGGTTGAACTATTATTCACTCATGATCAGATGTAATTTTTTGCCAGTTTTGGGGGAATTTTTAATATCATTACAAGAACGTTCTCAATTGAATGGTATTTCCTGTATATACATGAAAAAGTATAGTTCTATATATAAGGGAGTTAAAAAGTATATATTTTAAAGGAGAATTAATGCATACAGATGTATATGTAAGTATAAAGATAAGAGCTAAAGTAATTGAATTCATATACATGTGTAGTTAAAAAAACGTTGCTTTTCTTGCTTCTGGGCTATGCTAATGGATCTGTAAAAATTTTCAAAGTTTATTATTATCAGAAACATATCATGCCATTTTCAGAATAAAACATTTGAGTGATAAAAAAACCCCGAAAAATATAATCATAAATTTATGCTCCTTAAATGTATAAATATTCATTTGCATTCTGCAAGTCAAAAATATATCTATACCCGATACATTGATTGTAATGCTACATTTAAGATATGCAATTGAATATATGTTGGAAAGGATTAAAGTACATAAAAAATTCCCATTACTTGCATTTGAAAGTATGAAAAAATGTCAGGAAACACATATACAACGTTTTATTGCATAAAAAAGAAGGGGTCAAATTTCTATGGGGGTCATTTTTCAACGTGTGTGGAGTCGTAGAAGTACTGGTCTGGAATGTTTTTCTACAGTCGAAAAATGACCCTGCTTGTCGTAGAATATTGACCCGGGGTCATTTCTCTACGTAGAAAAATGACCCCCTGGTCAATATTCTACGGGGGTCACTTTTCGTCGTTACACCGGTACATGTACACGCTGTAAGGCTTGCCTTATAAGTCATGGAACTTAAGTTGTATATGTAGCCTTAACGTTTCTTGGACCCTTACAAGTCTGACTTAGGAATACATGTAGAACACTGCTTTATATCTTTTTACAAGACTCAGTTGACATTTGTATTTTAACCAATGAAAACCCAAAGTTCAATCTATTTTTATGAAACAATACACTTTGGTATATTGAAGAAAACACGGAGTATATTCGAATAAGATCATGAAAATATCCGCAAATACTTCAGTTAACCTCCACTTCTTTGTTAAGAAGTGTTGATGCACTGGTCGGTAAAACTATATTAATTTAATGTCCTGGTAGGCCTATATAGTAATCTATTATTCTGTTTAATAATGTGCACTGTTTATGGCTCAAAAGCACATGGAATTTTATGTGAATGTTGTTTATAATATTGTACGAGGGCTGTTCGAAAATTATTGAGACATTGTGTATATTTTGCTTTCTAATGAACGTCTTTCGGTAAAAATTTGCATAAACGTTTGACATACACTAAAAATAAATAAAAACAAGAAATATTTTACAAATATTAAAATTTTTCTCTACAATAGCATATAAATGTGTCAGTAGTAGGGGTACCCAGAGCAGTCGCGGAATCGGACATTGAAAATATGCAACACCAATATTCTAACTCTTCATGGATCCATAATGAGAGCGAAAATAATTTAGTTTAACATTATAATTTTTCAGCTTTATTTCAAAGTCATGTTGTGCAACTTTGATAGAATTTTGATCAGAAGTACGGAGATCATAAAAAAAATAAGCGCGGTAGAGAAATCTGCTAACAACAACAAAATGGATTTTGACGTCAAGGGCGGAACAGCCAGTATACCTAAAATTTTGCGCAGCGAAATATGGAACTCTTTTCAAGACTGAACGACCTGCTAAAACAATAACAACGAGGAAGAAAATAATGTGTTAGGGCTTGTTATTTCACTGGTATACATTACTTTACAATTAATTTATCCATAGTAAAATTAAAAGCTCTGGACGACCATGAGTTATTACGTACGGTATTGATATCGTTACGGCATTAAACCTGCGTTGCAAAAATTGGCACTGCATGATTCTAAGTCATCCTTTCCCACAAATGAAAATTTTTCACTGGGGTAGCAACAGTATACATTTTTAAAGAATAGTTTAAGAAAAGAGATTGTTTGATTTTTGTTATGTTATATATGTAATAAAAAGAAGGATTAAAATTAAACGCTTCCCGATCGGTTCACATGCGAAACCATCTACGACTAACGTAACGTTAATTGAAGTAGCGAGGGTGCTGCGGGTCGATAGACATATGCATATTTATTAGTTCACCGAAATTTATCTAATTATCATAGGAATAAGAAATTTTGCTTAAGTGTTTTAGTCGTTCTTTATAAGATGTGGATGAATTTTCATGAAATTACATGTATCTCCGTCCTTTATGGAATAAATGTAATTGTCTCAATAATTTCCGAATAGCCCTCGTACGTCTTGCCTTAACATATGGACATGAGAACCGCCCGTCCTGCAAAACGTAAGGCTTTAGACTTATAAGGCAAACCTTACCGTGTGTACCGGCCCTTTCACGTAAGTGAGCGCCTTTACACATGTAAAGCGAGTAAAAATGGCTTAGTGGGAAATGAAGACATTTTAATTGTGGTTTTTTTTTTCATTTTGCATATTAAAGTAAATGATGGTATTTTCTTTGATAACTTTTGCTAAAATAAACAACTTACAATTAAATCAGACTTCTTACTCCAGCTGATGGCTTTTAGAACGTAATTTATTTAATTTATTTAATCATGGGTTGTAAGACTCAAGACATGTACAATGTGTATCCGCCAATATTATTACGTTGTATTAAGTTAATGGAATACTTTTTTGTTTCAACTTCTTCAAACTCAAGATGCTGTTGTATTCAGTACTAAGGATCTTTGGAAACATCATTTGAAAATGTACAATGCTTTGTTACTGGCTTTATCAAATTTTCTTACCTTAGAGGGCGCTATAGAAAGCGGAATATATAACTCTACATAACATTTTTTTCGTCCTAAATCAAATTAATACGATTTATTTTTTATGTCATTAGCAAAAAAAAAAGATAATTGTAATGATAGTTCTTCTGTTTATGTGTAATTAATGTTTGCAATGGTTGTAACTATTGCAGAAAACCCTGTTTCTCAATGGGAACGGACATCATAAAGGCTATTCTGAAAGCAGAAAAAAAAATTATAGTTAAAATTTCTAAATTTACTGAATCTAATGTCATAATAATTATAGGAATGTCATTATACAGACATTTTTAAAAGAAAAAAATATAAATGGAAAAATAAGCATGTCCTCAGAGCTGAATGAATGCTTAAGAGCTTGCAGTGACTAACTCTGAGGTCACTTATGTAATTGTGGATACATGTATATATGTATGTTTACATCATGTTAGTAATGGACATCGCATGAGTCATTTCCAATACATGTAAATTGTCAGGAGACGTGTAAATACACTTGTTAGAAGATTAAAAAATTGTAAACATTCAAATCTACCGTATATACCGAATTACAGCTTGGAAATGAGAATGGACGAAAGTGAACGGGAAAGTGAAGGTAATTTCTCTCTCTCTCTCTCTCTCGCGCGCGCCCGCTGCATTACGATAGCAAAACATATTAATCACTTAAAAAATAGACGAGAGAATATTTGATGAAAATTATTGATTAATTATTGTAGAATTCGTGTAATTGGTGAAGTACCTTAAGATTGTGTTACCTGCATGTTTATTAGAGGAATTTTTGTATCTACTGTATAATTATATCGGATGGGTTATTAGAGATAGATAAGGCCTGTATAGAAAATAGGAGGGTTGTGGTCAATAATTTACGGTTTTTGTTTCTCAAAATTTTCTTTTGGTGACGTCTTTTTTTCGCTTGACGAAAACGTCTTTTGTGCTCCAAAAATTAACATAATGTCCTATACAGCCCTATGATGTCTAGATAAAAAAGGACTTGTGTCAAGCAAATACATCTAGTATATTGAACAGGTAATCGGCATTATTTTGTATTCGATAGTATATGATTGATTCCATGCAGGTAATTCTGCTTTGAAAACTTTGAAATTACTTTTTTTAAAAAAATTCATTTCAATAGTTTGAATACTATCGTTTTCCTTACTTGGTACATGCACTTATAGCTTATACATGTATGCCTAAAGATGTAGAAATCACCGACTCATCACTTCTATTTTAATCAATCTAGCTTGGAGGGAGGGGGAAAAGATTCGTATACATGGAAAATATATAGAAAGCTTTTTGGACACACCTTTAATTATTTCATTTTAAATCTAAAAAAATATTATGAGATAAAGGTTTTTGACAAATGATATACATGTATAAGAAAAAATACAATGTATGATGCATATTTTACCAATTTTTTATTTTCTGATTTAAAAGATGAAGGTACCGGAATTAGTATTACAACACAAGGGACGACGCAAGGGACAACTGTTACAGGAACAAGACAGCCCATAACTATAACTACAGTATCAACTACAGGTAAGTAAAAAATAAAGAGAAAGATCACATACTGAGAGAAAAGTATACCAGAAATTTTAGATTTTGATTAAGAAATACATGTAATTAGGTACATGTAAATGGGAAATCAATGAGAATTGACAGCTTGTTGAATTTTTAATTTCAACCATTGATATCTCGAGCGCCTTGGTGGATATGTTGAAGAGATTTGGAATTTGCCAACCAATTATTCTTTTTGAAGTATTTCACCCTTAATATCTCGAATCATAGAAGTTCACCCAGATTGAGGTTGTGTGAGGGAAAGTGTTTGTTCGACTGTATATATGTGTGATTGTTGCCAAGAATTAACACACGATAGAACTCTGCTATTCAGTCGACCGAATTGTCACTGAACTGTATAAAAAGATTACTGAGTGTATAAAAAGATTACTGAACGACAGAGCTTTGCCGTTCAGTCAAATTTCAGTAAATATTCAGCCACCTTTCAATTACCTGAATGGAAGACACTCATCCTGTGTAAAAAATGATAAGAAAAAAATGATAGTTTACATGTTTAAATCAATCGATTTTAATATTGTTGTAGTGACTACAGGGAGAAGTGGAATAATTGGCAACAACACCACGTGTAAGTTGATATTTACAGAGTATCACGCACTGTCTTCTCTGCAGGTGAATTGGTATTTCCGTTTAATATGCGATGACTTATTGAACATCTTCAACTACTTCTTGACCCACAATATGTGAACCCTTCATGGCCCCTTGACATTACAATAGCAATGCTTACGCTAATGATATGACTGGGCACTTTACTGGAGCTATATTAAATACTGACATGATTTATGAATTCATGCATAGTCGCAAACCACGGCCAAATGTAAGATCCTCTCCCATTCTGGTAGGGGAGAGCTATATGCGAACCGTGGCTTGAAACGATGGTATTTATGTGCCTTTTTTGAAACTGTTCCAGGCTTACAATTTCTGTATGATTATTTCACTGATTATTTCCATGTTGTGTGTATAATTAAACATTTTATAATGTATAACCAGTTAGATTTTGGCTACAAGTTCTAACAGTAATCCCTGGGCTAAATCCGTTTTAGAGGGTAAACGGGGAGAAGGAATGTTGGCGGGTAGAACGAAGTAGTGGCGAAACGTAAAGGGTAAAGATGCCGTATTCCTTACGGTCTTCCAATATAAAGTCCAAGAATTGGTGAATCAGGTTTCCAAATTTATTAAAGACGATGGTGAATAACAAACATGAATTTTAACAATATCTTACGAGACTTAATCGAGTTGGATCGGGCCTCCAAACTGAAGAGATTATAATGGACATAGATATTTGTAAGATTAAGAGTAAACAATAGTTGACTTTTGACACTAGTTGAGTCAATTGATGGACAAGTGTGTTTCTTTGATAAAATGGACATGAAAGAGATTATAAAGAAATTGTGCAAATAAAGTTATTGGTAAAGGATTAACAAATCCCAAGGCATTAACACCTAACTAGCAACAGTTATTTTGACAGAGTCACATAGTGTCAATTGGAATGTCTTAATCCTATTTCAAAGGGAATGATATAAATAAGACACAATTTACTACAAATAAGCACCTATTAAAAACAGATGAAGAATTTCACAGATAAACGTCCAAATTTAGTATAAAATATTAAAAAGTTATTTTGATTCAAAAATGTTAATTTTGCTCGGTGATAAATGTCCCAGAAGTAAGGACACAAAGAATCAGTGCCTAAGTATTAAATATTCACATTTTCAAAATTTTTATTGTAAAACCGAAATACAATGTTTCTTTTCTCATTATATTTACATGTATTATAAACATGTAATCCAACTGTTTTGGTCTGGCAAAATAAAGTATTTACCTTTTTCAGCATTGCAACACAGTGGAGGACAGAATGACACTGTAATTTTACAGGCTGTGCTTATCCCAACATTTCTGGGCTTAGTCATCATAGTAGCATTGCTCCTTTGTTATGTTTACAAGGCTCAAGTCAAAGAAATTTTAAAGCAAGCCGTAGAACCGGTAAGTTAATACTTATGTACAAGTACAAATATGTCATCTATGAAATGAAGTGTACTTGCTTGTTTGATCTAATATTTTCAAATTGGCTTATTGTTTTAAAAATTAAATATCCATCAGATTCAGAAAAAAAGGAAGAAGGAAGCGGAAATTAATTTTAAAACGCTAAAGGAAATGGAAGACAGTAATCAGACATACACAGATCCTTCCACATACACTACAGTTGAAAATAAAGTGTGTGTTTCGTCACTTCCGGTTCAATCGGAGACTCAACAGGAAGCAGTTCCACAGGAAGAAAACTATAGTGCATTAGACAGACAAAACGACGGAAGGAAAATCGCACCAATTTACGACACCAATTATGACTCACTGAATCATTCGAACCGAACGACAATTTCTAGTATCAGTGATGGAAATAACTACAGTAGTCTCAATTCAGCATTTAACAGCACGGAAAACATTACTTCTAACCCTTATGGTATTTATAATTGATTTGAAAGTTGTCCCGAATTCCTCCTGATATTGTTGTTGTTTTTGAAGTTTATGATTTAAAAGGAAATGCAGATTTTATGTGTGAATAAAAAAATATTAAGCTATATTTTTTCCATGCTTATTTCATCAAGTGAAACAAACTCTGGTAATACATGCTAGAGCCAATTGCTAGGAGAAATTCTATGGCATGTTATGTTACATCAATTTATTATCCCTCAGGCTGGTCCTTTTTTTGTGAGGGGATGCTTTGCATTGCCGTGCCCCTGCTCAATCTTGTTTTGTATAGTTTCTTAGAAAATATAGATTTGATTTTACTGAAATAAAACTTTTGGACTTTGGAAGCTTTTCCAATTTATAGTTGAGGTATGTTTATAGATTTTATAATGACAAGATACTGATCATGAGATTTGATAATTACATGCTAAAGTAAGAAATGAGATATAAGTAGAAATTTCAGAAAAGGCACCATTCCCTGAATATACAATTAGGAGGTGTATTGGTGTCTCATTGATAACAAACAAATAATAAATATAGAAGTATGTGAGTGAAAGGAAATTGTAAATGTAAGTCTACTGCAATCATCTTTTTTATTTATAAATTGTATGCTAGAATAAAAATTCGTTAAAGACCCTGTCCAAAAGTAAGATTAGGATTAACAATACGATCATTAAATGAAAATTTTAATTTAAAAGTAGAACGTTTAATATGTTTTATAAATATCCTTGATCCTTTTATTGCAATTGTTTTCAACTTCTATTGAATATTTTCGACGAAAATATTCAGCACTGTAATAAAGATCAATCAGATTTGGCTTAAACGAGTCGAAGTTAAAATATTTCTTCAGTATATAATACATGTAATTATTATTTGGTCTTTCTTTATATTGATACATGCCTTAAGTAAATTGATATTCCAACTATGACGACATCGTCCAATATTTCGGAAATATATGGAGGGCAGTTTTAAGTGTACAAAGTACTTGACGCATACATGGAATACCTCAACCCCTTTCCCTGTTAAATTACATGCTTCATAAAGATTTCTCCTGGTACAATTGTCCACCGCCTCGAAAGAAGGGAACGATGGGAGACCTCGTGGGTCAATCTTTGGGGAGTATGCAACTAGGACCAAGCCTTAATAGAAGCGGCTTCGATCATGTCAGCCACGGTCTTGCTTCTCCTGTGAAAGGTTTTCTGATTTAATTACTTTTTTCATTTCATTTTTAAAAATTAATGTTTTATCATTATTAAGATTTTTTTTCCAATATACATGTGCATGTACAATTAATTCTTTGCAATATACACTTTTTTTAAAACTGAAGTTTAAAAAAGAAAACAGATTCAACTTTTTTTTCGTGTCTTAGATCATAACATTGACTCGGAAATTTCATTAATGATATTCAGTGTTCATTGCTGATATTAAATAATTATCGGTAGAATGAAAAGTACATATGTATGAAGAAGAAAGATCAACAAAAGACAATTTAAACTTTAACAAACATACAGATGTACATGCATTTTAACGAAAGAAATCAATAATGGATATTCATTAGTTTATGAAAAGTACATGTATTTTATACTTTTTAGCATATATTATGGAAAGCTTGGGAGAAGATTTTCAATTTTACACAGAAATGAAATCAGAAGAAGCTTTGTTGAAAGATGGCAACTTTTCTCAGCACAATATTACAGGTTAACAATTTTTTTAAAAATATTATAATAAATTTAAAATGATTATGCTGAATTCTCAAATATGCATGGTAATATAATCTAAGAATTGTATCAAAGAATAATTTGGTATTTAAAAGACCTCAACGTGTGATTTGCAAGGTTTAAAACAAAAAAAATTATTATGCTATCTAATATTTGGAATTGTATAAAGAACCAATACTTAGATGGACTTCATTCTGGTTATAAAAAAAAAAGCTAAGTAAACATTTTCTTTTATATGTCAAATTTTCAGTCAGAAAATGTTTATACATTTAACATGTACATTACTGAAAGTATGAGACCAGTTCACATTTATTTTCTATTCAGTAACATTTTTAAAAAAAATCATGCATATAATTATATTTATAGTATGGCACTATGTAGCCAATATAAATTTAAAATGCTTTGAAATCTAAACGGATTAATAATAAAGACAATTCTTAATCGTAAATGGAATCTTCTTTTGTTTTGTAGAAATGACATACGAAGAAACTGCAAATTACCACCCCAGTATAGTCATTGTAATGCTAGCGCTGCTCTTGGCTGGACTTATATTTGTCTCAGGACTTCTGTCCTTCATAATCTTCAGAGAAACATTAATTTCTCTGAAAATTAACTGTTTTCGGGTAAATATAAATAATTTTCCCCTAAATTTATTATCAATAATACAGTCTTACATGTATGACTGATGTGTGCGCATTTCAGATCGTATAGCACGGAAACAATGTAAAAATTATATCAAAAGTGTTACGACCTGTCTGTAATACTTTTGCTAACATTTATAACGAAAAGGTACATGTCCAAACACATTATCTACTAATGTTACGATCTGGCGAGGTCAAATGAAAGGACTTACAATTCAGATTTCGAAATTAACATTACCGTCTTTTTCAAGTAAAATATTCAAGTGTCAAACTCTGTGGTATCTTTTATCTCAAGCTCACCAAGATATATCGTATCGACATTGGGATGAAAATTACCATTGTTAATAGGCAATACCTCGTCGATATATCTAAATGTTGAGTTGAAGGCCACATCAAGTATTTTCTTCTTTTTACACATAAGATTTTGCACGAATACTTAGACTACTTCATATGAATACAAAAATAGGGCTGCTAATAACGGGGTGCAATTGGTACCCATGGGAATTCCAATAGATTGTTGGAAAGCCTGGTCTCCCAAAACCACATAGATAATGTCAATCAGAAACTCAAGCATCATTTTGATGTCAACTTCAGAGCACTTGTGTATGCAATCAGAATGTGTTCTAACAAAAAAAAATGCAAATGACCAATGCAGATAACAGACAGCATTCAAGCTCAAAAGTCCATGTACATGTACAATACAAAGTTTTGTACAGAGCAAACACATACCTTTAAAATATCATTGTCATGTTCAGAATTTTAAAAACTATATTGCATTCATTCACGTTCATTTTTTCATACTTTATTAGATTTCTGTTCTTTAAATGTGATTCAAAATCTGTATTGTTTTTACAGTTTCTGTTTTCTAAAGACCAACCAACTGCACAGACTGTACACAGACTTGCAGTAACAGAGAATGATGGAACAACTTACTCGACGATTGTCTTAGAAGAAGTAAACTATACAGATTCAAAACACGTGACGAAAACAGAGGACACACTTAGTTCACCCGACAACCATCACCAATCTAACGATTACAGTCGTTTGAAGCGTAACTATGGCAATAGGATCAACAGTGATGAAAGAGGAAGTAGTCATCTGTATGATTCAGTGGAATTTAACACAAATACTGAGAATAGAGACAGGGTGTATTCAGTAACAGCTGATACTTACTCGGTACAATGCGCATTTCCTCCTGATATGTATGTCATTCATTTTCCCGAGGTGTTCTGAGTATAATTTGTGTGGAATTATTCCAACTTTTAATGATGAATTTTTATTTATGTGATGATGTTAATAATTTGTTAATAAAAAGGTTTCATATCCTTCTGTTTTTTAATCTAGGAAAGCAAAAATAAAATGTTTTTAAGCCAAGTGAATCTTAAAATCAATTACTGTACATTTTTGCAGTACAAGTTAAAACATTTGTTTTTATAACGTCATAAATTCTTTTCATGTTTTAAGGTAGTAAAAAAGGTTATTTCATGAACTTTAAAATGTAATATAACTTCTGTGATGTTCTGTATATATAGTACGCTGTAGTTAATATGCGCGAATGATATTCGTGCAAAGTGAAACGGCTGCTGTAGCATGTGATATGCTGTACATTATACAATAATTATACTGTTGTGCTCTCGAGGAGCTTACTATATCGAAACTTCTAAACCGGAAGAAAGTGATCTAAGTTTTTTCCTTCAACAGGAAAGGTGGTCTCGTTCGATATGATTCAGACATAAAAATAACACATACACACGCACCGATTAAGTCATGTTTTATTTTCAATGTGATTTAATTCTAAATCTGATATTGACTTTGAAAGATGGGTCCAAAAGACTTTGTTATGCAAGGACTTAGTAACCTTAATCTTCAAAAGTCAGGAATAGATTTCAAGAGTATAAGTCTTTCACAACATCGGCGACCAGGTTGGTGCATTTTTAGTTCAATAATCATTTATATCTTAAACAGATATTATATAAAATGTAACATAATAAGGCTGTAAAGGAAAATTATCAGCTCATTAATTCAGCAATATTGGAATTTTTAAAAAAAAAAATCTTAAAATGAAAAGAGTGATCATAAATATTCCTTCTTTTAGTTCAAAGCTATCAAAGAATGGACAACGATTCTTTTTTCAACACAACATCAAATGACACCCTGATTAATAATGCAAGTAAGTATTTTTAATTCTGTAAAACTGTTTGGTTGCTGTAGAAGTTACAATCTGTATTATTTTGAACACTACCCAGTGTTTTTGAGCTAAGAACACACACATTTTCTGTTTTATAAATAACTCCTGTCATCTTCAAAGTTGAAATCAATGCCGTTTCTTAAGCATAATTTGTAAAAATATATAAAATTGACGTGAATTTTTCACACTCTAATGAATAATAGGGAGATAACGATCAGTATTGAAGCTTAAAAGTCTATCAAACAATACAAAATAGGAGCAAAGCAAACAAAGGCCTCCAAAACAACAGATTTCTTAAACTTTCTACTTATATCATTTTAATGATGTCTGAACGTCATAGCGTATCTTCCAAAGTCCATGTAAAACAAAACAGCAATAAAATGAATGGAGATAAATATTGGCGGTTAGAAACAAATTTTTGTCGAGGATAAGATTATATAAATTACCTCTCTGCACAAAACATTCATCGAGAGCAAGATTATAAATTTCCCCTCTGCACAAAACATTCATCCTATAAAGTCTTCCAAACCGGCAAAATACGCCTATATGTACATGTAAATCGATTTCAAATTTATTACTTATTCAAATTAGAAAAAAAAAATCCTTGTTTTCAATATACCTTTGAAATTGGTCTTAGGATATTTCTTTGATAACTCTTTATTTTCTAATTTGTAGCAACAACAATGTCTTCTAGTACCAAAATCTGGGATAAACCCAACAGTAAAGGCTTTCTGGCCGTGACGATTCCTCTCCTGATATCGGGGGTGGTTGTCGTCTTAATCCTTATTGTAGTTTGTGTTCGCTGCAGGAAGAAAAGAGAGACATATTACGGGGAATCTTATGACTTTTCCCTAGTGGACCAGTCTATCGTAAGTAGACATTTCATATCTAGAATCTAGAACGGTTTTTGTTTTGGCATTATTGTGCCCCAGAAAGTTAATGTTTCTAACAAGTTATGAAAATGGGTTTAACATGAGTTGAGTAGATGAATATGATCATTGCTAATTAAGAATAAGGCAAGAAAGAGGGCGATTTTGGAAATGAAAGGCACATTTCTAAGTTTTATGAAGAAGAGCCTCAAAATGACTAGTACTCGTTTCTGTGCTTATTTAGAAAATAGTGGCTGCAGCCGTCGCCTGTGTAGAGCATTTTTTGGGATATACTGTGTAAAATGCGTTGAAAAATCATATGAAATATATTTGTATTTGAAAATGTCATGGGTTATGCATGTACTGCCTGTATCACCCCTACTAATGTGTTCGGAACCTTTTATTTTTCGGTGTTCTGCAAATTATAAAACCCGATGAGTTCAGAGTAGCTCTGGCAGTGGCTCTGGCGAGAGTTAGCGAGACTTCAGCGAGATAGGGTAAATTATTCACGGAAATGTGGCTAGGAAGTGACTAGCACGTGGAGACATGGTAAACAGAAAAGTTATGTTGCGTTTCAGTTTTCACCACCCTAGAATCAGCTGATAATGTCTGCAGAAATGTACTTCAGTCAATCGGTCTCTTTTACATTCATTCAAACTTAAATAAGTATTCTCTATGATAAAATTTTCTGCAGTCATGAATTAAAATTTCTTTATGGACAAATATTTTTGCATGGGAACCGGGACTATATTTTTTGGCGTCAGATTAGCAAATAAGGCACCAGCATGATTTTAACTGACCAATCAGCTGAATGAATATTGCATTATGGGTTACTACGAATACTCCAGGAATTTTACGCTTGAACAAGAGGAAAACCTTATGGTAAATGAAAAGCATTTTTAAAAATATTATTTTCCTGCTCATAAGCAATCCATTTGTTAAATAAACGGCGGAAGTCTAGGTTTCTGAAAGTCATACTGCAAAAGCGATTTGCGTCTGTATTAACTCCTTTGTTGTATTATCGGTGAATACAATTGCCAGGTGAATTCCCTGGCCGAACACGTGATCGCGAACGTAAACAAAGTTTTGTCCATTTAAATGCATGAGATGCTGCTCGTTTTCTTTACCCTTGAAACGCTGACGTTCTGAACTAGACGCAAACTACATTTTATTAAACATTTTTTTCCCATTTAACAACAAATTAAAAACGTCCGAAACATCTTTCATAGTTTCTTATCTTTGTAATTTGTTCGTAAGAACACTTTTTTTTATTTTGCAGTCCATTAACATGATCGTAGATTGACCACAGGCACCTGAAGTATGGATAATAACCCCCCCTTTTTTTAAATGAAAAAAAATGTAAGAATGTATAATTCCTCGAAAATATAAAATTTCCCCGTCAAACACATCTATATGTCGTTAAATACAAGCAGATTGTACTTTTCCTCACGTTTAAAGAATGGCCCTATTCGGTATAATAAAAATACACCTGTATTTTTATTGTACCGAATAGGGCCATTGTTTAAACGGGAGAAAAAGTACAATATGCTTGCATATAACGACATATTGATGTGTTTGACGGGGAAATTTTATATTTTCGAGGTTTTATACACTCTTACATTTTTTTTTCATTAAGAAAAAGATTTTTGTGATTTTTCAAAGATTTATACTTCAGGTGCCTAAAAATTGACCTGAACTACGTGTTCGAAGTTAATGTAAACGAGTATTTGGCGTAAACGTTGATATTCATTCAACGATTGGTCAGTTGCTCGTGGTAGGATCCTCTGTGCGCATTTATAATAATAGCCATATAAGGCAAACAAAGATTTGTCAGTGTAGATGATATTGCACATTTTTTACCAGCGAATCGGTCACTAGTGAGCTCTAATTTTCGCCGAAAAGTATATAAGATATATTGTTTTTTAACACCCCATCCTTTAGCCACCCTTTTTCTGTTGAAAATCACGAAAGTCTTTCAGAAGGGTCTGGAAACATTTATCACAAGACATGTTTTCAAAAGAAACAGGCTATAGCAATATCATGTTTACTGCCAATTTTATTTATAAAACCGGTTCTACCCTATAACCTTTGAATAGATCAACCTAAGCCACGTGTCTTGAATTTAAATCACAATAACATTAGTAGGGGTGTGTATGTTTTCTGTAGGAAAATTTCACTTGATGTCTTTTGCAACTTTAAATGAAAATACGGAAAAATGCACAAAAAGAATTATGTACCTTTTCAATGCAATTTTTGCCCTTTATTTTTATGGAATATGGAAGTGATATAAGAAATTAAAGTTCGTCCTTTTTTGTATTGAAACACAATGAATAAAAATGAGCCATTCATATAACTTCCTAAATAGAGATTGTGACGTCATTAACTTGTGCATTTTACCGTATTTTTTTAAACATTGTAGAAGATATCAGTTTTCAGTGGAATTTTTTTTCAGCGTATGTATCGCCCAAAAAGATTTTTGTGATTTTTCAAAGTATTTTACACAATAGATGTATATCTAAAAATTGAAGTGAGTGACGGCTGTGGACACTATTTTCTAAAGGAAAATAAATACGGAACGAGTCATTTTGCAACTTTTCTGCAGAAAATTTTGATATGTACCATATAAATGACGTGATATTTCCAGAGTATTCATCCATTATGCCATATTCTTTAAAGATTTATCATATTTATCTACTCAACTAATATCAAATCCAATTTCATAACCTTTTAAGAACATTAATTTTTTAGGGAAAAAAAATACAGCTCAAACTGTTCCGTCCTTCAATAATTAAGAAAATATGAATTTGAATTTCTTACTTCACTTCTAAATTTAAGAAAAATACAGCACATGATTTGTATATGTATTGAAGCCGTACATTGTTTTTACTATTTCAGATCTGCTCAAGCAAAACAACAGCAAGTTATTTTTTCCTTAACATAAGACAAAACTAACTACGGTATATATTTTTCCTTAACAGCAAGCAAACCAGTCATCTATAATAGGACACGGAATAGTAATGGCACAAGGAACAGAATACCGCGAAACGGAGTATCACGAAATTGGTAACTTAGAAGAACCAGCAAACCAAATGGACGACAATCAAAATGGCGTACTGAGGTTCCACGAAGATGAACACGTGGAAGGACCTGCAGACCAAATGGACTACAATCAAAATGGCGTTCTGAAGTTCAAAGCGGATCAGCAGCAGGATGAGGAAGATCATTATGTAGAACCGTGTAGTGAGAAAGAACTATCGGAAAAGTTAGAATCTTATCCAATGCCAAACACATACGTGAATGATTACTTTTCTGTTTGTCATTTAGGACAGTCGCCGTATTTTGTATTGGAGCCTGGACTAGAACCAAGATATGTTAATGAAAGGTGAATGATGCTCACGTCTTTGATATCCAGTTTACAAATAATTAATATGTGTTGTTGTTGTTTGCATTAACGAATATGTTCAAGTTCCATGAATTTTGTAACATCATGATATACCAGGTAAAACCCTAAAATTGCAAGGTCGTCATAGTTTTATTTTGATTTTTGATTTTTTTTTCCAATTCTTTCTGTAATAAAATGTTGCCGATTGTTTCATTTTGATTTCTAATTTTTGTTATTATTTCTGTAATAAAATGTTGCCGATTGAAAATAAACTTTAAGAGCTTCAACAGAATTAATTTTATGTACTATGTACATATGTACATGTATAATAGTGTATGACTTGGGGAGAAAATTGTAGGAAAGTTGTTAAATTGCTTCGGCTGTGGGAACATTTCTTAAGTTGCTTTAGTCATGTTAGTTTTTATTACTGGATATAAAAAAGATTTCTGGATAAATATGTTTTTGATCATAAGGAAATCATGCAGGTATTATACACTGTTCCGGAAAAAAATAAATATATTATTTGATGCATTCTTAAATGCACTCTGCATATTTTAAGGCAAAGAAAAATTCAAATCTTCTTAAGATATTTTTGTATCGCCTGTAGATCAAAGCAGCACTTAGGAATAGCTTAAACCGAAATCTGTCTCTCTTCCTCGTCTGTTCACCGTCCACGTACCCTTGAACGTGATCTTTGACCAACTTTTCAGACTATATTTCCGTGCAGTATATTTGGATAGAGATGAGGTCTGCGTGTATGTGCTTTTTTACCATGTGCTCAATTGGACATAAGACATAATGAAAATATCAGAATTATAATCAAATATGTCTTGACCTTTGACTTACTTTGGTAAATAAAAAAAAAATATCACGGGCAGATTAAAAGGCTTCAATTTTCAGAGACAGCATTTTGATAACAGGCATAAATACATTCCTGTTGGTTTAATGATACTGTATGATATTGAGTTACCAAACAAATATTAAAATAAATACTATGAAAATTCTCGAGAACTCTTCAAGTTAACGGCTGAGACCAGGGCCCATAAACGCATAAGTGTGTGAAGATTATTTCATGGGGTATAGAAAGAAAGAGTCGCATTCATTTGTAGTTCAGTTGTCGAAAATTCGATTGTGATCCCAACTAAAAAGTCTCCAGCGTCAAAACATATTCTTAAAGTCTTATATAGAATGTATTTTGTATTGAATATTCCCTTTGAATCAAACCGCGATTGCCTATATGCAAAAGAAAATAAGCATCAGTAATTCAAAAGAATGCAAAGAACCAGTATAGATTTTGATCATCGATTATTCAGATTTTAAATTGGTGTATGAAATTTAATACACTCCCTCCAAAAAAGTATCGACGTCATTGAATCGGGAAAAATCCAAAGATAAGCAATCCCATCTAGATTATTTTTAAAGAAAACATTCGTGAAGATTTACATACATGTACTAAGTTAAAGGGAAGTTAAACACTGACTGTATTGTTATTATACACGCAGAGACAGGAAACAAACTTAGAATAAGTTTTTGCCCAAGGTTTACTAGTGAATAACAACATACAAAGCTTTACTCAGCTATCTTCACTCTGCAGAGAAATATGTCTTTTGATATATAAAGTACTTGAATATTCTGTAAGAAATGAGTGGGAATAGCCGTAGCAGAACGACAGAAACTAGAGGTTTGCTAAGTTTTATTTTCCTTTTTATTCTAGGTTTGCTAAATTTTTCATCAACATAATCAATTACTTGAAAATTGTTTTTTTAATATATAATTTATGTCCTCTTTCATAAATCATACATATAAAAAAAATCAACAAAAATCATTAAAATTGATTGAAGATAAAAAAGTATTTTGAAAGTTAGCAATAGATTGAAGAACTAAGAATTTGGTATAATCGGATATACATAAAGTTAAGTTTGGAAAAATTAAAATATTCTATTGGGTTTTACAGAGCAAATCACCTTCAGCATCATCAACAATTTTACCATTTTGAACACAACAGAATGTAAGTCTTTAAACACTGTTAAAGGATACAGTGATACAGAACAAACCTTCCTCAAATAAATTAAATGTTGATAAAACAGAATAGAAGCCTACTTTAGTCTTCCTTCTTGTTATATCATACCGAAACGTATGCTATGTGAATAATTTTAATTTTTTCTACATGTAAATAATAAATTCAAACGCTACTTCTTGACAAACATTGTATAAATAATATTAAGAAATTTGAGGTTTTCTCTATATTGTTTTCTACAGTTAAAGTTACTACAACGTATACTACACCAGTCATCTCAAGCCAAGTGCGACTGATCTTACTGTCGCTCTCGGTAGCAGTCGTTGTCTTCCTTACAATCATTTTTCTGTGTTGGCTCTTTTGTCGTCGGAGGAAGGAAGCGTTGACGGAGACATACAACCACTACTCACATGTTGATCAAACGGAGGTACATGCTTTAAAAAAAAATCTTTTTTAGAGAGAAAAAGAGAGAGAGAGAGAGAGATTAATTTACTAAATTTACATTCAGTGTAATTTTCTTCATGAAATCCATTAGAAATCCATGACGTTGAAATCTCTATAACACACGCAAAACCTTGTCACTGCGCGTTAGAATACACAGTATAGGAACTACTAGTATATGCATTTTCAATACTTTATGAAAACCAAAATGTACATTGTTTGACACAATTTAATTTTTAAAAATTAACCCTGTTGAATTAACGTAAAAATACAACAATTGTGCATTTAAAATTAATTTGTCACTTTTTTCCTTCGCAATATTCGTTTGGGTTATTTAATTCTACGACGTCACAAACGGCTCTTACGTCTATAAAGCACACCATTTTAAAGGACGCTAAATTCACATCAAAGATTACCGAAATAAACAATTATGAAGAAAAAAAACCACTAAAGAATGTAAATATAAGTATTGAATTCATATTTTGAAATGTCTCCGGTCCTATAACACACCTAGCCGTGCCTACAAATTACATGTATCATAGCGCGCGTTAGCGCGGTTTTCAATTTGTCGGCACGACCAGGTGTGTTATAGGACCGAAGACATTCCAAAATATGAATTCAATGCTTAAGTGATGTGCTTATTTATATTATCGCAGAATAATGCCTTAAAATTAATTTTATTTTCGATTTTAACAGTTGAACACTAATAAAAAACAAAATTTTGCAAAGGTGTCAAGATGTAAATGATCTGGCAAAAATAATATTATGCAAAATATATTTTTTGATTAAGCATTGAATTCATAATTTAGGATGTCTTCGGTCCTATAACAGTGTTACACACCTGGCCGTGCCGACAAATTGAATACCGCGGCGTTAGCCCGGTATGATAATTTGTCGGCACAGCCCGGTGTGTTATAGGACCGAAGACATCCCAAAATATGAATTCAATGCTTATATTTACATTCTCTAATTTTTTTTTATCACAATTGTTTATTTCCTTCATGTTTAATGTGAATTTAGCGTCCTTCGGTATTGGCGTGCTTGATAAACGTAATAGCCGTTCACGACGACGAAAAGCCGTTTGTGACGTTGGAAAGTTAAATAACGCAAATAAACATTGCGAGGAAATAAAATGACAAATTAGTTTTTAATCATCTTCGCCGTATTTTATGTTAAGTTTACAAGGGTACAATTTTTAAAATGAAATCGAGTCAAAACATTATACATCTTGGTATTCCTAAATACTGAAAATACATGTAGTTCTTTCTGTGTATTCTACCGCGCTGTGACAAGGTTTCGCGTGTGTTATAGAAAGTTGAACGTCCTGGATTTCTAATGGATTTCATAAAGAAAATTACACCGAATGTACATATTTAAAATATGATGTACGATATTGTCATATGTTATGTGCACACTATAAATAATTATACAATGATATGTTTAAACACCTTCACAAGTTATAGCTTCTCTGTCTACTCCTTTAGTATAAAGAGTGGAGCAGATCATACGTCATTGGGTAAAAGGTGATTTTGTTGAAAGAAACAGTGCACAGAGCAGGAATGCATATTTTGTTTTAAAAAATAAACTACAGAATATGTTTCAGTTTGTAGATTTTCAACAAATGAGTGACATGATTTTAACAGAAAACATTGAATACGAGATGGTGACGTTACCTGTATCGGATGTAGCTAATTCTGAGAATGTAGATTCGGGATTTCATCAAACAGACGACAAAATAGGCAATTTGGTCGCAATGGACAAGTTTCAAAAGGAAAGGATACATTTAAATGGTCCCCAGTTTTCTGAACCCAAAGGACCCCTTTCATTGAATAGGGGTGACGATTTTAATATAAAAACACCACCTTTAGATGTTCATAAAAACTTCGAATTTTCTTCCAAGGAAAATGCAAATGATGATAACTATTTTACATTGGAGCCAGTGAATGTAAATGTTAAGGAGAAATCTAATGGACAAGTGGATGGACAAAACTATTTTACAATAGAACCCTCACAAAAATAGTGTATTTTATACTTTTCAGGATTAAAGATCAGTTTTCATAACCTTTGATCTGAATTTATTTTCTTTTGAGAAATCCATAAAATAGACATACAATTATGAACAAAGTATTCCTCATATCTTTTTTCTGGCGAGTTTGTATATGTAAAACTATGTTAATATGCATGATTGATTACTTACGAACTTGGTGAATACAAACATGCCTAGCTACTTACGAGTATCTAGCGATAAAATTGCCCTAGACTTTTTTTCTGTAAAGAATACTTTAAAATTCCACAAATTTTTAAAATCCATTTTGTATACCCCTTTGACAAGTGAGTGTTCTCTGCCGGACAGTCACACCCGCCGAGTGCTCAGTGACATGATCGGCAAATAACGGGAAACATCTGCCTTCAATTCAGTGTATAAATAATGGACTAACAATGGGAAAACGTTATTAACGGGACAGCATTTTACTCAATGATACATTGTATTTGCTTACAAGGTAATTGTATCAACCATAGAAGTTATGAAATGATGACTTTAAAGGAGACAGCTGAAATTTTTGTTACGTCAACTTGTTTTTCAATATAATTTACCTCGTTTTAGAAATTGTTCATACGTAGAGCATGCTCTTACGTACATGTATCAAATCAACTGATCTGAGATATATAAACTCGACCGTATGCAGGTGATGAAGGTATTGTTATGCATGGGGGTTGGACTTTAGAATATTGCTTATTAATCACAGGCTGATGGTGGAGTGGTTTTTTTTTTGGTGATGTAAAGTAGCATCCAATTGTAAATTATTAGAAATGTTTTATTGTTCATGTTATTTCATTATCTTATTGTTTACTTGAATTATTTATGCAATACACATTGCACTTCTACATTGTTATGTAAACAAATGCTGTTTTTGTATTACTAGACGATCTAGCGAGATATTGTTGAACAGACAGTAAGGGACAGTGATACTAAGATGTTATATGTCAGTTTTTCATCATTATCTACCACATTACGACTGTAATTTACTTACTTATTTCAGTATTATCACATGTGTTGTAAATTGGGCGCCTGCCATCTTTCTTACGAAGTAAATAGTCATGTGACATAAACATTGTCATTTTACAATTGATAAGATCGAAATAACACTGTCCGTGTCGTCAAATATTTATAATTGATACTTAAATGTTATTTTATTGCAGTATTGTCATTTCATTATGTTTTATTTGACGAAATGTTTTGGAACTTGAATGTGTAGCGTAAGACTTATGTGTATGCATTATTGTCCGGTATTACTACGCCGTGGATTGTGCGTGTCCGTTTTATTACAGATTGTTTGTTGAACTTATTTTATTATGTATATCGAAAAAATCTTACATGTAGAAAGGACATTTTGAGCGATGTTATTTTTTTTGTTTTATACAATACGTATGTAAAGTAGTTCCAGAAAGGACAATTATTCATTGGTTGTTTTGATCACGTGACCATTATAGAAGGTTATATATATGAGCAGCGAACGCCAGTTTCAACACAACGTTCATAACGATCACATCATATTACATCATCAACACAACTGACTGTAAATTACTAGTGACTTAGGTATGAGAAAATAATGTAAACTAATACAAATTAAGTAGCGTGTAATTTCTCCACCGCACGGACACAGCAATCCACTATATTTTAATAGGCCAGAGATGTTAAGCTAGGACGTAGACTCATATAGATGTATTGACTGTTTTGTTATATTTCATTGAAGTCTTTATTAAATGAAATAAAAAATTTACAAGGATGTGAAGTAAATTATAAAGGGTGTTTAAATACATAACATTTTTGCCTTAAATTTAATTGATTGAATTTACATGGGATGGAAACACTGTAAGCTGATTGGCATTTGACAGGGTGCTGAGGAAGCTTACAGTATATTGCTGCATAAGTAAGGGAAGCTGACGATAGAAAAGTTAAAGTCATCACGTTTATCATAGAGCTTTGTGGCAACGCACTTTGAAAAAATTACTCACTTTGACATTTTTTTTCAAAGTGCGTTAAATTTGAGACATACTCAAAGCACTTTGAAAAAATTCTTCAAAGTGCGTTAAAAGTGTACATTAACATTTTTGCCATGGAGAAAGTTAACGCATTTTGAAAAAAATATATGTATAACAAAAATTCTACACTTAGATTTTAGTAATTGAGAGTATCAATTTGTAATTAATCATATCTTTCGAAAAACTTTTCAATATTTGTGTATTGAGTTAACCTCATTGAGAACAAGGAGAAGACGAGTAAAACATCTCTCAACCCAACTATTAACGTCCTTTTCAAGTTAGATATCCAAATATGAAACAGATGTGTCAGACTCGCTGTAGCCTTCAACTCGATATTTAGATATATCTAAGACATAGTGTCAATAAACAATAATTTCTATTCTTGTGTAGATATGATATATCCTGGAAAGCTTGAGATAAAAGATACCACAGAGTCTGACAAATCTGTTTCATATTTTAGTTGAAAAAAGATGTTAATGGCAATCTAACAACCAACCTCTATGACAAACGTAATGACATAAACTTTTCCATCACTGTCTTCATTTTCCCTTACTTAATTATGCAGATATACCTTCATCACCTGCAAAGAGAGTTTATATATATATCCGTTGATTCGATACGCAAGAGCATACTCTACGTATAAACAATTTCTAAAACGAGGTAAATCATTAACAAACAAGTTGATGAGACAAACACTTCAGCTGTTGATGAAACAAAAATTTCAGCTGTCTAGTTTAAAGTCATTATTTCGTAAGTTCTATGGTCGACACAATGACATTGTCAGCAAATACAATTTATTAAAGAAGCAAATGCTGACTGACGTTTTTCATACTAATTGTTAGTCCATTATTTTTACACTTAATGGATGATGGGTTTTCCCGTTATTTCCCGATCATGGCAAGGAGCACGTGGCGGTTGTGGCCGGTCGGCAAGGGATGCTTACTCCTCCATAGCACTTCATTCCACCTCCGATGTTTTGGAAGTCCATGATTGCTATGCTCCGATTTACATTGTTTAAAGGACTTTTGCTGTTGAATGCTGTTCGTTATCTCCATATGTTTTATTGAGATACGAATGGATATTACCATTGTTACATTGTAATCGATCATACGTCGTCAATATCTCTCAATGTCGAGTTAGATGCCACAGCAACTGTTTTCTTCTTTTCACGCATAAGATATTGCACAAATTTCGCTACATATCAATACAAAAATAGGTCCGCTAATAATGGGGCGCAATTGGTACCCATGGGAATCGCAATAGATTGTTTGAAGACCTGGTCTCCGAAAACGACATTCTAGATATTGTCAGTCAGAAACTCAAGCATCTTTTTGATGTCAACTTCAGAGAACCTGTGTGTTCTTGTCAATTAGAATGCTTTTTTTACCAAAATAATTTTGCAACTGTCCAATGACAAGATAAGTAAAGTAACAAGTTCCATTTTCATTATAAAGCAGCTGTCAATGATATCAAAAAGCCTAAACTTTAATTTATCTTGGGGAATGGTTGAGTACAAAGTTGAAACGTCCTACGTTTTTTAAGCTGTTGATTTTGATGAAATCTTGTGTTTCATTTTATATATTATCTGGAAAACGTGAACAATTGTCTTGAGACAGAACAGCAACTGAAAGTACTTTAAAACTTTTTTTATTCATGATATCAGAATATCATGTCCATTTCTTCGCAAAAAAAGAAGAACTGAGTCTGTGATTGACATAAAATTTAATAAACAAAATATCAATAAATGTCAAAAATAATGCCAGGAATGGAAAATTATTGAAAAAAAGTTCTTCAAATATCATTTGTTAGAAAGAAAATATGAACAGTGTATAAATGATACAAAGCAAAAATTATACATGTACTTATTTTCGGCAAAGGTTTTATATACAGATGTTCATCAGTGCTTACTTACTTTTGTCTTAGTGCGGAAAAGTCAATATCATGCATGACACAAGAGTACGAAAATTATAGAAATTTCATATTTCTCATTTATTCATATCTCCCGTTTTTATTTCATATAGGTATACATCTTTATCGAAATAAAAAGATAAATCATCTCTGCAAAAATATGAATTACAACATTTTCACACAAAAACTTTTTAAGATTATACCTACATCATGTACATTGTATATTATGCATGACATAATTGTTTTTCAACAAAAAAATATTGTAATACTTAAATTGCGCTCCATTATAATTTTTCATGCAAAATGAATTATAAAGATTAAATGTTAAAGTTAAAAGTCAAATATTTTAAACACACGTTGATTCTGAATGCGATTTCACGTTTGATTCTCTTTAGTGCATTTGTGTGTAGAAAAATTGTTTGAAAAAAATCTATTTTGAGTATTTCACACTGTTTTTGCACCTGCTGCTGTGTAAAAATTAGACATAAAAGTATTATTTTTATTGCCTAAAAATAAAAGGTAAGTGGCAAGATGAAAAATGTAAAAGTGTTGAAAATTTCACACAGATCAAGATGCTGCTCAACATCACAGAGGTAACACGTCAAACAGCGGTTTTTCATACTACAATGTATTTTTACAATAAATTATTATAATGATTTTAAAAAGTTTTAATCTATGGTATTTTTTACCCTTTGTCAAATTGGATTATTTTTTGTATCCTGTTATGGATATTCAAAGACCTCATGGTGCCACAACATGCATAAACAAAGAATTATGTCCATTTTTGTTAAAAGATACATGTAAGTTGGAATTCTAAAGTATTAAAAATGATCAGTACAGCAATAGGTTCTACTTCTTAAAGGCACTTTTGTATTCTGTTACCTCTTCAGGAACAAAGTTTCTAAAAACAGTCAATGGGTAAATGGAAAGGGGAACATAATTTAAAATAAGACATAACTAATAAAATGTATCGAAATATGTAGTAAAAGGTGTTATGTATAGTTTGTAAAAGGATATGATTTAAACATGTATACATGTCCAAAAAATAAGATAGGATAAAAACTTGATAAAATTATCAAGTTTTTATCCTATCTTATTTTTTGGATATGTATACATGTATATATATATTATCATGTGCACATATTTAACTTAACAAGAGGCCCATGGGCCTTATAGGTCACCTGAGCATCATGCAACAACTTTCCAAAGATCGAATTTGGTTCATGTTTAAAGCTGTGGCATTCACAATTTTGAATTGCTCATCATAACTATACACTTAGCAATTGCTTAGTTTGGTTACTAAATACCCATAGGGAGGGTAGGGGAACAAAACATGTATGTCAACTAATCAGTAATATTCAGCAATAATCAGGAGTGCTCCTAAAACACATGAACTCCTGACCCTAGGTCTACACATTGCACAATTTTTGAAAAGGCACACTTGCTTATCAAAATTACTTGATTAATACCAAGGAGCAGATTTCAAACAATTCGTTTTCAGTATATAAGTAGAGCCCCCCCCTCCTCCCATTTTGGTATCCCTGACCCAGGGGCCTCCCAAATTTACAATTCTGGAAGAGGAGCCCATCATAACTATATAAATAGTTCATCTGCTTATTACCCAGAATTAGAGAACAAGATTTTAATAGATGTAATGTATTTTCACTATATAATCATTATAAAGCCACACCCTAACACCAGAACCCCTGACCATGGGGACATAAAATTCACAATTTTGGTAGAAACATTCTTGCTCATCATAACTATGTCCTTAATTAGTTTATTTAATACTCAGAAGCAGAGAAGAAGATTTTCAAAAAATTAATGAATTTTCACTATATAATCAATAGAGCCACGCCCTAACACCAGAACCCCACCCTTTGCCATAAATTTCACAATTTATGTAGAGACACTCTTGCTCATCATAACTATGTACTTAGTTAGTTTATTTGATACTCAGGAACAGAGAAGAAGATTTTAAAAGAAATAATGCATTTTCACTATATAATCAATAGAGCCCCGCCCTAACACCATAACCCCTGCCCCTGGGGCCATAAAATTCACAATTTTGGTAGAGGCACTCTTGATCATCATAACTATGAACTTAATAAGTTTATTTAATACCCAGGAGCAGAGAAGAAGATTTTCAAAGAATTAATGCATTTTCACTATATAATCAATAGAGCCCCGCCCCTAACACCAGAACCCCTGACCCTGGGGCCATGAATTTCACAATTTTGGTAGAGGACTTAATGCTGATTACAATCATACCAACAGTTTGACTGCTTGATGTCCAGGAGTAAAGAAGAAGATTTTTAAAGATTGCACTAATTTTAGTGGTTTTTGCCCCACCCCCGAGGCCCCAGGGGGGCAGGGACCACAAAATTCACAATTTTTGTTCCCCTTCACCCATAGATGCTATATGCCAAAATTGGTTGAAATTGGTTCAGCGGTTTCAGAGAAGAAGCTGAAAATGTTTAAATGTTAACGCACGACGGACGACAGACGACGGACGACGACGGACAAAAACAGATAGCAATAGGTCACCTGAGTTTACTCAGGTGACCTAATAAAAATCAAAAACATGCACATTATAACAAAATGCAAAAAGCTTAAAAACTGATTATTCAATTCACAAGTACTGATATTACTTTACAATAATATGACTTAAAACTGTGACCACAAATTCATTGGCATTTGACACATACAACCATCCTCTTCCACAAAATGTCCATGATTTTTTATTGTCACCTGAGTATCACCTAAGTACCCTTATTTTCTCAAAGAGCTGCGATTTCGTATTGGGTCCCACTTGATGCTTGCCTCCTCCTCCTCTTTGACCTCCTGTAGAGAACAACTCCTACACAGATAAGTATGAGTAAGACCAGTCCACCAATCACTCCCCCCACTGCTGCCCATATCACTGTCTTCTTGGATTCTAAAGAAGATGGTATTGCATAATCACTATAAATATATCATTTTACTGTAGAATCCAAAACGTACGTTTACATTACTTGTAAGAGTGCATTTTAATTTGTCCTTGCAGCAAAATAATATACATGAACAGTTTGAATAGTTACATTTTTGAATAAGTTGCCTGTGTTGTAATACATTTTAATTTTGTTTTATTTTATTAAGAAAAACAGGTGAGTATACGTAAATTTTCAGTAGAGTCATTATATGTAATATATCACCTGATAAAACATGACCTAAGTTAGGTTTTAAGAAAATTTTCAAGATGGATATGATTTTTTTATGAGTATTGAATTCATAATTAATCTTAGCAGATACGTACCATCAACTCTTTCTGCTGTTACACGGAATAGAAAAGTTGTAGTTGAAATCGATTTTTCTCTACTAAGATTTAAGAAAACGTATAGTCTGTCATCAGTTGGAGCACAAAATCTGGAATTTTGGTTTTTGTGGCAATCAAATGACTACAAGAAAGAAAACAAATTAAAGAGATGAGATGCCTATAATTCTACAGCATGCCAACAGGCAGCATAATTTCAAAGTAGGATTTAACTTTTTTAAGTAGTAAACACTGTTTTAAAATATTATTCTCTTTTATGTTGAATCTTTACTATGTACACATTAATGCCTTATCAAGGTAAATGTACCATTTTATACATATGTTTGTTATACATGCATCTGCATTTTATACATTTGTATGTTATTATCAAGTTGATAAAACAGATTCACAAATACAGTAAAACTTGTCTTATCTGGACAACACAGATACCCATGAAACGAGCACACCGTAAACAATACAATATTGATAATACTAAAACATGTTAACTGCTTAAAATTGTATTAACATGATTAGGGAAGATTAAGGTCTATGAAAGACAGAGTGCTTGTGCATATAATATTGATTTCACATAAATTAGTATTCCTAAATCTGTAAAGCAGTAACCACTTTTCTTGAAAATTTTGTCTTGCTCACTTGTACATATGCATGAAAAGGAGTAAATGTCTGTGTCACGAAAAATAAGACCTGACAAAAATTTAGTGATCTAATACAGTAGATGTTAAATGCATATTACCCAGGTATTTACCTGTAATGGTGAGGCAAATAGGTCATTTTTGTAATCTAAAGTTGCAGCACATTCTCTGTCATTGAAATAAATTGGTGATATACATATTTGGTATTTGGCATCTGGATCATCATAATTCTTTGTCTGGAATATTATCCTGTCACATTGTTGATATTTGAGATCTCTGGATAAGATTTTTCTCCCATCATACCGGCCATCAAATTCTATCTGTGTGTTACTATTCTCGTTGATTGTGCTCGTTACACCACAGTCTGTGCCCATTCTGTCTGCAGAAAATTAAAGTAAAACATACATAAGCTATCATACACCTGAACACAGTTGCAAAGAAATACATTTAAATGAAAATTTCAGACTTTGTAGTATGAAGCACTTCTGTTGCAGATGCTTCCATCTGATTTAGTAGCTCAATTTCTTGACTAAAAGCAACAGTTTGATATAGTTCAAATAAGGTTGTTAGGGCCCCGCAAGGATTTGCAGGTGCCCTATAGTAATCACTCTGTCTGTCTGTCTGTCCGTCTGTCTGTCCGTCTGTCATTCTTCCGTCCACAAATTTTCTGTTTTTTTTAATAACTTTTTTTATGGTAGCCCAATTAAGTTCAAATTTGGTATGGTAGTTCAGTAGGCAAAAAGACATATTTTGATGCTAAGTTTGTTTCTCTATGTCCTCTGGTTTGGAGCTGGGGTGGTGGGGTAGATTCCTTAACTTTATATAAGAATGAATTGGTGAAGAGAGATAACTTCTGAAAATGTTCCCATTGTAAACTGAATACTGCAATGAATGAGTCCCTTGGGATTAATTAGCTTTCCTCCTGAAGAAAATCCAAAGCATTATCTTTATCTGTCACATTGAGATTAATTACCACCTCTGTGTGCAAATGAAGTTTGTTTTTAAGTTAAGTCCATTTAAGTGGATTGAAGTATTAATGTTTTTACTGTTTTTTTTTTTTTTGTTAAAATACCATACACAATGAGTTCTGATTTCAATGAATTCTTAAAACAAGAAATAGATTAAAGAAAATATATATATATATTTTTATTTATTAATTTTTTTTTCTTGCTACATGTAAATTCAAGAATATTATTAATTTTTAATTATAGGTTAAAAATTCTATCATTACTGAAAAAGTTCTTATTATAAATTCAGAAGAAAATGAAAAGAGAGTAAATTAATCCCTTGGGATTAATTATCTAGTCTGCAGCAGAAAATTTAGATGTCTCTTTAAGATTAATGAAAACCTTAGTCTGCAACTGCCGTTTGTTTGAATTAATAAGTTAAGGTCATACCTTCATTTGATATTTGCATTCATTGAAGGCTGGCATTTTATGTAACACAGGCTTCAATTATTGTTTAGATATACATTCAGTGTTGAGTTGTTCTTTACTGCCTTATGTAAATACAATTGCTGTTTCTTATTTGTCATATATTTTTGATTATCCTGCAACTACCCCTTGCATTGACCTAATAAAGGTAACCTAATAAACCAAAGCTTTATCCGGTCACTGCCCTAATAAAGCCACGTGCATGTATACCGACGTTCTAAAAGCATTGTGACGTCCATCTGTAATGTTAACTGTGTGTCATAGTTTCAACTGCAGAGATGTGCCTAAATCTGTCGGAAATAGCTTGTTTTGGATGTTCAAATTTAAAATTTTGTTGCAGGATAACATACACCTGATAACAGTTGCAAATAAATACATTTAAATGAAAATTTCATACTTTGCAAGCCTCGCCCTCTATCACGTTTTCTTACCCTCGCCCAAATATCGCTTATATTTCAAGACAGTAACCATGTATTTTATATATCATTCCATAAGCTGTACTCTTATAATTCTACCCATGGCGGGGCCCTTGCTGACTGGTCAGTTTTCTAGTTCATTCTACTTTTTTCTTCATCAATATGCAATTTTACAACACATGAAAATTTTGCATGTTAATATTGTTGACATGCATATTTGAAACCTTTTACAGCTCTGAAAGCAATTATGCAAATCTATAAAAAAAAAAAAAAGAGAGGCATTTGGAAAGTTCTCAATAAAATTTTAGGGCTATTTGTATACATGTATAATGTGATCAATTTATGATAACAAAATCATTATTAGTAGCTAATTCAGCACTGTTTAAAGAAATTGTTATATTTATCCATGCCTAACAACACTTGAAGTCAAGGAAAAATACAGTGATGTGTACCAATACAATGAAAATGCATCTTAAATTTTGCTTCAAAAGCAACAGTATTTTAATTCTATTAATTTGGTTTGGGGGCTAAAAATTTTTAAATAACTTGAAATAAATGTGGAATAGTGACTAAAAAAAAAAAATAGTCATACACAGTCTTTCAAATCTCATTTAGATTTAAATAATCAAATAGCTGGACCTTATTTTTAAACATATGTACAAGTAGCTTATACTTACTTACTTATCTCAAACAATATATATGATATACATGTACTTGCATACACATGTACACAATATACATTGTGTATTTACTTGCATATACATGTACACCATGTAGTGTGATCAAGAGATTCTTTTGGACCTGCAGGAAGAAGTTTTCAAGTATAATTTTTTTACTTCTATCTTACCCTTTGATTTATGGAAATATTGTTGAATGACCCTAACAATTTTTTTTTCATTTCATGAAAATTATTATTGCCATCTGACCTTGAACAGACTTAAATGTTAAAATTGAGTCCCCATCACTCAATCCCAACTGGCTTATTGACTAAGCTGGCTTTGTGGTTCCTGATTAGATGACTAATTGAATGTGATGTATGTACAGAAAGTGGATTTGCATGGTATGTCAAGTCACTTCACATTGCTAGACCAGTAGACTGCCGAAAAGGGCTAATCATAAAACAATGGACATGATGGAAAACTGTTGAAATCTTACTGAACTAAACAATCATAGTGTTATTATCAATATTTTGGTTTTTTTTTTAATTTTGCTGTCGCACAGAACTGAAATTTAAGTTAAAATGCATGATCATGCTCTATCAATTTTCATATACTGCAGGTAATAGCGAGCGCAGCGAGCTCGCGAAGCGAGCTCAATAGACTAACGTGTAAGAACAGAGGAAATTTGGAATGTTATTCAGCCAAATATATTGTTTTTGCGCAAATATTCGAATAAATAAATAAATAATAACGTAAAGCATATATCAGACTTTCAGTTTGTAGAAATCTTTCAAAGAAACAAGAAATAACTCTGCAATGTTTTTCGACAAAAAAATTTATAGTTTAATTTTAAGCTCCGACGAGCTTTGTGACGTCGTATGATCACAGCTATACTGCGGCTAGTGGCTGATATACATAAACTGTCGCCCCAACGGGTAAAACATATAGATAAAATATTGACTTACATATTGTCTGAGAATCCACGGCCGATTGATATATACACCACGTGAATACACTAATTACATACGATGTCAAGTCCATGGATTTCATACCGCTAAAACAATATGTTGGTCACCAAGTTAAGTGGGTAAAAATAAAGATAAATCAATGAACCTAACACCTAAATCGCAACATCGCGCATCCCTGTCGCCCCCGCGTGCAATGTTTATAAACAAATCAGTTCTTTGAACACCGAGCCCGACATGTTTTAAACATGATTGTGGGAAAGAGGACTTAGTACGACCTCATTACTTTCTTATTTGCCTAAATTGAAAATGATTTTAATCTTGTTTAAAAGGAATGTACGTAGAAAGATATTTTCATGATAGTTATTTAATTCTAAAATCAGTCATTGATTTTGCTAAATTTTGCAATCAACTAAAGTTTTTGAACTTAGTCGTAATTTCCTTTGTGAAACGGATCCCGGGTCAATATCTACAAGGTATATATTAACCGGGATTTCTTCTACTCCACCCATGCTGAAACACGACCCCTCATATGTAGCTGACCCCCCTTTTCTTTTCCACAGATACTTGCTTCAATTTTCTCTCTTTTTTAAAGCTATGTCTTTATATAATTAGAAATGCACTTGTTACATGTAATAAAAATAAAAATCGCATCTTCGCTAGCCAAGGGTTTTCGGTCCGCACTGTAAAGTATGATATTTTTAAATCGTGGTAATTTCAGCGATTTTTGATTCTTTTTTTAAATGATTAGTGTATTCAGATGCACATAGAGATCACATAAATACACAAAATGCATCATCATGTACAGCATGTACAGCGTCGCAAGATTACCAAGCGCCTATGACTTTTTTTTTTTAAACAATATTTTACAAAGTCTTTAAAAATGAGAGATGATCTACGCGTTCATCCCGGGGTTGGGAGGCTCGGCTATAACCGCGTTTTCTGATATTTTTTGAAAGGCTCGTTGGTATAAGGGATAACCCCCACCCCACCCCCACCCCTCCTTACCAAACCCAATTTAAAATAAAGTGAGAACGGGTGAGAGGAGAGAGAGAGAGGGAATTACTGTGAGGAAGGAGAGAGAGAGGGGGAAATTTATCCTCCATGGTGTCTGATCCCAGCTCTGGTTATTAGAGGTTTGTGTCTGCTCTTCTCCTGATTTATATTTTTTTTCTTTGAAATTTGAGCTTAAGTGCTAGTCCTTATCCTTATCTATTTCAGTCCGACACAAAGGAAAGTGGTTAACATGAAAATTATGTGAAAATCATGTAAACAAAATCTCTTTTTAACTTTAAGTGAGCCACTTTTGTCTGTGTAAAAACGCTGAATTAAAAGTAACCCAAAGGCAAATTACATACAATACATGTATGTAACGGTTGAAAAATAACACAACATATTATAATACTTTTAAATTATCAAAAATACAAGCTATTATATATACATTAATTTTCATAAAACAACAAAACAAATACATGTATTTTATACTCTAAATATATGTAATTATATATGCACCAATTTTGCTCTGAAATGATCAATAAAATGCGATATACAGCTGTACGTATAATTAATTTAAATCTATAAATCAATAAGATGATGCTAGGAAGAAATAATAATGCTCTTGGTGATTATGATGATGATGATTAACTTGAAGATGTTAAAATAGGATGGTAATAATCTGTTGGTTTATTAACATCATACAATGTACATGTATCCATACACACGAATTATATATAATATTGAGTATTACATGACTAGTACATGTATAATAATAGAACAATGTCTGCCTTTTTTTAAAACCGTAAACAGATCTATTTTATCTATATAACAAAAATGAAAAGTGATCAGTTATCTTTCGCAACACAAAACAATAAGTTGTACTTATAGTACTTTTTAGATTAATTACCCGAGTTAAGTAAACAATCATTTAATGAACAAAACATGCAATTTTCACATGTATAATGACGAGTATGAGGGAGGATTTGTTGAATCCCCACGCTCTTGATACGGAGGTGGAGGCTCGAGGATTTGTGAAACACCGGTTTCTTGTGATATACATGAATTAACCAATGAAACGTTGTTCATTCCAATTCTTGAAAAAGTATATGCAGGAGGAATATTACTATATTCAATAGATGGTCCTGCTTCTATCTCTTCAGTACTAGTCAACGACGACGGTGTAGATACTTGATGACTTTCTTCATTGCAGCACGAGTTTCGATAGAAAAAATTTTGAAACTAAAAGCACAAAAGAAATGACTAAAGATATATTTATGTTACAAATACCCTATATGTATCTTAAACATGTTTCGAATAAATGTGCATTGACATATGCTGATGAAATTAATACTTCTTCATTTGAAATACCTGCTTTGATAACATTTTCTATCATTTGATCTCTTATAATGATCAGATATAACCATACCAAACCTATAGTATATAATGGCATTTGCATCAACACATTTTCCTTGCATACTTAAGAAATCTGACATAAAGAAAAAAAAATTGTAACTTTATTTTTTATTTACCTGACGCATTCCTGAATCTGTTTCTCAATATCGGACCTTTCCGATTTCTGCACTTTATTACAATGAACACGAAAATGATAATACAGACGGCGGCCACGCCTACTGCTATCCCTGCTACCGTGGCGGTATCTATAATGACACACATGAAATACTTGACATTCATATATAATTAAACACAGTGGTAATATCAACAGTGAAATACATTAAATATTTAACATTCACATATGATTTAATACAGTGGCGATATTTGCAATGACATACATATATTACATGTATAAAATCTGATTTAAAAAACTTTTTTTCAATTCAGATAATCATTTAGCTGGAGAATTGTCTTAACATGATTACAGTACATGTACATGTATTGCATACAGAAGAAGAAAAACATACTTGTAATAAAACAAAATTAAACTGGAGTTACAAAGGTAATGCGTTTTCTTTGTACTAAGTTTAGACTTTTAATAATATCCAACACACGTTTTAGTTTTTCAGATAATAAAGATGAGGTTGTCAGTTGATGATGGAAGATGACGTCAAATATTTTCTATTTTAAACTTGATTTATTTTCTATCCCTTTTTTGACGTAAAGTGATATTTCAAATTTAAATACAATACAATATCTCTTAATATGAAGTGTTCTTAATAGATAAATGCAAAGACACATAGACGATAGTAATCAGTGAAATAGCACAACTTCTGCATTTACATTTTGATTTTGATAATTGTAAACTTAGATAATACAAATTATTCAAATTCAATGATTTTAACAGGGTTTTAAAGCTTTTTTTTTTTAAAGACATATCACTTTTCAAGACCTTATTGGGTTCTAGTTTTATATCATGTACTAGCTCCACATCCGTTGATAAAATTTGTATATGTATAGGGAAAAATTAATTTTTGAAACAAAAATCATGTAAACTCATATGTTAAAAACATGCAATTTTAAAAAAGGGTCTTTTGTGGTACTTTTATTAGCACTCTTGAAGGTGATTTTAAGGTATATAAATTTTCTTTCATCTAATCGGCCACATTTTACAAAATAACCTTCAAACTAAGATAAAAATCCATGCACTTGAAAACTCATTATATTCTATTGAATACATTTAACATGTCACATACGATTATAAGTTTTAGTTGCATCCACATAAAATATGAATTCCGATCGTTCTTCTCGGAAAGAGGACATAAAATCCAAAACAATGTAAAGATCTTCTCCTTGTTTTCCACAGAATTTAGTCGTTGATGCCTCGGTGCAAGAAAATTTCTGAAATTCGAAAAACAATGGGTGCATGCAAGTTAAAATGAATTGCACTGAAGATGATACTAAGGAACCTTTAAAAAATTCAAGAAAGTAACGTCTAAATACATGTATAAGTATTTGAGAACAGTAGAATTTATTAAGCTTTCTCTTATTTCGATTTTTCTTAGTTATGTCTTATAAAGTGATGAAAACATGTATATTTATAACGGGGATTAAATAAAGAAGAATTTTAACAGTAAAATTTATTTGCTATAGCTATTTTTAACATTAAGCATATTTCTAATATTTAAAAATTAATGAAATTTTCACAGAATCAAGAAGACAATATCTCGAAATTAAATTTCGTTTTATATTTTTCTCCTGGACATTAAGAATAAAAATAACTGTTGCCAATATGTGTCTTTTATCAAAAGTGTAATGAAAATATATTGCTATATGTCTATAGCATGATTTACCAAATTTACATAAATAATTTAACTTAACTGGATTAAGGATATATTAGTTATTTTCATATGCTTCCTATATTTAACTTTTTTAACATAATTATTTATAAATGACAAAAAGATACAAAAACAAAAATCGTTTCTTCCTTTTTATGGATTTGCTACAAAAATTTCATATTTATGATATTTTTAACATTTACATTTGAAAATTTCTCCAAGTCTTCGATTGTGTAAAAATTATAAAATCTATTATACAGTCTTAAGAATTATCGCCATTCGATTCAGCCATTTTCGCAATACCGCCATGATTTCCCAAGAACGTTTTTCCTCTATATAAAATTCTCTTTATTTACCGCCATCCGCCACCCTGTTTTCACAACAAACGTCCATTTTTTGTTAATTTGTATACTTGCATATACATGTACTACTGTTGTAAAGCATGTCTGTGCAATTAAGTAAATTAATTAAACAATAATTTTAACATGAACTGTTAGAACAATTTTGTTTTCTGTTTAATAAAATAATATCCATTTTTAGATAACGATAAATATTTTAATTATGCTTTTAAAAACAATGCAAAGTTTGCTTAAAAAATAATTATAAGTCAGAAATTGTGAACGTTTCATTAAAAATAAATATTTCTACTTATTTTTTTAATATATTACATTTTTTTTTTTAATAATATATATACATGCATACACATATATATATATATATATATATATATATATATATATATATATATATATATATATATATATATATATATATATATATAATTACGAGAATTAACTGTAATTTTGAGACAATAATGCGCCACCATTCCGCCAAAAATATAGTCCCTGCTAGTTTTCAAACACAGTTTACAAATTAAAATATAAAGTTTCATTCCTAGCCATATTTTTACTCCACTTTGAAAGTATTTGCTGTAGCAACATATCCATTTTTAGTGTAATTATTAAATAATGTATTCTTATTTGAAAATAAATATTCTACTTTTTTAAATTTTACTTTAATAATATTTATATAATACTTCAGACAAAATAGAACCTTTTTTTAAAATGATGATTAATTTTAAAACTTTTTTTAAAATGATGATTAATTTTAAAACTGTATTAAAGTTTAAAGATGGAATTTACAGAAACATATCGTATGATATTTTCTAGTTAGCCAAGAAATCAAATAAATTCATACCCTCAAAAACTGTACCATTAAGACTATTTCTAAGGGATACTTTCACAGTGCACATTGGGTCATGAAATTTATTAACGGTCGCACATATTTGAAATTTGTCCTTGGAATCTGCACCATTAGCTCTGAATCCTATGTGTGAACACCATACGGCACCATCTTTATACACACTGTCATAATACACGTAATATGCCGAATCCTCTATTATTTGCTGTGGTCGGAGAGAGCATACCTTGCCAAACTGAACTAAAATTAAAAATAAATAATAAAAAAGGACAATTCAAACAAAATGTGATTGTGAAACACTGATGCATCCCTTATGGCAGGTTATGGCAAAGATTCAAGTTTCTTAAATACAAGGCAACTTCAAGGTCAAGTTCAAGACTGTTGTTACCCTACTAGAGGCCTGTAACAAGAAGTAACATGTAGAATATAAAAGCCCTATCTTAAGGAATGTTCATTGAAATATAAAACCTCTAGAACCAACTTTTCGAAAATTATCGCAAAGACTAGAGTCTTTGGAAGTAGGTCAAACTTGACGTTCAAGGGCGAAAAGTTAAAACCGTTCTCACGTGAAAGAAAGGTATTGTCATAAAATGCATCTGTGTAATATAAATATGTATGAAAATCCTAACTCTCCATGTTCAAATGTTATGACTTAGGTTAACGTTATTCAAAAGTACCTGAAATTCAATTGTCAGGGTGAAAGGGTTAAAAATGTTGTTTCCCAAGGGAAGTTATTGCCACAAGGAATGCACATATGGAATATAAAAATCCCGGATGTACCCTCTTTAAGGTCTAAGTCTGGTAAAACTTTGTAAAAGTGGTTCAAGGTTGAGAAATTAAAAATACTGGTAAAACTGGAAAGATCTTGCTACAAAGTATACCCATGTGAAATATGAAAATCATAGCTTTAAATAAGCAAAATGTTATTATCAATGTTAGGATTCTTGCGGACAAACGGGCAAACAGACAGACACACAGAGAAAATTATATGCTTCCAAATCTTCAATTACTGTAAACCAAGTATTATACGCGTGCGATAAATATCCGCGAGTTCCGCGAGTATCATCTGCTCGCGGATATTTATCGTCGCGAACCAGTTGTTCATTTTCCCATGTTATGATTAGATATCTGCCCCCATGTGGAAGCAGGTGAAATTTAATTACAAACATTGAAAAAATATATAAACGAATGGCGAATCTAAAACTATTTGTCTAAAAATGATTAAAATGTCAATAATTAAGCTTGTGTTATTATTGTTCTTTATTGTCACAGACGAGTTAGAGATAGCCTGGTTAATTACGACTAATTATGGCCAAGTCCTGCTCTGTCCCAACCATTTACAATAATTGCCCTTTGGCTATGTAATCTTGTAAAGCGTCAATTCGAATCAGCATGAGGATCAACTTTAATCTCCCCGATTTTTTCCCCGATTTTCATTCGAGCGTCGTGAATAATGCGTAAGAAGTATACTCATGGTAACATTTTACCTGCTTTAGGTGCGAATAACAATGCACAGAACACATGATAATGCGTAAGCAGTACTCACGGTAGAAAATTAAGAAATGCTTCCAGCGGTCATCGCGAATAAAAAATCGTATAATAATTGGTTTACAGTACCTGGACAGAATTTTTTTTTTCAAAGATCCCATGTTTTGATTGCGAATCAGTAAGAAAATTGTTTTACTTACATATTTCATGTTCCTTTGCATCAACAAATGTAGAAATCAACACGATGATAACAATAATTACACAAGCTGACGGATGAATTACCATAACTGTTCTGAAATGAAAATACACTAGTAAAAATATTCAGTTCTAAAAGGCACAGATGTGAACAGCAAGTGTATCATATGTCGGTATTATGTCCAATTTTAATTTCATGCGTTATTATTTTTCTATATTGTAATCTTAAAAGGTTCAATTGATTTTATTGTTAATAGATACACCCGTACTTTTTTCAGATATCAGACATTTACACATATTGTGCCCCGGATCGAAATATCTCGGGGTATATTGTTCTTGTCGTGTCTGTCTATATATCTGACTGTCTGTTTTTCTGTATGATTGTTGTCAACATTAACCTAAACCATAATTTACTATCTAGTGGATGGAGATATGCTTTTATATTTCACAGTGGTATTCCTTGTGATAAAACCTTTCTTTGCGTACATAAAAAATTCTTGACCTTGAAGTTTGACCTACTTTTATATAAAAATACTTCACTTTTGATCGTTTGGAGCTAGGGCTTTCATACTTCACTTGTATATTCATTGTAACAAGACTTTTAAGCTGATACAAATGTTTTTGACCTTTAGACCTTGACATAAGAGTTTGGCCCACTTTTTAAAAACTTTAACCTTAGTCATGACTTTTGAACAGTTAGAACCAGGCCTCTCATACTTCACAATTGCATTCCTTGTGAAAGGACCTTTCTTTCGATTTCAACTTTTTTGACTTGAACTTTGAATTTTTACTTGCACTTGAGAGAATTCAACCCTCGCCAAGAGCTGCCATACGGGGGCATCAGTATTTCACAAATACATCTTGTTTTTAATTTCATTCTGAGCTTTCAGTAAGCATGCCGAGCATTTGAAGACTTAACATATGTTGTATATCAGAGATTTGGAGACTTCAAATTCGACACACTCCCATTATGCATAGAATTGTTTGGTCAATTCAATAGCTTTAAATGTAAATTCTAATGCAATCGTTTTGTAAAATTCGTTTTGATTGGCTAATGCACTGTCGTTTGAAGCAGTAAAACGAGCATTAACGATACTGAAAGCTTTTCATTGTGACGTCATAATAGAGCGACGCAAAAACATAACGCTCCATGACGTATTTCATATAACGGAGCTCAACAAAATAAGACGTAAGCAACAAACAAATGCATGGATTGCATTAGAATGGGAATAACTAATCTTCTAATTTGGTATTTGCGACCGTTAATGCTGATTTAACGGTCGCAAACTGAGTTTTACCGGCGACGCGTAAGCGTGAATTGTGACGCTTGATCGATCGAATAGACATTTAATTCTCACCCGTAGCAACATTCATAGCTGAGAAAATAACACATCTTTGGTAGTTAAAATCTTTTGTTTTCAAAATTACCTGCTTAATAACATGATTAACCAATTGCTATCACTTCTGTTGTGATTTTCACTTGTATTTTGCTAATTCAGCAGTTGACTTATGAAATTAGGTACATTTAATTGAAATCAGAAGAAAGTTTTCCTTATTTTTTTTTAATTTCCTTTTAATATGTGGTACTGAGTGTAAGTAACTTGATAATACACCCCGTTTTTTACTACCGGTGTAAAAGGTATAAGTGGAACAATATATTTATACAAAAGCATGCCCCGTACCGAAACACAAAGAAATATTGTCATACATACGCACGGTATTCAATTACTTGTAATTGTGTAAAGATCATTTCGCAGCATTCTTTCACACTCTAGTGGCCAATGCCGTTGATTAAGGATTAATGTTACAATTGTTTATCGAAGCTTAAGTTTCAAAGTATCTAGTGATTCATAATTACGCAGATTTTTTCCTTTCATTTTTGTCAGTTTGCTTTTAGTTTTAATTTGGAATAAAATGTATTTGGTTGAAAAAATTATACTGCAAGTTGACGCAGGAATTTTATTAACATAAGAATCGAAGGATTTTATGAAAAAGGCACTTAAAAATCCTAATACATGTAACAGTATGCTTATATTACATATACAATATATATATATATATATATATATATATATATATATATATATATATATATATATATATATATATATATATATATATATATATATATATATATATATATATATATATATATTAAGGTAATGATATTACGCGAGACACTTATTGAAAATAGCAAAGAACAAATCCCAGTTCCACATCATGTTAGTTACCAAAAAGATATAAATAATAATGAAACGTTGGTTAAGGGTGAAAGGGAACAATTTTTGCATTTTTATTGCATTTATTTTTAGGGCTATTTTGTGTGTAACATTTAACAAGTTTTGTAAATTAAGAAATTCAAGACTGTCTACAGTGTATATCAATGTATATTGAATTTCTTAAATAAAAAAAGATAATGTAACACATAGATATGGCCAGTTACCGGTAACTTCTATGTTAGAGTACATAATGTATCAAGTTTCATTATTGATTTTAATATTTTAAAAAAAGATACTTTAACAATAACACAATGAAAACATTCAAGAGCTACTCAAAGAAAAAGTAAGAATTTCTTTACAGGTCTCTCAGTAAAAATCTCCAGAAAAATCAGAAAAATAAATGTCCTCTTCTTGTTTCACTAAAGATCTGAATATAACCATACCCAGGTGGAAGTGTAAATGATAAATAAATAGCTAAGTGTTTTCATTTATAACAAAAAAAATTAATGCATACCTTCATTACAAATCATTTCCTGGCTGTAAAAAAGGAGTTAGACGCATTTTCCCCATTAATCAAATTAGATTTATAAATTCATAGTTCATCCGGTCTTTACACGTTGAAACCACTTTCTACATAATTTGAACCCCCTAAAAAAGTTAGTTTACTTGTTACAACTAAGCAATGAAAAAAAAACAACATCAAATTACATTTTTAAGGATTAATTGTGCAATTTTACTAGAGATATTAAGTAGCAGTCATGTATTTTTAACAAAAAGGGCGATTATTTTTTTCTTCCTGGTCACGACATTGACATATTTTTTTCATTGGTTAAAAGAATGCTAAATGCAACAATTCAAATTTCATTGAAATGAGGAGGAAAATAAGTAGGGCGGAAAATCTTTTTATATGCACCACTTACATGTTGTATTCTAAGATAGAGACCGTATCTTTATTGAACGTTTACTTTAGGGGTATATGTACATATCTTATGTGCCTCATTTACCAATCGTAAAAATCCGGCAACTTATAGAGAGGGGCCAACAAATGACCTTCTAGCCAAAAGAACCAGTTTGCTTAAAACCATTGCACAATTTTTGCCCTGATTTGCAATTAACAATACCCACTGCTCCTCAGTAATTTTGATAAATAAAAAAATCATTCTAAAGTTTATACTTATCTATATTTATCTGCTTATAGAAAGTTTTAATTTGACAATTGTGCAGCAGATTTTTCATTTAGGATTCAACCGATATGTCATTCATATCATGCAGTATTCACCTAGTGCTTTGATGTTCATACCCTGTCTGTCCCACTTTGTTGCACAATTTAGCAATTGTTTTGTGGTGACAAGAAAGTGTTGTTGCCATATATTAAAATCATTTTTAAGTTTATCAATCTATTTGTTCTTTTTTTAAATTATAACAAAAAAAAAATTAATTGACGAGAAGTTTAAAGTTTTTAAATCAAGTTATAAGAATATAGAACACAACCATAAATCAGAAAAAATATATTTCTTTTTCAAAAACAGGGAGCTCGATTGTCATGTATTCTATGAAATGGTTACATTTCTCTTCATAGACCACGATAGTGATTTTACTAAGTAAGACGTTATGGGTTTTTTTTTGCATAATCATTCAACAGATGCATCATAAGCCATTTTTTAAAAAAAAGTAAAGTAACGTGCGCGTACAATCAGAAAGTTGACGATTGAAAATGATCTGAACTCATTTCGCTTATCATGCAGTTTTTGTTGATTGCAGTTTTACTAGTAGTTGTTTGTTATCGTGCATTGGTCGCAGTGCTTTGATGTTGCAAATATTTTCATCTTCTCCTCAAGAACTTCTGAAAACCAATTTCGCCTATAAGGCATATCAATTCTAAGAATTCTAAGAATAAAGGGTAGTAAACATGTCACTTTCTTGTCCCCAGGAGGTCCTTGTGGTTTATGAAAAACAATTTAAATTGGTGTACACTTTTAAGATCGTCATTACTCCTGAATATTCTACTGTTAATGTGTTGGCATGATTATCAAAAGCAATGTCCACTGTACCTTATGCATTAAGGGTGGGGCTATTGGAAAAATATAGTGAAAATTTATTCTTGAAAATATTTCTGCTCCTGTATATTAAGTAGACAAATAAATTGCCCCTTCCGGTCCATTATAATTATTCCTTCCATTAAATTCCAGATCAGTGAAATTAAGTACCCCTGGATAAGGGATTCTCGTGTACGTAAGAGCAAGGTTCTACATATAAAAATAATTTTTATTATTAGGAAATTTTCTTATCTGTTCCTTTGTCTGAAAGATTTTTTAATTGCGTTGCTTATAATGATATACAAGGGTGTCTTCTAAGAGTTCATGGCCCTGGCTCAGGGGTTTCTGTTCAGAAGTAGAACATTGTTGATCATTTTGTAAAAAAATTAAATAAGTTCCTCAAAAATATTCTCTGCCTCTAGGTGTATGTATTTAGCAGTATTAGTAATCACAATTATAGTAAAAATTGAATTTTTCAACGGATTTATTTAGTCACTTAATTATCGACCATGACAAGGAGCACAAGGCGGATGGGACGCTCATTCCTCCATGGCACCTGATCCAATCTCTTATCTTTTGGAGGTCTGCGTTTGCTTTACTCCTATGTTCTATTGGTTGATGGGTTTTTGAGCCTAAAAACTAATCGTTATTTTCATTTATTTTATCCTTTCAAAGACGTTTCTCTTGAACAAGTATAAAAATCTTTCTCAAAAAAGCAAAAAAATCGCTTTTCCCCAATCATTGCCAATGTTTTGTAAAGATTCGAAAGTATGAATGACATGCAGAACTGTAATCACATTCTTGCAAACAAAAATTTTTTTCACGGTTACCTGAAGGGGGATTTATAGTGATGTTATTTTTACCCAAGATGTCAAAAATCTCTGTACACGTAGCAGTACACAGGAAGTCTGTGTTTGGTAATCAGGGTCAACATTACGTGTTTTGTGTCTAGTTTGAGCGAAACTACGTAAAATAATTATTTTAATATGAACTTTATTTTGTAAACTAACCGCATTAATCGTAATGTTTTGAAGGAAAAAAATATAAAGACTTGGCAGACTTCCGTTGTCGAGACTTTTTCTTGTAAACTATCCATGTACAGCCACGTAGCATCGTTTTCGAAAGTTGGGTGGGGGGCAGCCAGAGAAAAAAAATTACTTACCTGAAAAAATTGACCAAAAGAAAAAAAAAGTTCCCCAAAGCCGAAATCCTACTTCCGAGGTGGGGTTGGGGGGTGGGTGGGGGGTGTAGAAGCCAATATTTTTTCAATGTAGATTTCCTTCAGTACCAATTTCTTTTACCTACAATACTACATTTTCCTTATATCACACCCCCCCCCCCGTTGCTACGTGCCTGATGTATTCCTCAAATATTACCTCAAGGAATAGCCTAGAGGAAATCTCATTTTGTGGGAAAGGGGGTGGTTTTGACAAGGGACTTTCCTTATTCAATTTTCTTCAGATTCATGGCTTTTTTACCTTGTTACAAGGAATCCGTGTTTCATAAGGGGATGGGGATTTCTTTTTTATTTTGGAAAGATACTTTATAATGAAAATGCAAAATCCAATATTCAAGCATTATGATGAAGGTAAACGTATAATTACATGTATAAAGTTGATCGCTGGTATATTTTACACACTAGGCATTTGAACAAAACCAATATTACAGAATATCTGACATAAATTAAGATAAACTTGTGTGCACAGTGCTCATATTGTCAACAAAACTACCGCTACATACACGAAAATTTCAACTTTCCGCTATATTTTTCTTTCAATAAGACTATTGCCGACTACAAACCATTACCGCTACATATGTCCCGGCCAGCAATGCCACTGTAAATAAGTTCTATTCATAATGTTTCGTTATAATGATAATAAAGTTTTTTGTAGCTTCTAATTGCCGTTCTATAATATGTCCTGTTTCGTAGATCAAACAAACCTTCGACATCGAAAAAAATAAATTGTCATATGGGCTTCTTAAAGGGCACAATTACTCGGTTAGGATAGAAAAGTTCATGGATAATACCGTGAATTAAAATTGATTAAGTAGACATATTTATCTTGTTTATTTTTTGTTTGTATTAGTTGTAATTAATAACTGTTGGGTATTCTCAAGTATGAATTGTGCAAAGTACAGTGGTAAATAAGGTTCGCAAATTCGGAAACAAGGAATGATTCAAGACACATTACGGTATGACCCCCTCCCCCAAAAAATCCCATCAGGACTACCATCACTTACTAGCACATGTAGCTGGTGATAGCTATATATACTTGTAAAGTCTTACTACTTTTGAATAAAAGCATAACTTAAAAGATTATTTAAAATACATATGTATGATTTATCCTTTATCAGGTCACCATCAAATGCACATATATTGAGGAAGGATTATAACGCTATATACGTACATTCTGAAACATGCAATCAATGAGATTCCCGACACTAGAATGGTTCATTCTTAATTTAAATGGATTTTATAAACTTGAAAGATAATTATAAACATATGTGGATTTTATCTTGTGTGATTTTGTTTGTGTTCACTTGTTAAAACAGCTGTTGATATTATTCGCATCCTACGTAAATACTGTGTAAAATCAGCGTAAAATAATGAATGCTAATGTTGCATAATTTTCATTTCCGGACTTAGTATTTATAAAAAAAAAAATGAATATTGTTCCCACTCATTAACCGACACGAATTTAATACTGGACGGAGATTTTTAACCAATTATTTTATACACAAAAAATAAAAGTGGTTAATGCTTGGGAACATATTCAATTTCATCAACATTTACTGATTTTTCGTGAAAAATGAACGGATTTCACTGAGCAACCGCTGTTTGGTGTGGTATTATGACGTCACTGCAACATATTACGTCATTTTTATATAAGTTGAGTTTAGCTTTGATCTTATTGTAAACGAAACATAAGGGACTTGAATAAATAATGGTAGTTTAAAAATATATATATATATATATATATATATATATATATATATATATATATATATATATATATATATATATATATATATAATTTTCTGGCCAACAATTTCCAAAATATTTAATATTTTCAATTGTTCATGTGTTAACAAAATTTTATCGTTAGAAAGATTTCTCTTCAGAATCGATCACTATTAATTATCTTCACCTTTTCATTACGAATATAGACAGACGCTAGAGGAAATTCGAGCATTAATTCTGACATAAATTTCTGTACTACATCGTGCAGATTGTATAGCCTTTGTAACAAATAAAACATCTTTTGTAAACTTTATGCCGATAATGCTGAATATTTTTCTTATATCCCATTTCTTAAAAAAATAATTTTAATCGTCGGACGTCCAATTACGGCAAATTGAGCCGTTTTCTGTGGACAGTCTTTTTTCTACAGGTTTCGTGGACAATATAACACTTACAAGTAACATACAGCAGTGAAGTTAGAAAAGAAATATTTTATGATGTCAAAGTTTTAATAATATACGTACTTTCAATTATGTTTTGAAATAAAATTCAAACGCATGGAGTTTTCTAACCCGCGTGTATATACAAGGCGGGTACATGAAATGAAAGAGTTTGGTGTGCGACAAGGCAATTGTCTTCAAAACATGCAAACTCAGATTATCAGGTAGCACAGGTAGCTGATCTGCCAATCAAATCAGAAGCTATTGTTTTTCTAATGATTGACAGGCGGTAAATTATTGATTTTGAATCAGGTAGATTTTGGGGGCGTTCACATAAAATTGGGTGTTCAAGATATATAGTTCAATGAACATGTCAAATGCAAAATTTAACACAACTGATTTTTCTCCAGTAGAGTGATAAAGTAACGTAAAGCAACTATTATTTGCTTCATCTTTTATCCGCGATTCGTAAGTTTGAAATTGATCTGAAACGATTCATCTTCGAGACTCGGAGGAAACATTCTATACATTGCAAGGCGAAATAAATGGTTCGCAATGGTTCTCGATGATTAAGATTCACAAGTTAAAGTAGGTTGCGAAACTCGCGAATATTTCTCGCACACGAACAAAAGTTGGTCATCAGTATTGTCGAGTTAAATATTTCCCAAGACGAAAAAAAAGTTAAGCATACCTTGAGTCCTTTAATACTGCTTGGTTTGAAACTGGAAATTTAAAATTTCTTCCTAAGATTTCATTAATTATGAATTATTTTTTGTGGTTTATTTCACGTCAAACGTTTCACCAGTCTTGAATCCATACCACTATTACTAAACTGATAGTTACACCCTCTGACATGGATGATATACAATACCACACATAATAAAAATGACAATTTTGAATACAGGTTACACCATGGGGGAGAAAATGTACCTTTTTAGTCGGGATATTGTTTCATTGACATATTTTTACGGAATATATTTTCTTCCGGGTTCAGGTATTTCAACAAATAATGAATTAATAACAAATTTTTATACATAAATTATAAAATAATGTTTATCCGGATTTTAACTCATTTATCATCTGTTATCATTCAAATTTGGTTGAAAAAAATGGAGACAGCGGACAGTATTCCAGCTCTATAATAAGTCCATTCTAGATAACAATACAAAGCAGGAGCAGAGCATACACAGGCCTCTGAAAACATCAGATGTTGGACCAGGTGGTATAAGGAAGTAAGTATTCGAGGGGTCTTCATCGTCTGCTCCTTGTCATAATCGATAAAAGGAGAATTCTGTAGACAATTTGATAAGTTAATAATGGCCATTAACAATTAGATTGAATAGGCATTCAACTAAATGATACATTGTATTTGCTGACAAGGTTATTGTTTCGATCATAGAAGTTGTGAAATCAATATTTATATAAAACGAGACTGTTAATAGTCTTTTTTCATCAACTTGTATGTCAATCGCTTTTCTATTCTTAGAAAGTGTTCATACAAGTAAGTCCTCGTGTACGGATCTGGGATATCAAAAACCCATTTGCAATCAATAAAAGAATACGTATATTACTACATGTACACAAGAAAGCGTGATTGGCGATAGAAAAGTTGAATTCAACATGTTTTAATTATCATTATTATTTTTTTTTTGTTAAGATACAATGAACATCTTTGACTATTATAATATCCGAACACGAAGCAGACGTGTTAGACTCTGCAGTGTCTTTTATTTTTAGTGCACTGGGATATACGAGTTGATATATGAATTGAAGTTACTATATTAGTGGTTGATAATACGTTACATGCATATCTAAATGTCGATTTGAAGGCCATAGCAAGTGTTTTCTTCTTTTGCAGAAGTTTTTGATTAAATTATGCTCCAAATGAATAAAAAAAAAAACCCAGTCTGCGTAACTGGTACCCATGGAAACTAAATGCAGATGTCTGCAATGAAAATTACTCCTTCATTGTATGGCAATTAGCAAAAATAACTTTTAATTAACTAAGAAATTAAATAATCTCTAAACTGACAATGCATACTGTAAATCACTTTTTTTTCACGAGAACTTCATTTTCGCGTATTTACACGTGGCAGAGCGCTCTCGAAAATATGATTCTCGCGTATATTAGTATTCCTATGGATTATATGAGGCAATTACCACAATTCGTGAAAATTTTGTCTCGCCCATAGAGAGGCAATGACTCTCTCGCGAAAATAAGGTGTCACGAAAATGTAGTGATCTACAGTAATCAGGATCAAGTGATAGTAAAATTGAATGCAAATGACAGATCTAGAGCACCTAAAAATCCAGATATTTTACATCTCTAGTTTACTTATTCCAATTTATTTGTAACAAAAGTGGTTTTTTGGAGTGATTATAAAAAAAAAAACCTTGCCTGAACGATGGAGTAACTTCTCTCCAGATATCTGAAATATTTTCGAGATACTTAATACCTTAGCTTCATATCAGCAAGCGTGGATCCTTACGCAAGATGTGTAATAGATTACTCCGAGCATGGAATATCAGGTTCCCTGTTTTTTGCTTAGTGATACTGTGATCATTCAGTTTAAGACCTAAGTGACACCTCATCTTATTACAAATACTTGATGACGATATCCTTCGCCCCTCCCTCTTCTGTTGTGTGTTTACGAGTTCATATTAAAATCCATAAAGATAAGTCGTCGTGTCCATTTGGTATGGTTTAAATATTTCTGTGTTTTTGTGAAAGAAATTCGCCGTTTAAATTTTCCACATTAAGTTTTATACTCTCTGAGTCGATTTCTTTTACAGGAGAATAATTTATTGAAGTCTTAAAATTAAAAATTGTAAGTTCACCCTCGGAAGTCGCGAAGGTTGAAAAGCAATTCACAAGTAATGCTAAAAGTGTGTCTGACTTAAGAGCTTGTTTAGCTTTTGGGAGTCATCTGTTGGAAATTTTTCATACACATCACATGGTCCTCAATCGGATCAAGATTCTTTAATATTCACCTGATATTGTATACTTTTAAAAGTAGAAAAATGTACTTTTTCTGTTTCAGTATCCTAAGAAAAGAATGGCAGAGAGGCACAAAAATGTCCAAATTTCATCATCACTTCATGCGATTTCAAACAGGATATCAAACATGAGTCTTTTGCGTTTCTTTTTCATTTGATGTTATTGTATTTCTTCTGTTAGCGTGGAATCAATGTCTTGATCAGGTGCAAATTATTTTTCCATGACTGGTAGTTGTCCAGTCTTGAAACAAAGCCTTAAATATTTCTTAAAGTAAAAGTTACAGCCTGAAATACTTGGTTAATTTCAAAGCTATGGCAGGACAATGGCTTCAACCCTATTTCTACCTAAATCTGACGACTAAAATTGTATGATGTACATCCGCACTGTTTCGCTATAATCCAAGAAACACTGCCAGGCAGTTTACATGGACCTTTCTGAATTTTTTTTTAAAGAAAAATATGTTTGGTTGAGAATTTCTTTTCAATCTCAGAAATTAAGCTTTTGAAAAAAGTTAACAGGTAATTTTAACATATTTGTCTTGAAAATAATGTGATAACAATTTATTTGTTGAAATGCATATTGAAATACTATTTTAAAATGGATTGATATGCAATTTTGTGTTGAAGTATTAATATTTCTATCAAGAAATGTTCCCAGCGTAGTTCATGAAATGCATTGATTTGTTGAAACAAGTTGAATCAAGTTTACTGTAACTTAAGCGTGGAAGGAAAAAAATTCAACCATGCAATCAAAATCTGATCTTTATTTATAACACTTTATAAAATAAAAAAATAACACAAAGCAAAAATTAGTAATTTAATACTCATTATTATTATTATTATTATTATTAATGTGTTTTGTATACATATGACGAAACAATAAAAAAAAAACTGGTTTAAAAATTCCATATTTAGTTAAAATAGATCTCAGATCATTAAAAATATTGTAAATATAAACATGAAAAATATCATGAAGTTTGGAGACTAATATCATTTAAATTTATATGGTCCTACTATTATACTAATTAGTAAGTAAAAGTAAAATTAATGTTGGGTAACGTTCAAAATCTCAGAGTTTTTCTTGAGTATACTAGTATAAATTTGATTTTAAAGAAGCAAGAAACGGTATGTCACTCTATATTTTAGCAGCACTGAGGCTTTTTCTCTCTCAAAGAAACTTACCCTTTCACGCATTAAGATCTCTGTGTACAGTTCTCTTTTACATAACAATCAAATGAATAACATTTAAAAATGATAAGTAAACTTAACAAATAACGTGCATATTGATGATGCATGATACATGTATATGTATTCCAAAAATATTGTTTGGTAGGATCACAGAGAGATGTAAGTGTACATGTGAGTGGAAAAAACTCATTACAATCTTGTTAAGAACAATGCAAGGGTAGGTGATTGTAGACCCCCTGTTTTTGCAAAGATAGACATAATATAGGTACGCATTGAAAATTTGGGCTTTGGTAAAATTTTGGCTTATACCATCCCACCCGAACCACCACCACTATCAAAATAGTCTCCATGGTAACAACTTATAATTGCTTTTGACCCCTAAGATACATCTTCTATACTGTAGTTATTAATATTAATTACAAATATGCATCATTCTACCTTATTTTCAGCCTTGCTCATTCAATTCTTATAAAATGAAAATAATTGTCGCTGCCGTATAAAACGGAAATACACTTATCCTTATTATCAATCTGTAATAATTAATTGCAACCACCTTTCGTAACTTGATTGATGTAATATTATACGAATAGGTTTTTCTGGAAGGTAACATTTGAAATTGAAATCACTCGGAAAACATATCGGTCCTTGGAATGTCAAGTTCAACAGTAACTTGCAATATTATAATTATTGAAGGTTTCAGACGTATTTTGTATGTGTGCACATCTTGCAAAGTTGATGGTTCTAGACCTAGAATTTTTGAATTATTGATTGGATATGAAAAACAAAACACAGGTAATAAAACAGACAAGACTATCATAAATGTACGTCTGTCTAAGAGGTATAACTTGTCTAAGAGGGAATAACAATAACTGTATTTAGTTCAAAGAAAATTTAGCAGACTTAATATATCAATAATCAAAAATATAAATTTATATATGTAGGACTCCAAAGTGCGATGGTCACGCCAAAGTCCGATGGTCTGCGCCAAACCCCGATGGTTTGACATGCTAAAGTCCGATGGTACAGAAAACAATTAACGTCTATGACGTCATAGTACTACTGCTTAAGAATTCGATGCCTCGGCATGCCAATAAATAAATACAAAATATCATAAATACAAAGACTAACCCTCGTCTTTTGGATGTAGGTGCGAAACTAAGACTTATCAGTCGAAAAGTGAGTATCAACTCTAACCTAACTATTATAGGTGGGTGCAGGACTAATCTTAATCAGTCCAATAGTGTGCGAGGACTAACCCTAAAATTTCTCGGGTGGGTTCGAAGAAGCACCTTACTGTTCAAGGACTAACCCTTATCACTTCAGTGGTGTACGAGGACTAACTCTAATACCTCTGGTGGGTGAAAACAAAAAGCAATATCCGTAAATACACATGTGACACAAATACTGAATCAATAAATTTTGAATGCAGAATAAGGTAATGACGTCGGACTTTAGCGTCGCGCGTCTCATAGGAAACGAGCCATCGGACTTTGTCGTGACCATCGGACATTGGCGTCCGTAATGACAAGGAGCCATCGGGGTTTGGCGCAGACCATCGGGGTTTGGCGCGACCATCGGACTTTGGCGTCACCATCGGACATTGGAGTCTTACAAATATATTAAAAAAAGAAAAACTTAATAAGGTAAATGTAACATTAAAGCATTCATGGTTGTGTCATGCATAATTTTTGCCTTTGATTTCCTTTCACAGGTTTGAACAGTTTAGTCTAATTCATGATTTCATCATAACTTGGCGGGGGAGGAGCAGACGCTTGTTTTGGTGGTGGTTGCCATTCCACTGTTTGCGAGGACTGAATTGAGGACTGAGTACCATAATCAGTTGCATAAGGTGTTGAATAATTCGCTGCTGGATATGAGGTGATGTTTCCAGCTGGTTGTGCAGCAGATGTGGGATAGGGATAGGTTGGCTGAGTTATGACTGAGTAAATGAAATGAGTAAAGTCTTAAGAAGTACTGCCATTACTTGAAAATGATTTCACTTAAAGATTAAAATAAAAAGACAAAACATGCATATATTACTCTTTTGATCAGTTTGTGCTTACCAGAACTTGTTGTAACTTGACCAGTATGGGTGAGTACTCGTCCCACAGTCGGCTTTCTTTTACAGACACACCAACAGAACAGAGCAGTTAGCAACGTAACTAACAAGATGCCCCCGATTACTCCACCGATAACGCCCCAAGCTATGTCACTTACTGTAAAATGAACACTCCGAAGTAATAAAAAAGCTTTGGATGAAACATGTTTTTTATTTTGTTATTTAACACGCAAGTAGCACTGCATATTACTCAGCTTGTACTTGTATGGAATATTTTCAGTGTTGAATAAATTCAAAATTTACGCAGACATCGTATTCCACTCACGTGAATTACTTGAACTATATATATCACTCGAAGTTTTCAAATAATAAAATCTCGTGAATGGGAAAATCTTGAGATCAAATCTATAATTTTTGGACTGATTGCTCTAGTAATTTTTTGGAAGAATACAGGACTTACACCTTATATATGACTACAGTGTATATACTTTGTAAAGATAGAACAACAAATATTTGCAATTATTAGCTTAAAATGTATATTTTTTGGTTTTGTTGTCAAATAAAGGAAAACACGTGACAACATGTTAAGGGAAGAACTACATTGTATAAATTAAGTAATAAGAATTTTATCTTTTTCAATGAAAATTTTATCTCGAACAAGGTTTTTTCTGTAAATTTACCGGGTAGAGTTAGCGATTATTCTTAAACAATTTTTTCTCCTTTAACTTTTTTTGTTTAAAAAACTTAAGACATAATAACAATAAATATCTATTTTACTGATTTTACCTTCTCTAAATCATTAGTTATTTTGTTTGTTCAATTTTATTTAACAATTAAAGGCTTCAAATTAAGACCTAAAATCTGCACCAACATGTAAAACAAAATGTGCAGTTCGGGTTCTTTTTCTTGCCAGCACTTGCTGCGAAAATGAACCTCAATTTATACAATTTGATCCGAAAGATCAATTTCCATGTCTTGCAGTGGTATTCTAAACCCAAACGTACTGATCAACCCGTAGTCCTCGACTCTAAAAACAAACGCTCCAACTACTGAGCCACGCCGGCGTGTTGTAAAACAAAAGATCTGTTTTATGAATTAATAATACGTAGTTTATATACAGTTTCAACTTGTAAAATACTTACAATCAATCTTTTTACCAGTGATAAGAAATCTGAAACTGACACCGGTTGTTGATTTTCCATAAACTTGAGTGAAGTCTATGTAAAGTAGTTTACCAGTATCGGCACAGAATTTTGAGCTTGAATAAGAGCTTGAACAAGAAAAGGTCTGGAAAAAGAAATTGTTAGCATTAATCATTTTTCATTTACTGATCGTTGCAAAAACAGTGAAACACATCTTTTTAGAAAGCAATCTCATGTCCTCGTTATTGAATGTTTGAGGTATGTAGACTTTCAGTCTGTTTGGCTGTCTGTCTATCCACAAAGACTTTAACTTGCCCTAACTTTTGAATGGTTGGAGGTATGGCTTTCATACAATTTCAAAGTATTTCACATGTGTATACTATACTTCGTTACAAGGCCTTTCCTTTGATACCAATTTACATGTGTTTGACCTCTTTACCTTTGGGTTTGACCCACTTTTGCAAATATGAACAAACTTAATCTTTGGCCATAACTTTCGAACTTTTGGTGCTAGGGCATCCATAATTCATATTAGTTGCTACAACGCCTTTACAAGGACATAAATGTGTTCACCTTGCGTTCTACCTGGACTTCGGAGTTTGTCCCACTTTAAAATTTAAGTTATTTATCTTCATCATTACTTTTGAACATTTAGAATAAGGGTCTTCATATGATAAAGGTTTATTTCGTTTGACAAACCCTTCCTTTGGATATCACCAATTTTGAGTTTATATTTTACAAGTATATATAATGAGACTAGTACTTTTGTTGGATAATCGTGTTCATGTTTTGACTTTGGACTTTGATTTGCATTTGAGGAACTTATACATTCGCCAAAAGCTGCAATACGGGGGTACCTATGTGTTTCATAAACTTATCTAGTTTAAAAACTATTTTTAGAATTCTGTTCCTTTCAAGCTTTTTCCAAGAAAAATAAGCATTTTAAGTTTGAAAATAAATCTGAAAATAATTATATTATATTCATGTGAAATACAAGTCTGTTTCATATGATATTAATTGAAACCTTTCTTAAATACCAGTATTAAGTTGAATACGCTTATTTACAAAATGTCAGTAAAATTTTACCTTTAATTTTTTGCCCATGTAACCAGATCTAAACACTATTTCCACGCTGCAGTAATAATCCCTGAACCACTTCGGTGTAACACAGACTTGATATTCATCACTGAGTGTCTCCCCTTGTCCTTGGAAATACATGTAGGAACACGAGCTAACTCTTTGTCCATCATAGTTAAGATTAATTTGGCGATTCTCGTTAACTTCTTCGGATTTTGGACAGTCGTCTCCAATATTATCTTTACAAACAACAAAAACATTGTGTCAGGATCAAGATTTGTAGTGCTTGTGCTTTAACATGTAAGTTTCCGATTTGATTGCTAATTTCCACAACAATTAACTCCATTTGTTTCCAGCATTTACGAGTTATCAGTACATTTTAATTATAGAAAAAAAATGGAATCTTTAAAAGATAAGCAGAAATATCTTCAAAAAAAAATTAATAGTTTAATAGAAAAATGAATTTAAAAATCTTTGAATGTGCCTTTGACTAGGAAACTGCTGATATCAGTTCAGTATCAAAAAGTTCAAATATCAATGTAGTTCAGACATTTGATTTTCTATTAAGGCCCTTCCCTATTTCCAAGGGTCGCCCGCGTGGCGCAGTGGTTAGAGCGTCTGCTCTAGAGTCGTCGCGAAGTAAAGAGTCAATCCTTACGTCGCAGGTTCGAATCCCACTGTGGGACGTAGAGACCGGTCCTTCAAATGAGATCATATAAACCGAGGTCCAGTGTCGGAGTAGGTGCTGGCACGAAAAAGATCCCTCCCTGTTCACTGGCCCTGAGTGCCGAGTATAGGACAAAATTTGCAGCACTCCGCCGGCAAGTGGTGGCGTCTCCATATGAGTGAAAAATTCTCGAGAGGGAAGTTAAACAATATAGAATCAATCAATATTTCCAGGGACCAAATTGAAACGTATCACAAACTAATCTACCTGAGGATGATTTAAATTAATAGCACTGGTGTTCATGTTCTTAAGAAGATTTTTAATATGATTTTATACTACCTTAATATATAAATATGACTAAACAAGGCTTTGGAGTTCTTGGGAAGATTTTCAAAAAAAAAAATCTATGTATTCCCTCATGTATGTAAAACTCTAAGCCCCCATTGTGACCTCACCTTATCCCAAGGGGGCATTTTTGGAACAAATTTAAAACTATGTAAAAAAAAAAAAGTTTCAAAAAAGTTTGAGCTTTTCTGGCCAGTATTTCTTAAGAAAATGCTTTTAAAATGACAAAACCAAATTTCCCTACGCAGCACAGTTAAGGTTACAGTAAGGAGGCGGGGCCTAATTTGTACGGCAAATGTTTTCTATGACGTCACACATAATATATAAGGTCTTCAAAATACCACAAAATGAAATTATTTGCTATTTCAAACAGCTGGATAACTGTATACTACATACAAACTTACTATTACATGCAGTTTTGTCGTTTGTTAAATCCCACACAACAGTATACAAAACGATGCATCGATCGCAATGCACATGTCAATGTGACGTCATCTCGCAAAAATGACGCAGTTTGTACACAGTGAGAGGATGATCAAGTCACAGTTTTTACAATGAAAAATTTCTTTTGTTCTCAAATAAAATATTATTTGTAGTAAAATTAAAAGCCGTTACATTGGGTGCGATGTCTATTTTAGTATTTTATTTATAAACTGTACGTGCATTCTCCAGACAAGCGATACTGTCGTGTGTTTGTATGCAGATTCATTGAAAAAGAAATGGAAGGGCCCTGATAAATCGATTTATTGCAAGGGCATACCCTCAATGTATCTTGTCAAAATTTTACACATAAATTCAAGAAGCATTAAGATATTTGAAAAGTGCTGCGAACCTCTTGAAATCTTGCAAATAAATTAATTATAGCTATATTTAATGTAGTTGACCAGCAAAATATTAAACCTGCCGTCCAACAAATGAAATTTTACCAATTAAAAAAGGGAATCTATATAGGTTCGCAGCACTTTTCACAAACTACATATAGTGTTGAAAAAGATTATAAAATAAACTAAGATTTTTAACTTGGTTATGCCCTTGCAATATTGAAATTTATAAATGACCTATAAACTGCAAGTATAATTGCGAAAGTCATGTGACGTCGACATCACATGACAAGTCTAAATAAAAAATCTAAATGTCCCCAACATGTAGATTTAAACCATATTACATTTTTTTGATATCAGTGAATTCCTATAAAGAATCGCCCTTCCTAATAAAGTATGTATTTTTTCTCTTAAAAAATCGCCGATATTTCCATTTGTAACCTTAACTGTGCTGCGTACAACATATTTGTATAGTAATTCCCAAAGGAAAAGGGAGTGACCCTCTATTCAAACAAACTTGAATTCCCATTATCCAAGAATAATTTGTGTCAAGTTTGGTTGAAATACATCCAGTGGTTTTGGAGAATAACAAGTATCTTAAAATGAAAATCTGATATCGAAAAAGGGGTATCTAAATCACTTCATAGGCAAAACATAGATATCAGCTTTGTAAGTCAAGCTTTTAACGATAAAAAGAGAAAACTTACATTCTCGAGTCTGTATACTTTCAGCTACGTGACAGGTATAGTATGTCACCAAGAGGACGAAGAACCCAATAAACATCGTTTTCCTATAGTCTGGATGTCAATGTTAATGACAATTGTCTTCCTGCTCAAAGAAAAAATCCTATTACAATTAACATTTGTAAAAGCTTTGAAAGAAATATGTATATTTTTGTATTTTAAATGCAAATTTAATGTATACGTTGTATTTAGTATTTATTTGATTGAGCATGGCCCTACTAAATTTAAATATCAATGATCCATATCAAATATTTTTGAAACTACGTAAATGGTAAAATTAAACATTTTGAAAAGAAGATTAAGCATGCAATTTTCTAATCCAATTTCAAGATTAATTTTAGACTTAAAGCATATTTTTATGGATTAATTTTGATCTTAAGTTGCCTTATTAACTCTATACAGCTTGTGTACTGGGCAATACTCAAGCCTTCATGTGCACACGGATATCGGTACAATAAACGAATGAAATATACCTGAATATTGACCCTAAATATATTGAATATCATATAATTTGATAATATATATGTAATCATAATGTATAAAAATAAATACGTATAGGGATATCATCGTGGTTTTACCACATAGATATCATAACTTACCTTCGATTTTATTCTTATTTCGAAATGTAAACAAACACAATACCATTCGTGACGTAATCAGGTGCAATGTATGGATAGCCAATGGTACAGCTATGAATATATTCTATTTCTTCTTCACTATGCTTAGATTGTACTCTCAAGAATAACAAGATTTTTTTTTTATTTAAATATGACTAAGTAGTATAAAAATGGCTTTTGTAATAATAATATGCTAGTATTTTACCATCGTTCAGTTGATAATATAAAATGATAATTAAATGATACATAATACACACCGGAGAAAAGTAAATATTTACAAAAACAGGGCTTGTGTCCTGTATATACATTAAACAGTTTACGTTGCCCGTGTCTGCAAAATTAGGTTTTTCGGAAAACAGTATTCAAAAAATGGGCCGATGGAACTCAGATGACATTCGTAAGTATGTACGCCTCGAAAGCTTTAAAATATAGAAACTTTATCAAAATGCAGAACTATCTTTGTTGGAATAAGAAGTAAGTACAGGTTAACTACTAATATACAAGAACTTTAAACGGGGTGTTTTTTCAATCCACCAGGTCAGAAGTTAACTGCTAGGGGATTGAAAAAACCATTTATTACAAGTGCACAGGTCAGAAGTAAACTGCGGTGCAACTGAAACTATACACAGGTCAGAAGTAAACTGCTATGTAACTAAAACTATACACAGGTCAGAAGTAAACTGCTGGGTGTCTTAAACTATATACAGGTCAGTAGTGAACTGCTGTGCAAACAGGTTTTCATGTAAATACATAGTGATGTTTATATTTGGAAAATGTTTGTTTGTTTGTTTTTTTTTGCCTTGTTATTCACAGATATGTGTAGTGCCATGTATTAATCAAGTCCCAAATTTTCCAGCTGTGCCTGCTGGTTCTCATGTTTTGCTATTATAAATAATGTAATGTATGGGTCAAATGCAATGTTGTGAAAGCTAGTCTCCAAAAATTTACATCTGGATTAATTATCCTTTTTTACAAACGGAGTGAATTGTTTAACTGTTTACATTTTTTTTCTTGTATGTTAAGATTTACAAAAACTATGTGTCAAAATAGTGTTGATATTTGTCTGCATACCAAAACCATAAGTGCATTTTGTGTGGTCTACCCTTAGATGGCTAGTCCACTTTGGTTGGCGTTTTTGCAAACGTGGTTTGCCTTTTGTGGGCTTCTGTTTTTATTTTTGAACGCCAACTTTTTGCTTGTAATGTATATATGTTTTACAATTTTTTCTGTTATTTCGTACATTATTTTGACATGTAACAGGGGAGATCATTATACAACTTTACTTGTTTATGTAAAAGAATATTTGTATAAGGTTTTTTGATCTCCCCATTTATTATATTCTTTAATACTCATTGTCATTTTCAATAAATGACAATTCACACAAATATGGAGTTGTGATTTTTTATCCAGGAAGAAAGTGGAAGGTTATTTAGATCTCAATAATATGTAAACAAGCAGGTATTACATAAAACAGTGTCTCTTCAATTTTTTAAAAACTGCACAAATATCACTGAACACAGACTAACAATACTTCTGAGTTGGTTTTGCTTTCTCACATTTCTACTCTGAACTTTCCGGATTATAGTTTTATTTGATAGTTTTTCATTCATACACAACAAAATGACTGCTTTTCTGATTTATTAAGAAAAAATTTACTTTGTGAAAGTCAAACGATAATCCTTATCAAATGCGTCCCGAAATTTGTGAACATTCAAAAAGTTTGTTATTATATATCCTTGTATTTGCATAATGCTATGACAACATATAAGACTAAAGTCATGATATTATACAGAAAATCTGAAAACATTATTAACGAATCTGTGTCGAAGCACCCTTAATTATCCTGCAAAAAAGATAAGAAGTGTTTGTTTAAAGATATTTAGTTGAGCATATTGCTCTACAATTAATTAAAGAGCTAGTTTTTCTGTTTTTTCCTTTAAAAGAAACTGTTGTTTGATTACATTTATTGATGATGCATATATTCACCGCATATTTTTTTTCCAAAAAGCAATCAATCTGCAACTTATATATCATTCAAGAGAAATCTTGACATATTTTCTCTCTTCCTTCCATATAGAAGATGGTGTTATGATTTAAAATCAACTGTCAACTGAATCATAGCAGTAAGGATAAAACACAATTACATAATAGAAAATTTTAGCTTTATTCATGATTATAAAACACAAATAATAAAATATAATATATGATGTAAAATTACTAAAAACTAATATCACCGAGTAAAAGGTAATTATTATGCACACGTATACTCCAATAAACTTTCCGTAACAGTTACAAATAATAGAGTTCTAATTAAAAAACGTAAAAATATTTTAAATCAATCAAAAATAAAAAAAAATCGATGGTTGACCTCTAAGGGAGATGTTGGATAAGCATATTAATCTCCATATGTTTCACTTGTCGATGAGATGTTGGACCGCTTATGTCACACAATGGACGGCGCTTAATTTCTTTTGCATTCGTTGATCTTTAACAGTGACGGACCTGAGGTTTACATCACAGAAGACAGTAAAAGATACATGTACATGTATATCAAATTATTAAAATATAAGCTACATTCTGTATAACAAAATATTTGTTGACTGTGTTCTCGGGAAAAATGCGTTTTGTCGACCTTCGAACCGAACTTTCTGCCTTCGACTTAATAGGCTCAGACAAACAGTTCTACACACAAAAAAAATTAAATGAAGTAATTCAAAAACAAAAACCATTGAAATCAGTCAAGATTTTACTGTTATTTAACTTTAGGTGGGAAAGGACGTTTGTTTTTGTGTTTGCTGCCATTCGACTGATTGTGAGGACAGAAACGAGGGTTGAGTACCATAAAGTGTTGAATTTTGTGCTGAATAAGTCGTTGCCGAGGATAAATCGATATTTCCAGTTGGTTGTGCAGTAGATGTGACATACATGTACGTACAGGCAGGCTGAGTTGTGACTGTTGAAATAATGAAAAAAATCAAGAAATTGTCTCATCAAAAATGAATAAATAAAACTCTGTTTTGAATACAGAGTTCATACCCTTAAAATAAATTGCACGTGTTATATTTGGTCGATAAATAAAAAAAAAATATTGTGTGGAGAAAATTGTAATGAGTACATAAATTTTGCTAATCTAACCAAGTCCTAGAAATGTCAACGATGGTATTAATTTTGAAGACATTCATCTCACTTTTCAGCCTATTTTATCAGAAAGGGCAGTTGCAATTGATGGCATAGGTTATTATTAATCATTTTGTTCATTTTTTTGCTGGTAAATGCTAGATATTGAAATGTGATCAAATTGGTTTAGAAGTTCAGAAAAAGTTGGAAGTGTTCAAATATTAATGATCGACGTATGACAGAAAACGCATGGCAAAAGTAGAAATAGGTCCGTAGATTGACTACATGTAATTGACTTCAATACGAATGTTAAGAAGCATCTGGTAAAAATTGTGTCAGCCATTCATATATTCTTCATAATTTTTTCATCATATATTTGGAAAAAATTTCTTGTTAAAACGAACATAGATATTACTAGGGTCATATGATTCAAACTTCAACAATTTTTTTAAAAATAAATTTTAAAGAACTCATCAAACAACGTCGGTCCTTCGCATGAGACCCGCAAAGTCCGAGGTCCCGTGTCGCAGTAGGTGTTGACATGAAAAAGATCCCTCCCTGCTCAATGGCCCTGAGTGCCTAGTATAGGACAAAATTCTTAGCTCTGCACCGGCAAGTGGTGGCGTCTTCATAATATGAGTGAAAAATTCTCGAAAGGGATGTTAAATAACATACAATAAACCAAACAAGAACACAACCTTGCAAAGTCAATAAGCTCACTTTCATTTCGTACATGTACCTCACAATACACACTCACACACACCAGCGCGTTACTATATCCCTTATAACTTCTTCGCAAGGGGATAATTATGTTAGATTATGGTAGTTAGCTCTGCTTCGGAATTCGTTTGATTTCTAATGCTAGTAAAATTCAATGATTGCATGCTTACCAGAACTTGATGTAGTCTGTTCAGATTGACTCGTTGTAAGTTTTCGTATACAGACACACCAGCAAAAGAAAGCAACAACAAAGGCGAGCATTAAGATACCTGCAAATGCGCCACCAATACTACCCAATACTAGGTCAGTGACTATAAAAAGATCATATGATATAACTGTACTATTTCATAATGTATATTTTTCTTTAACTGATTGTTGTCCAAATTTCATTTTCTAGATGTATGCGCAAATTTATTATAACTAAGATAATGTATTTTTTGATTTGCCTTTGGTCGATTATTTCCCCTCAGATAGATAAACACAGCAATTATTTGTAACAAGCGCACGATGAATAAAGGTTATCATGTTATTGAAACATATAAATTAAGACTTTTACAACAAAAAGTATCAAAATTTCTTTTCCATTGGCCATCAATAATGTATAAACAGGTATAAATGTAGGCGATACTTACAACCAAGCCTTGAGGCAGTAATTAAAAACCTGAAACTGACACTGTGTGTTGATTTTCCATTTTGAGGATCAAAATTAACGTAAAGTGGATCACCAACGTCGGCACAGAATGTTAAGTTTGAATACGAACTGGAACAAGTAAAGCTCTGCAAAAATGAATAGGGACTGAAAAAAAAATTCATTTCCATGTACACATACAAGCTATGAGTATTAAAAAAATAAGCCTCTTCCCAATTCTCAAAAATAGGAAATAAATAGAAAATATTTAACTTAGAGACCAACAGGACAAAATTGGCTTAGGTGAAGTCATGATTAATTTTTCCTGTAAAATGTTAAATACAATGTATAATTTGTTCTTTTTATGACCATTTAAAATACAAACCTACATGTACACTATGTTTCATACTTGATCCTTATGGATACATGTTAGAACATCACCAAACCTGAGTTCATGTTTACAAACTTGAAGGAATGTTTCATTCAGAAGACTTAAAATATGCATGTATCAAAACTGGGGGACATTATTTGCAAAAACTTTAATACCAAAATTATGGATCAGTATTTTTTTTTCAAGGAAAAAAATGTATACTGATATTTAATTAAGATTTTTGAAGTTTGATGCAAATATATTATCTTCCATTTTCGACCCACCTTACCTTGGTGATGGGGGTCATCATATTTCTATGTTAAATTACAAACTCTTATGAATGATTAAAACATGCTGCATACAGAACAAATTGCCATATTCTTATCTTTTAGTATTTGAATACGATCTTTAAACAACCAAAGGCATGATTGTATTTTCTAAGTTAAAAAGCCATGTACTAAATTAAGGTACTCCGATCCTCAGCCAGGTAGGATAACTCTTAAATTCATAATTAAATTCAAAAAGTCCAAAAATGAAGGTTTTTTCATGCAACAGTTTTCATGTTATGTCTCTCAATATGCTTCAAGGCTCTTTGAAGTTCTCAAAAAGGTCTTACAAAAAGTCGAAATTTTTATCCCATAAAAGTGTTTCAAAATTACATATTGAAAGAAACTGAGTAGAATTTAACTTTAATTATATAAACACCAATCTTTATTAACATGATATGAAATAAGAAGTGATTTGTGGCGTTATGCAATGATAGGAATGTCTTTATACACTATGCATTATAAAATTATTAAAGTAAATAGAAGAAGCTGGAGTACATTTTATCTATAAAAATCATGCAGTTTCTTCAAAAGCCTGGATACATATGAGTTTTAACTTTAAAACGAATTTGTTGATCGAACCTGAATTGAAAAATGCATAGTAGGCGTTTTTATTCGCATTTCCTGAAAATCTGTTTGAGGTTTACAAAATTTCCTTATATATTATGATTAACTTTAAAGATGAGGTTTGAAGAAGTGTGTAAAAACTAATTTTTTTGAGTATTCAGTGACATTTTTGTGAGCATTTTCAATTAGTCAATGTCTGATTTTCAGAACCTGAGGGTTGGAGTACCTTAAATAAACATGAAATATGAGGAAATAAAACCAGTTAATTAAATGTCTTATTTATACCTTTAATTTTTTGCCATTATATCCAGACTTAAATACTATCTCCACACTGCAGAAAAAATCCTGGAACCACGTTGGTGAAACACAAACTTGATATTCATAACTGGTTTGTTTCCCCTTTTCCTGGAAGGACATGTAGGGACATGAACTAACTGTTTGTCCCCGATAATCAAGGTGTATTTGGCGATCTTCGTTTACTTCTTCGAAGTTGACACAGTCCTTTCCAAAAATATCTTTTAAAAAACAAATAACATTATTCATGTTATTTTAAAATGAAAATTGGCGCTTGTAAGTTTTCAAAACTTTTCTTACAAGCTTTGTATTCAGTGCATTTCATTACATATGATTGCCGCTTTTTATTTATTTTAAGTAGATTCTTTTTTGTGAAACATTAAAAAAGGATACTGATGAATTACACGAAAGTATCCATAATATTTTTTTTTAAAATTAGATTTAACAGCCATTTTAAAAATGTACATGCATTTTTAACGAGTTATAATGGCCTCAATTATATTTGAACATTATATATTAGTAATTTTTATACATAACGAACAAATTCTCATTTAATATTAAGAAAGCTATTTACATTCTTGAGTCTCTATTCCTACAGCAATTTGACGAGCATAATACATAGCGAACAGGATGGTGCATCTTAAAAGCATTTCGTTCCGTATTGTCTAAAATTAAAAAATAATCGCCATCTTGCTGAAAGAAATCACTTTAATGAATAAAATGCGATCAAGGTTAAAATTAAACACAAAAACATACACTGTAATTCCGTACTTTTTTCAGTGTTTTTTATGCATGTCATGACAAAAGTTAAGAAACAAAATAATATCTTAAAAGAAAGTTAAAAAAAATATTTATGAAAAATTAAAGGAATAAATACAGTATTCTTCGTCAAATGTAACTGGGCTGGAATTTTTGTTTTAGAATAAAAAAACTGTTTATATACATGTAACAGGTATACAGTCAAATATATTGTATAAACAGAAAATAGATAAACACCATACTGGAAATAGATTGAATGATAATTAAGCTATTTAAGCAAATATAAGTCTTTAACATACATATTAATTGTACTTAAATCACCAATTTACTTTGTTTAATCTTAATTTAATTTAAGCACCCTAAGTGTTATAATATATATGACTTTGTGAAGAACAATTATTACAAATTCTCCGGATGTGCGTAGATGTCGTTTGCAGAAAAAAACCTTCTGTACAGCGTTTGTTTGTTTGTTTGAAGTTATGACTGCTAATTGGTGCATGAATATTATCTCAAAATTAGTACAGGTGGAATATCAGATATCAAACTTTTAAATTAATACATCACTTACCTTACCTTTGACCTAATTTCAAAATGAAAATAAACGCAATTGTAATTTAGGAACACCCGTGACGTAGACAATGTGTGTAATGTATGGATGGCACTGCGGACAACTGCGAATGTGTTCAGTTGTTCACTCAACATTTGACTATGTGCAGTAAGAAAGCAGTAATTGATATTTAATCTCTTATTGCCTAAACTGAATTAAATTGTAGAATAATCCCGAAAACCTTATACATACAATTTCTCATCCTTGCAGATATCCTATTTGCAGTTATTTTATTTCATAGAGGAAAAAATGAACCTTTAATAAAATGTTTTATTACCCTTGACCAAAATTAAGTTATTTTTTGTAACGCAGTAGATTGAAAGGGATATTTTTTTGCCTTTTTGCTTTTAATTCGGTCCACCAATAAAAATGATAGGACCTGTCGTAATACTTAATTTAATAACTTAAGCATAATTTTGTCTGTGAGTTAAAAGCAAAATGTTTTATTTCAGGGGTTCATCGATTGCAATAATTTTTGGCAATTTCCTGCATCTTCGAATTCACAGCCTCTACATTTTTCCAAGCGGCCATACTGTCTTTAAAAGTTAATTTCTCTTTATTATAGCAATGTATCATAAAATAATTTTTCATCTGAATTTATAATATAGAACCGTAATAAATTTATTCCCAATATGCACCATTTATTAGAGATATAACTTCACATATTATAAGACATTACAGATTGTAAATTGTCTTGTTTACTGAAATTTTATTGCGTTCCGTGACTTTGGTTGCTGTCTTTGTTTTGAGATAACTTTCATCACGATAATAATACTTTATTTATTTAAATCAAATTCGTTCTGTATTATTCAAATCTGTTTACTAATTCTGGTTTTTATTTAAGGTTAAATTAACAAACAAGTTATGTCAAAGGTGTAATGATTTTATAAATGATCTTCGAAATTACAGTTAGAATCCAAAATAAACACGTGTATTTATAACTTGTTTTACTTGATTGAAGGTTTTTATACATTGTTGAAATATAGTTAATACATTATTACGGTTTTCTATTGCTAACCATAGTACTTAAAGTATAGTTTACTTTAGTTAATATTTTGTTCGTGAATTTGCTGCCAAAAGAATGGCGAAGTATCAACAGGTAAATGTGGAACATAAACAATAATGCTACAATAAAAGTTTTTCATCTTTATTCATAAACTTTGTCTAAAAATAAAATTAGAAACAAAAACAATTTACGAAAGTCAAAAGAGTATATACATTTCTACTCCTTTGAAGCCTATTTATATTTCAATCTTCTTTTTTCAAATAGATAACCTTTAATAAAACATCTCAGATCATCAAAATGCAAACTGTGGATATGCATACAATGCCTTTTTGTCTCCCTTTTAGATGAAATATATGGAAATGACGAACAGTATTCAAGATCATAAATCCATAAAACAATACAAAATAGAAGCAGAGAACAGTTGCTATGATTGTTGTCACGTAAATGATTTTTTATGAAAAAAAATCTCCGTTACATTCTAAAAAAGTAGAATGCATCAATAAAAGACTTTTTGACCTGCAATATATTCAACTAGGCAAAGTAGAAAAAGTAATGCAAACATGATTATACAATTTGTTAATTCCTTTATACAGTGGACTGACCTCATAGGATATCGTTGTTAAAATTCATTGGTGTGCTATCACAATGGAGTTTTCATAAATTTGTCAAGTCAAATACTGTATATATATCAAAAACAGTGTAAAATATGAAAAAAAAAATTTGTAAAACAAGAGGGGAAAACTGAGGGAAAAAAGGTGTCAGAAATGACATATTCTCCAACCATAAATCATGAGACATCCTTATTTTTAATTTAAACTTACTAAAGAAAAGTAGAAGGAATGCATGTACACTTCAAATTCTGACTAATCAAACAAAAATTACTTTCTAATATAGAAAACAACATAATACAGACACTGGGACGGTATGATGTATAAAAAACATTTATTCTTGATATTCTGTGTTTGCACCTTACAATAATTATTATTAAGAATTTGCTTCAAACAAATTTATGCATACGAAAAAAAGTATTGCTTAAATCAAAAGAAAATAAAATCATTTTTGTTCACAGTAGATCTAACAGATACATATGTTGGAAGCATAAATAAAAAGATAATACGTCACAATAATACATCACGGTAAAAATAAGGTATTTTATTCATCTGACATAATTATATGATTTTGTAATATACACAAAAACTTATATAATAAATGCCCTTGGATTTCTAGTTCAGTGATACTAGCAGATAGTCTTCGACTAGTTTAGGACGTCATCATAACTTGGTGGGGTTGCTGACGCTTGTTTTTGTGTTTGCTGCCATTCGGTTGTCTGTGTAGATTGAACTGGGGGTTGTGTAACATAACCTGTTGAATATTGTGTTGAATAGTTCGCTGTAGGGTAAAGAGAGGTGTTTCCAGTTGCTTGTGCAGAATATGTGGCATAGGGAAAGGCAGGCTGAGTAACAGCTTTGGGATAGAAAATTAGGTTTAAAGCTTTATAATTCATTTTCTTAAAAGTTGTTAAACCTAATGCCGTTGTCGTGTAAATCACATAAAATATATAAAAATGAACTGTATAAACTTGCTTTCCAAAAATCAAATTAGTAACATTTCAATAATTTATAATGGAAACAAAATTGATTATACGTCATCAATGCAAATGAAATGCATATTAAACTTAAAAGAATGACCATTTTTAAATCTCACTTTAAATACAAGTTGTTCAATATTAGATGCAAAAATCAATTAAAGTGTTGTTTATCAATTTATTACATAAAGTTGACAATGGCTACATGAAAAATTGCCATAAAATTATTTACAACCTTAGACTGAATTTATTGCTTCAAATGTTTGCTTTTAGAATATTAAAAAAATCCAGGTGGCAAACATCTAATCAACTCCTGTTGTATGAAAAAGGAAAAGAAAGTTCCTGTATTTATAAATTCATGCTTACTTGTAACTTGCCCCGTTTGATGGATTACACGTCCCGCTGTCGGCTTTCTTCTGCAGACACACCAGCAAAATAGACCAGTAAGCATCGTTATAAACACAAGACAGCCGATAACTCCCCCAGTAATGGCCAAAACTATTTCACTGTCTGTAAAGTAAAATCTTAGAGTAATGACAAAAATTATAATTTGAAATTATAAAATCTTCAGTTTCATTACCGTGAAATTTTCCCTTAACATCACCAGAAAAAATATCTTTATTTTTGCCGAGGCTGCAGTACTTCAGCCATATATGGACACAATAAAACATCAAAGATACCGGTATTTATATCTGATTGGACATATACATGTATTGTAAATACCCTATTATATATATTTCAGCATTTACCACAGATATTTAATTAATCTATGAAATACTTACGATCAACATCCTTTTCAGCAGTTACAAGAAATCTGAAATTGACATCAGATGTTGATTTCCAATTACGTGTTTCAAAGTAGACATACAATGGATCATCTCTGTCTGTGCAGAACTTTGATGTATAAGAATTTGAACACGTAAAACTCTGCAAAAGAAATTGCAATTTAATATTATACAAATTTTACTGAAGGTTAATACATAATATATAAGTACATAATGTTCATATACATATATATATATATATATATATATATATATATATATATATATATATATATATATATATATATATATATACATATATATATACGATTTCTTGATGTTGGTCTTTTAAATTGTAATCTTTTAACATCAAAATCAAAAGGAATCCTTTTTAAGTTAATAGATAAAGAAAACTTCAGTTTCATAAAAAAAAAATACAAGAACTAGTTAATCTTCAAACTAGCAAAAGCCAAAACTTGAAAATCGGGTCTTCCTTAAACCAACTGAAGCGATCTAAAATACTCCATTGTGAAGACCAAACAAGAGTCCTGAGCACTGTGGCTAGGGAAAAAAGCATAAATTGATCAGTTCAGTATTGAAGTTTAAATTCATAAGTGACCTCAACCTTCCTACATGCATATTGACTACATGTGGATTTCTACCCTTTAAGTTTGAACTAACATTGCCCTCCCCCCCCCCCCCCCCCACCGGACCAACCAACCCACCACACATCAGGATCTGAATAAATCTACATTTACACTTCCTAAAGATGCTTCCATTTATAAATTTGTCAATTGAAATCATTGCTTGGTGTTCTTTAGAAACAGATTTTATATATTCCTATGCAAAACATTGCTCATCTATTCTGGACTCACCCTACCCCAGGGGATCATGATTTGAACAATCATGAATCTACACTGCATGAGGATGCTTCCATATAAATATAACAAATCATGGCTTTGTTGTGTTTGTGAAGATCTTAAAAGATTTTTCCCATATATTCCTATGTAAAACTTTGATTGTCTATTGTGGACCCACCCTACCCTGTGGCTCATGATTTGAACAAACATATTTACACTATTGGAGAATATGCTTCCATACAAATATGACTCATCAATGCTTTGCTGTTCTTCCGTAGACCTTTAAAAAATTTTTCCAACATATTCCTATGTAAAACTTTGTTTGTCCTTTGAGGAACCATCCTATCCCCGTGGATCATGATTTGAATTAGCTTGCATCTTCACTACTTGAATATGCTGACATTTATATATGTCTTGATCAATGATGATGGTGGCCTTTGTTGCTCTTGAGAATATTTTTTAAAGATTTTTCCTATATTTATTTCAGTGTAAAATTTTGATCATTCCTAGTGTTCTCATCCTACCCTTGGATGTCATAAATTGAAAAACTTGAATCTACACTTCCTGAGGATGTTTCCCCATAAGTATCATTTTGCCTGGCAAACATTTTTATAACATATATCATGTATATATCACCAAATTTTCATTATCTCTGAATTATCTCCCTCTGAATTAGGGTGCATCCTTTCCTTTGAACAAACTTGAGTTCCCTTCACCCAAGGATGCTTACTGCAAGTTTGTTTGAAATTGGCATAGTAGTTCTGAAGGAGATGTCGAAAATGTGAAACGTTTACAGACAAATGGGCAGAGGAAAGGGCAGACAGACAATAGGCAAAATGTGATAAGAAAAGCTCACTTGAGCTTTCAGCTCAAATGAACTAAAAAGGTTTTTTTAACATATTATTTAGATATAAACGTGTCAAAGACAGATAGATTAGACACAATTTACAAACTAATAAACTTAATACCCCACACATTTAACAAAAGCAGAGGCAAGGAAATGCTTTTCAGACTCAAACATATTAAAAAGACAACAAAGTGCAGCGTTATTAAGGTTCATAAACCCTCTGCTCACTCATATAAAATGTTGCTTTAACTTTTATCATTTTCCAAAAGAAATATATTTTATAAGTGAAATACAAACAATTATAATATAGCTTGCGGGGCAAAATTAAACAAAAAAGACATTTCAACTTGACAAAACTATACAGGAATAAAAGACATTTATGTCATTAAGAGTTATCTCTCTTATCAGAGTACCAATGAACCTTAAATGTGTGAAGTATTCTTTAAGTCTATTAGTTTATAACATATACTTGATCTACTTTAAAAATTAACCAAGAAACATTAAAAGGTGATGATCAATATACCCAAATCTTTCACTCTCTATCATGTTTTTACTTAAAAAAAAACTTTCTTTAAAAAGATTTAAACATTTTAGGATTAAGAAAATATTTTTTGAAATCACTGATTTTTAAAATCATTCACATGATTTGACATATAGTCAAACCTTCTTAGCTGAATTTGATGAGACCAAAATTTCTGAGAATTTGAGATATACATGTATGTGAAACACAGTTTTAAAAAAAGGAAGGCCAACTCATTGAAACATATCCCTGGTACATGTATTTGAGATATATGTTTTAATTAAATAAGTACAACTGTAGTAAAAACTCAGTATAAAATAATGCCTCTTTTAAATTTCTAAATACAACATGGTTGCATCATTTCAAATATTGGAACCACTGATAGTTGCCAAATATGAATCTGACATATGAACACTTTCAAGACCAAAACTTTACAAATATATTCATTGTGATATCGCGCGTGGTGGGAAAACATCTTGGTTTGATGATGAAGAATTATAGATATACATTTACCTTTAATTTTCTTCCACCGTAACTAGACCTAAAAATTATTTCTACACTGCAGTCTGGATCTTGGAACCATTGCCGTGTAACACAGACTTTATATCTATCCTTGTTATCCTCTCCCTGTCCCTCAAAGGACATGTAATAACAGCGAACCTTTTGGCCTTCATAATTGATGTGAATTTGGCGATCTTCATTAACTTCTTCCAAAGTGGGACAAGAATTCCCAAACGTATCTTTTAAAACATAGGTAATCAGAGATTACAGAGCTCACCTCAACGAATGTTGTCTTTAAATAAGGCAAAGTCACACAATTAACCAACAAAAAATGTACATTCCAAAAATGAAAATATCTAAGCAATTTTGATCTGATACTTTGAAGTAGACCAACATAAAAAATTTAAAGTAGTTCTTCATGAAAATGTAATTCAGCATCTAAAGCAAATTTGAGTTTTCAGCTCTTGATGCAACATTTGTGCAAGTTTGGTTTATACAATGTTATAAAAGCCTTAAAGTTTTTTGGTAATAGACCTGCAACCATAACTTTAACCTGGTCTATTATCTGAAAAATATATATGTCGAATTCAGCATCCGAAGCAAGTCCATTAGTGTGCATCCTAAGATGTATCGTCCATGCAAGTTTGCACATTATAAGGCTCATAGTTAATTGGAAATGAAACATACATCAAAAACTAACATTTTCACTCATCCACAAAATGTAGGTCGGATTCAGCATCCGAAGCAAGCCTGGTAGTATGCAACCTAAGATATATCATCCATGCAAGATTGGTCATTAAAAAACTCATAGTTACTTGGAAATGAAACCTGCACCAAAAACTTTTACTTGTTCACTCAACCGGAAAATGTAGGTCAGATTCAGCATCCGAAGCCCGGTAGTGTGCATCTTTAGATTTATCATCCATGCAAGTTTAGTCAACATAGGGCTTAAAGTTACTTGCAAATGAAACCTGCTCCAAACACTTTAACCTGTTCACTCAACTGGAAAATGTAGGTCAGATTCAGCATCCGAAGCAAGCCCGGTAGTATCCATCCTTAGATGTATCATCCATGCAAGTTTGGTCAACATAGGGCTTATAGTTACTTGGAAATGAAACCTGCACCAAAAACTTTAACCTGTTCACTCAACCGGAAAATGTAGGTCAGATTCAGCATCCGAAGCAAGCCTGGTAGTATCCATCCTTAGATGTATCATCTATGCAAGTTTGGTCAACATAGGACTTACAGATACTTGGAAATGAAACCTGCACCAAAAACTTTAACCTGTTCACTCAACCGGAAAATGTCTTTTATCAGATTCAGCATCCGAAGCAAGCCTGGTTGTATCCATCCTTAGATGTATCATCCATGCAAGTTTGGTCAACATAGGACTTACAGATACTTGGAAATGAAACCTGCACCAAAAAACTTTAACCTGTTCACTCAACCGGAAAAAGTAGGTCAGATTCAGCATCTGAAGCAAGCCTGGTAGTATGCATCCTTAGATGTATCATCCATGCAAGTTTGGTCAACATAGGACTTACAGATACTTGGAAATGAAACCTGCACCAAAAAACTTTAACCTGTTCACTCAACCGGAAAAAGTAGGTCAGATTCAGCATCCGAAGCAAGCCCGGTAGTATGCATCCTTAGATGTATCATCCATGCAAGTTTGGTTAACATAGGGCTTATAGCTACTTGGAAATGAAACCTACACCAAAAACTGCACCAAAAATGTTAACCTGCTCCAAAAACATTAACCTGGTCATTCCTTTGCTAAAATTGCAGCATCTGAAACTTTGACTGGTATGTACAATGAAACACACTAGAACCATCTTCCATGCATGTCTAATCAATATAGGACATAGAAGTACTTAAAAAGAAAACTGCTCCAAAAAACTTAACCTTAACCCGGGACGCCGACGCCGACACCGACACCGACACCGACGCCGACACCGACGCCGACGCCGACGCCGAGGGTATTACATAAGCTCCCCCAACTTCGTTGAGGTGAGCTAAAAACACATATTATTATTATCATCAAAATTACATTTTTTAGGTGGTTACATGTATGAAGTGCAATCATAAAGCTGATTGTACATTGTGAATTCATCCTAAAAGTTCTATTCATTAATATCTTTCAAAATGCGAGAATTTTGAAATGCTAAAATATTTCATGATAACAATGTAGTTTTGAACAAAAATGTGAGAACTCAATGGACCTGCACCTATTAAATTGATTAAGAGCAAAAATAAATCAGTTATAATTGGTACATATGTAGTCGTTCTCTAATTAAATCATATGATATCTTTAAATTGATTGGATCAAGAAAAAAAAGAGTACATTTCAAGATGCACTTATCTTATAGGTTAAGAAAGTTAGGAAACACGGTATATTAATTGGTTAGGGCCTCCATAGCATTTTAACATATTTAATTAGATGGTACTCAATATACCAATGTATGTGGGACTGAAACATAGCAGTACCAAGAAAACTTACATTCTGTGGTCTCTATTGCTTCTGTAAACTGACTTGCGAAGTATGACACAAAGAAGATGGTACATCTTATAAACATTCTGTTTCTCTTTTGTCTCTAAGAAATCCTTAGGTACTTCTTCCTAGCAGCAAGAAATTAATGTCCTAGGACCTAAAAAAGGTCAGAACTTCAATAGATACATAATTTGAATTACAAGAAAGGAAGATGGGGAACTTTATGGCAAACCAGACAAGGATTCGAACCTGGTTCCTCTGAATCTCTAAGCAGTAGCTAAAGATAGAAACTGAGCTTTCTTACCGCTAACTAGTGATTAAAGCTGCCTGACCATCTAGCTGTAGAACTTCAGAGTTCTGGTTTTATATGTGTCTTTGTTTACGGTTACTTTGAAATTTACTGATGAGATAGAATTTATTATGGACTGGAGGCAAACCTAGGAAAATTTCATAAACAAAATATCGAATGTTGTGTAGTTGTTGCTATAAATTTTACTTCTCAATAAACAGTGTTTTTTTTTCATTTGTTACATGTTAAAAATCAATTGTTTGAAATTACATGGCGATGTAAAACGCATTTTATTTTGGTTTGAAGATCATTAATTAGGGGAATTAGTAAATAACATGTATGTAGTTTACATTATCATTTGCTTTTGCTACAATTATGAAATTCGTTCTTGAAATTCTAAAAAAAAATCTAAAACTACCCAGGTATATGTACACTAGCTGTATCAAAGATCTTAGATAGAAGCTGAATATATTCTTTTAATATTTTACGTACATATAGGGATTACAAATATCTTTTATTGAACTTACATGTACGACAATTCTTTCTTTATTATTCATATATTTTTTTAATTTTTGGTGAAAAAAGACCATGCAGGCCAGGCTTGATAGACATTTATTTCTCGCAGTATTATTTTATCATGACTGTGCATGCACCTCATGCACTGAAACCTATTTGTATTCAAGTATCTTTAAATCTACACGTCATGTATTTGGATCACGGCAAAACAAATTTTTCAATCCATTAATATAATACCCCATTCACATAAAATAATTAAATTAAATTATTATATAATAAGGAGATCAACATACTACGTACAGTACTGTAGTACATATACATGTAACTACATTGTAGTGCTTAATTTCTAAACATACAAAACACCCCATCCACATATCCTAAAAAAAGTAAGATTTTTTTTCATTGAAATGTGATTTGTCTGGATTTCCTTACCTAGAAAACTAAATACAAACAATATTTATTGCAAATAAACTTTGCGAATTGTCGTTTCTAAACTGTATGATCTTATGGAAACTTAACAAGAAAAGACGATCAAAATCCACTGACCGAAAATTCATCATAATCATGATAATGATACATAAACGATTTAGATTACCTACTCGGGCGATAAAAGAAAAACACCTGACAGGTACATTTCCGGGTGTTTTCAGGTGTGAGGGGCTACCGTATAGTGGATATCGTAATAATTTTAAACTTATATTAACATTCAAAGAAAGGAATTTTAAATTAGGTCTGATATAAAAAAAATTACGTCAATTATTTCAAATAAAATAAACACATATAAACTTACCTCTAATCCTTGTTTCGAAATGTCAACAAAAGCACCCGTTCGTGACGTTGAATAAAAACAAAGTAAGGCGGGCCGTGCGTACAATAATACTTGTATTTAGTCTAGTATTAATACAAAGATTAAAAAAGTGGCCTCTAGCTCTTAATCTTATATATACAGCTGATAACTGAATACTGTATATCAGAAGAGAGTCTAAAAATGGGCATTCTTGCTCGTTATAAACTACATGTAGCTGGCTCGCTGTTCTGTTGAGTTATATGGTTTTACGAGGGTTGTTTGAAAAATTCATGGACAACTGTCACATCGTTTTTATTTGGCATCATATAATTACATGTATGTTATCCAAATTTGGTATAAATATTTTTACAATAAATTCAAATGATTTGTATTAAATTTTCCAAAATATTATGATTTATTCAAAACTTATCCAGAATTGATTACTCAAAAATCGGATCGCGGAGGGGGTCAAAATTTAGTAAGTTACAGACAATACATTATATGTCTGTAGTCATATTCTCTAAGCAAAACGAAAAATAAACTAGAAATTCAAATTAATAATTGTTACATCGATTCGTATACCAAAGAGCTTATGGCTTTATATTTTGCTTTGTTAAAAATAAATCAACTTGAGAAAATAGGTAGTCCTCATTGAATACGACAAAAACGATGACGTTTTAGAACGTCATGGAGCAGCAGATAACGATGTAATTTTGTGTTTTACTCAGAAAAAACCCTGAATAAACTCTAAAAATGTTGGAGGAATAACGAAAATATGTCACAAGCGAGTTGTGCATGTGTGTACAAATAGTAAAAGCAGTATTTGAGTGAAAGAGACTATGTATCGGATGAGGACAATCTGTGAAGCTACGGTTTAACTGTAAAAATCTGAGCAAAAACTTTAAAAAGTTGGAACGTCAAGGAAAGACATAGGCGATTCAGAGTTACGTATCCTGTGAAATCAGAGTTAAGTAATAAAAGAAAATAAAACCTTAACAAAGAAAATTGTACAACGAAAGCAATTCTAAAAAATAAATGTCAAGTATTGGAAAAAGGATTTAATGAGTGGGCATTGAATTAGACTGTGTGAAATGTGTAGGGGTAGCATTTCTTAGAAATTATTGATGCTATGTTTTGACGTTACATTGCCGTTAAGTGTGCTCCGCGGCTAAATGTTGATTTTAAAATTAAGTAAATTGATTACTGTTAAATCGAATGGAATGAAACTTCACACATCAACAAAATAAATATTTTTACATATTATATTGTGCTTATTTTAAATTTCTAGTGAGTAATATAACGAAGATTCAATCGTCTACGAACTTTTGAACGACCGTCGTATAATACTAGTTTTACACAGTCATGTATAACAACTGGATAACGTTGTTCTAGATTTGTTCTCAAACTTTCTGTTATGATTACTGTACATAATGTTGGAACCGCTGCAATGCCATTTTGGCTGTTCGACTAGGTATGTTGGGTATATTTAAGAAATAAAGTCCACGTTTTCGTGAATGTTGCAGAATAACCTCTGAGGTCGAGAAATGTTGTTTGAAAGATAAAAGCCGAGGCGTTAGCCGAGATTTTATATTTTAAATAACATTTTGAGACCGAGCAGGTTGTTCTGCATCATTCACGACAACAAGGACTTTATTTCTATTCTACTAAGTATATATAGCAGTAAAATAGCAAGCTTTAGATCTTAATATTCCAATTCTATTATTAGGTGATTTTAATATCAATATGCTGTCCAACCAAAGTAGACAATTTAAACTCTCATTACAACGACTCAACCTTACAAATCTCATAGATAATGCTACCAACTTTACTGTGAGCACTGGGACGTGTATTGATTTAATATTAACTAATAATACTTGTCTGATTCAAAATCATGACATAGCAGCACCTTTTTGCAGCTCTCATTGTATTATTAGTGTTGAACTTAAATTCACAATCCACAAACAATATGCTTACAAAAGGGTAGTAAGAAATTACGAAAATGTAAATTTTACTGCACTTAATGAGGAATTAAGACAATTTGAATGGAACTCTATTTTATATGATTCAAAAAATATCAATGTAACATATTCTAATTTTGTCTCTTCATTAAACAATTGTATTGATAAACATATTCCTAAGAAAACCATTACCATCAGACCTAGAGATAAAGTATTTATGAATAATACCATACGGAAATTAATGAGGAAACGAAATAGGACACACTATAAAGCAAAGCATACAGACAATCCACTGCATTGGCAGACATACAGAGAACTCAGAAATACAGTTATTGATGAAATTCGAAAATCCCGTGAAAAATATAACAAGAAAATATCCTCAATGATTGATAAATCAATCCCCCCTGGAAAATGGTGGAGAATAGTCAAGTCAATATCAAAACTAAACAAAAATTATGAACCAATACCACCACTTAAATCTAAAGGTAAACTTATCTTCCATCCAGTTGAGAAAGCTACAGTCCTTAATAAATACTTTGCACAAGTTTCATCTATTACAGATGAACCAGACATTCCCCTTCATGGTCCTGGTCCACCATTACAAAATACAGACACTTTATCTGAAATATTTATCACTGAAAATGAAGTTTATGATCAATTATGTATCATTGACAGTAGTAAACCAACCGGTCCTGATGGTATTTCCCCAAGAATTTTGAAAGAAATAGCTAGCACAATTAAAACCCCTCTAACAAAACTCTTTAATAGATCACTAATTGAAAAAAAGTTGCCAGATATTTGGAAACTATCACAGATTACACCAGTTTTTAAAAATAAAGGTAGTGCTCAAGAAGTATCAAATTATAGACCAATATCCCTTACAAGTGTCTTATGTAAAATAATGGAAAAAATTTTGTTTAAACAATTGCATAATTTTATGAAAGATAATAATGTAATTTACAAATATCAGTCAGGATTTCAACCTGGAGACTCAACTGTGAACCAACTAGTAGAAATATACAACACTATAATTTCAAGTCTTGATAAAGGTAAAGATGTTAGATTTATTTTTTGTGATATCTCAAAAGCATTTGATAAAGTTTGGCATAAAGGTCTCTTATCTAAACTAAAAAAATATGGTATTAATGGCAACATATTAGGCTGGATTGAGAATTATTTGTGTGATAGACAACAAAAAGTTGTAATTGATGGCTTTTCATCAAACCATGAGACAGTAAATGCTGGTGTTCCCCAGGGTTCTGTTTTGGGACCTTTTCTCTTTCTCCTATACATAAATGATATTTGTGATGATTTAGCAAACAATATACGTCTTTTTGCTGATGACACCTCTTTATATGCTATTGTAGAAAAAGAAGCCACAAATGTAGCACAGTCGCTTACTAGTGATCTAGACCTAATTGATAAATGGTCAAAAAAATGGCTTGTTGACTTTAATCCAAACAAAACTGTAAATGTTGATTTTACCCGCAAAAATATAAAATATCCGCCTATTACATTTGGTCATCATGGCCCATCCATTATTCAAAATGCATCTCATACCCACCTAGGATTACATTTTCAAAGTGATGCTACCTGGACTTCGCATATACAATTATTTCACGAAAAAGCTACAAAACGACTAAATATCCTCAGAATGCTTAAGTATAAGATGAAAAGAAAAACACTTATTAAGATATATTTTGCATTTATTAGACCTGTTTTAGAATATTCAGATGTTGTTTGGGACAATTGTTCTGAAAAAGATGCAAAACTTTTAGAAGATATCCAAGTTGAAGCTGGTAGAATTATTACTGGATTAAGATCAAATTCCTCTAGATCAAAATTGTATGATGAATTAGGGTGGGATCTTTTACAAACTAGGAGGAATATTCATAAATTGCTACTATTATATAAAATCATAAATGGCTATTCACCTAAATATTTAACGGACTTGATTGAACCTTTTCGTCCTACAAACCACCCCTATAATCTAAGAAATAATGATGCAGAATTCAAAATTCCTTCTATTAGAACTACATCATATATGGAAAGTTTCTTCCCATCAACTATTAAATTATGGAATTATTTGCCTGATTATATCAGAAATGCCCCTGGAATATCTTCATTTAAAAGTCTTTTAAATTCTTATTATTGTAAAAAAGGTAAAGAAATTTATCATTTTGGAATAAGAAAGTACAATATAATACATTGCCAATTGCGAAATAATGCAAGTAATTTAAAGGCAGACTTATATAACCAATTTTTATCAGAAACACCAATGTGTGAATACTGTATTGACTCTATTGAAGATGCTCATCATTATTTTTTTGCTTGTCCAAAATATAACTCTCCAAGAAATGTACTTTTCCAAACAATTCAAAATATTATTGATTGTGATCAAACTCATGAACTTGATTTACTTTTGTATGGTAGTCCCAACCATGGACTAAGTATTAATACTCAAATATTTGAAGCAGTACATGCTTTCATCGCAGCAACCAAACGTTTTATTTGAATTGTAATGTATGTTACTCATGCCAACACTTTATAACCGGTACATGTATTTCATTGTAAATTTTTTTTTCTCTCTCTCTTTCTACTTTTTTTTCCTCTCTTTTGTTTTTGTTCTTTTGTTTTTGCTACTATGTGTGTCTATTTATTTTTATATCTATATATTGTGTGTTCATTTTGACCTTGTAGGGAGAGGGCTAAAATAGGCTTTGCCTGCTGCTCAATCCCATTCACTTATGTGAATAAAATTTTGTATAAATAAAATAGCAGTAAAATATAGCTGATCGTTTCTCTGTAGAGAAACGTATTAGGTCACCATACTGCGATAACGCTGTTTCATTTACCACCAGAGTGTAAATTTGTTTGTTTACCTTTGAAAAGAATGCAGACGTTTTGCGCTTTCGCTGCAATAAAATTAGCCTTTTATTAATTATATTATGTTTGTAGCTTATAAAGATTAATCTTTTGGAATATACAATAACAAATTAAGTTTCCTAGTTCATCACTTTATCTCTTAAATCACGGATTTTAAATATGGCGTAGGGAGGTCCAAGAAACAGCCCCGCTTAGCTTTAGAGACCTTCATTCATCAGCTACTTTTTGCAATATACTGTGTTTTAAATGCAAAAGACGACATCGATGTTGTCTAAATATTAATTTCATTCTTAAGTCAAATGTATATATTTCAGCTGCACAGGTTTGATACGTGTTTCTGATCTGATAATTTTTTGATGACGTTCGTGATTTATTGGAGAATAATGTCCGCGGCATTTCTTTGATCTTGGCAATAATCGTAGTAGAATTTCTGATAGTGATCGAGTGTGAGTATTTCCTTTTGCTGACATACTGAAACTCCATACATAATTATATACTTACTAAAATATCGACCAGTAAGATTGATAATGGACTTTTAAACTTTTAGAAGCTAATATTGTTTCCTAAATATTTTGGATTTGTTAAGGATTATGAGTAGGAGAGAAGAAAGTTCAGTCTTATTATGTAAATGTAAACCTTCTTGGTTTTTCATGTTGTTATAGAGCTAAAACCAGATGGGAGCAAAAAAAGGTAAAATAATAACAATCTTATAAAAATTTTATTTTTGACCTGATTATGAATATTATATAGCCCCGTAGCTTTTTGTAATATAAAGAAAAAACCCAATAATATAAATCAACAATACACGTGTACTTAAAAAAATACAACGGCAAAGGAATTAGAAGGAAAAAAAGTTTGTAAAGTTCTGTCTCTAATGGCTCAAGAATTGATTACAATACAATGACGATTCCAATGTAAGTAATTAATATTAAAGATTATAACGTTACAATTACAAAATAATTTTTTGGACATTTGAAAAAACAATAATCAAAATTCTTTGGTGAAGACCATACAATAGGTACAGTAAACACATTTTTACTGTCAATGAGGACAATATCCCATTACAACTTTCCTCCAAAGCGCATGCAGCCATTTTTTATACGGTGGCTATATATAGCCACAGGCTATTGCTGCTGGTCTGGGCTATGAATAAACAACAGTGTAAACACACAGGGACCCTAGCGGAGATTTTTGCAGAGTCAAGATAATGAGAGTAGACTTGTTTCGATGTTTAAAAATAAAATGTACATAGTTAACAAATACTTTCAAGTTATTTCAAAGACATTTCGTTGATGGACACAAAGGCTAATTCCTGATATTTGCTGTTATCATTATTCCTCCCTGAATATTCATTGCATTTTTTTTATGCTTATCCTTATTGTTATTCACTATCTATTGTGTCGTCTATACTATTGGAATCTTTAGGGCATTTGCTTAATTTTTAGCAATTTACCAAGCATCCAAAATGGAAAAGTGGTAAAACCAACACACGAAAAATTAATGGCGACGTTCGATGACGTTACTAAGCACTGGAAAGCAGTTCAGTTATTTTTTCATCTTTAGTGTACAAGGGAAATTTGAGTTTTCTTAGCGAAATCGTTTTTAATCAAATCCACGGGTAGAACAAACAGCTTTAGGAATAGCGAAAGATGTGGTCAATGTTGTCAGCCAATATATAAGATAGCCTCTTTAGTTGAATGATAGTAAAAATATTGTCCATAACTTTAATACAAACTTATGACGCCAAGTGGATACCTTGTTCACTTTTAGGTAAGGGTACATTTTTCTATCTAAAGACAAATAAGCAACGCCAGTTGCCTGTGCTTTGAAACTAATAAATCTTCACAAAGTCCCATTTGTGCGCGAGGTTGGTTCCTGACTGTTATTTGAAGAATTAATTGATACTCAACTATGTGCATCAATGAAATTCCTTAACTTAAGTGAAAGTTATCCAACTTGTTTTTAGCAAAAAGGAAACATGACACTGCTTTAGACACTTTGACAATATCAACCGTTTGTCGTAAGGCGACATAACACGTTATATAAAATATCATGATGATAATTCGTTTATTTATGCATATATCCATTTGAAGTTTGCTATGTTTTATGATGAAAAATGTACCTATGAGTAGTGTAAGTTTTAGATCACAGTTCATATTACTTTACTTTTTAGTACATAAATATAAATTCATATATTAAAATACATACACATGTATTATGAAAAATTGAAATAAACTTTTGTAATTTCCATATCATTTTACAAATTCTTAAATTTTTAACATTTTATCTTATTTAATGCCAGTCACCATTTGACGTAGCGGCTTTGCTCTGGAGTCACCGAAGGAGTTCATCCTTACGTCGCGGATTCGACTCCCACTGCGGGGCATGGAGATCGGCCCTTAATTCAGATTGAGATCCTGTGTCGCAGTAATTGCTAGCCAGAAAAATATCCCTCGTTGCTCAAAATTTTATTCTCGAAAAGGGACGTTAAACAAACGAAATCATTCATGCCACCGTCTTTCAGCACTCACAGTACTTTGATTATAATACAAGAAGACTCATCTTGTGTCACATCGCCATCCCGATATGAAATGCGAAGGGAATACATGTAGAATACTGCCGATGAAAAGTTCAATGAATATTTCACATGGTAACTAGCACACAATCTATTACATGGTAGGAGCTGATTACAAAAACAATTTAAGTTTAATAGCCACAATTTCATACAGAAAAACTTCACCTATTATAAAAAAAAAAGAAGCTATCGGCGTTTTACTGTTGGGTACCATTTGTTTGTGGCGGTAGGAATGGCTGTTGTGTGCTGTATCCTGCCGGATACTGTGTTGGGTAATTTCCGGTCGGGTATAATGTCGTCGTGTTCGATTGTTGTGGCGAATACGTAGCATAAGGAATGCCTGGTTGATTTGTTGTTTGACCTTTGAAAAAAAATTCAAAAGAAAATTTATAATTTATGTATAAATAAACAAATTATGTTTCTCTTAAGAAAACGGTTCAATATTCTAGAGAGTGGTATATTATTAAGTAGGACAGAATTTAATGACATAGTTCACTGTACAATTAGTTAGAAAATCCAATAATAATTACACATACTAAGGATGTAAAAAAATGTCGATTTAATTTTAAGGCTAGTTTAAAGATATAAATAATCATACTTATACATATACCTGAGGTATTCTGAGCCGTTCCTAGTACTTGCCCTTGGGTAGGTTTTCGTCTACACACACAATAAATAACTATTCCTGTTACTATTGTTATTAAAACTATGCCACCGATCACTCCTCCCACGATGGCTCCAACAAAATTCCCATCTGCATTTTATCAAAATGTAAAAAAAAATAAAAATCAATTAATAGGTGCTTTCCATTGAGATGATTTCGGCAAGAGTTATTCCCCATGGCCGCCATATTGTAGGTCAACATTCCAAGATCCCTTCATTATTTAACCGCATGCATATTAAGTTCAATTTGTTATGCTGTTTACTGAAGTAATGATTACACTATTTTTCTTACGAATAAACCTTTGTTAAAGCCTTTATTTTTTCATAATTTTCAGATTGTAAATATTTCTTCCAATATATTTCTTGCATGCATGTTTAAAATTGGTCGCTCAAAGATTTGGAAAAAAACGAAGAGTCACATGTTATCAAGATCAAAACTCTATTGAAACATCACAAATAGGGAAGAAAGGAATCACCGATCGAATCAGAGGTGGGATCAGGTGCTATGGAGGAGTAAGCCGCCGGCGGGTCACACCAACTATGAGCTAAAGTTTTGTAATATAAAGGTGAATAACTGTTGATTTATATATTTTGACCATCAAGAGTATGTAATGGGAAACTGGGGGTGGGGGATGCAAATAAGAGAGGAGTTTTCTGTGTACAGGACTTAATATATGTAAAGATAATCAGAGCTTATGTATAATTCTTTTATACTGAAGGGAAAAACTTACAATCAAAAGATTTTTCAGCGGTGATATGTAGCTTAAAACTAGCATTTGATGTATCTTTGCCATCTCGTGTCTTGAAATGGATATAAAGATTGTCATCGCTTGAGCCACAAAATTTGGTGTTGTAGTTTTCTGAACAGGTTACAGTCTGAAACCAAATCAAAATTGTATTTCATAATCAACAGTTAAATAACAATACAAATTTAAGCGTGCATTAATTTAATAAATTCTCATCTATATTTTTCATATGAATATATATTCACGAAATTTTAGAAAAGTTTTGCTTGCTTGGAATGAAATATACAGTCATGTAGTGTTTTCAAAGTTGAAAGTTTGCTATTTCATGTACGTGTTATATATTGCGTTTATTCTACTAATAACTATCAAAGATATTTATAAGGTAACACAAATATACTAATTTGTAAATAAAAAAAAATAAAGAAAGCAAACCTGTATTGTCGAGCCAAAAATGGTCGAAGTATACTTTAATTCTACGGCACAATCCGGATCGTTGAAAAATTGAGGTGTAACACAAATTTTATACTCATCCATATTTTCGTTTCCTACTCCTTCAAATGAGTAGTCATCGCAAAAGGAACCCACTCTCTTGCCATAATATTCAACATAAATTCGACGATTTTCGTCCAATTCCTTTAGGAAAACAGAACAAGTGTCCCCAAATTCATCTGTAAATTATTCAAAGGTAGCCCAAGTTATCATTTACATGTAAGTTGTAATGAATTTCTCGTTATAAATGTATTCATTCAGAAAATACGAGCATTATATTTGAGTTAAGCATTGTTAGTCAGAACTATCCAATTAGTTTGTGCCTTTAATAGCAAAGGAAGAAGAGAAGAGTTTAAAAATATACTAAATAAACTAGTGTGTACATGTTCACTATGCAATCAAAAGAGCCCCACCTTAGCACCATGCAAAACCCCTGGCCTAGACAACATAAAATTCACATTTCTGGATGAGGTACCATCCCTCATCATAATTACGCACTTCATTCACCAACTTAATACCCAAGAGAGGAGAAAAAGATTTTTCAAAGAAATAATGCATTTTCAATATGCAGTAATTTGAGCTCCCATCCCACCTCCAAACACCAATACCCCTTACCCAAGGGCCTTGAAATTCAAAATTTTGAGGGAAGTATTCTTTCTCATCAGAATGAACGTTATGCATTTAGTTTGCTCGATACTCGATCAGGGGCAAAAAGCATGACTTTTTAAAGAATTTGTATATCGATATCTTCAATATATATACAGAGGAGCCCTGCCCTAGCAGTAGATCCTCTGCCCCTGGGTCCATGAATTTCAATGCTCAATGCTACAATTACGCAAACAGCGACAGTTTCATTGCTTGATGTCCGGTAGTAAAGAAGAAGAGTTTTAAAGATTGCAGTAATTCTGATAGTTTTTATCCCATCCCTCAGGCCCCAAGCTAGGGAGGCAGGGTTGTGACTTTCATGAAGAATTACTACTCTTCACCCAATGACACCCATAAATGCTATATATTTCCAAAATGGTTAAAATTTGTTCAATAGTTCGAGAGAATGAGCTGAAAATGTTCAGAAAATTTTGTTACATGTGTATTTAAAGCACGACGCACGATGCATGACGAAGGAAGAAAACAGATAGCATCAATAGGTCACCTGAGTGTAGGGTCATCTGAGTAAACTTAATCGAAACTTATTAAAGTTAGCTATCTTTATATTAGAATGCATTTAGATGAGGGATAAAGACACCTGCGTACATATTTACGAATTAATAGGAAGTAAACAACTTACAAGAAATAACTTCCGCTGCAATAACGGTCGGAATAAATAAAACAGCAATAAGATCACAGCCACTTGTTGTTCTTTTTAGCTTCATTCTGTCAAATCTGTTAAAAGAAAATGTAATTACTAACAACTTTTCTAAACTTTTTTCCGATGATTTAATTACTTTTATTCGCGTGCGAGAAATTTTCGCGAGATTCGCGAGAGCCTAGTCATCGCGAATATTTCTCGCCGCGAACAGGTCCTTGAAGTCTCTGTGTCTATTAAAATGTATATAAAAATGACTTGGTCGCGAAAATTAATCGTCGTGAAAGAGTTTACCCTTAATAAATCGCGAAATAAAGTCGTCGCGAATAAAAGTTGGTTTACAGTACTTTGACAGACGCGGACAAGTTTCATTTTTTTGGATTTTACTATTTGTGCATTATATTATCCTTAATCGTGTGGGAAAAACAACATTATAGTTCGTTTAAGTGATGTCTATGTAGAAAATCTCTCTGACCCTGTGCAGTTTTTTTACCAATACGTGTATTTTCGTTCGATCGTTAATTTTACATCAGACCACAGGGGCTTGTGTAGAGAAAATAAATCAGTTAAAAAAATTAGTACCTGGAGAAAAAAAAACACACAAGGGAGGACGCCATTTTGGATACCACCTGGCTTCATCAGCTATTTTCTCGCTTAAATTGTTAAACTAGTAAGACATACGAGCCAGTTCATATCCCTTGATTAATGTTTTTTCTTGATGGTCTTACTTGCAGTTTTAATCTTTCTTTGTTTACATTTACAGTCTTGGTCAATTTATCGCGTAAACATCCAAAATCGACAACTCCTTGGCTTCTGCAGAAAACGAAAGTATGACACGTGACGTAGTGTCGCTCGGTTTGTCTCAATCTCCTATGCAGAGTTGTCGTTATGAGCCGATGGTAGAGAGTGGGTTTGTCTCAGGACTTTACTATTATAATGAAGGTAAAAGTAAAGTCGTACCCAAATTGAAATATTTGAATATTTTGTTGGTAAACTCAGATGCTTTCATTTTATCGATGACTATTATTTCATTTCTTTGCTCTTCTGTTTGAAAGTATTTTGGTTTCACTTTTTTTCACTTTTTTTCAAAATTTGTTGAATTTGGACTGAATCTGGTGTAGTACGAAATATTCTCTAAGTCACGTGTTATACTTTCGTTTTCTGCAGAAGCCAAGGAGTTGTCGATTTTGGATATTTAAGCAATAAATTGACCAAGACCGTAAATGTAAACAAAGAAAGATTAAAACTGCAAGTAAGACCATCAAGAAAAAACATTTAAATTAAGGGATATGAACTGGCTCGTATGTTTAGTTTAATAATTTAAGCGAGAAAATAGCTGGAGATAGCGAGATGGTATCCAAAATGGCGTCCTTCCTAAGACTTGTGTTTTTTTCTCCGAGGTACTAATTTTTTTAACTGATTTATTTAGTACTATACACAAGTCCCTGTGATCAGACTTGTTCATATAGCGTTTGCTGTAGAAAATGGGCGTTCCATAAATAATAAACACCAACAAATAGGTTTCTTTTATATATATGCATGTCTACATACCTTTTGAAAGATGAGCAGGATAATGGCTGAAAAAATACGATTATAATTAATCAATGAAACTTGGCAGCATTTCTCTGTGCACCCTGATAAGAAAGATCTTATGTATGGTTGCTTGCATTTGTCAAAAGAAATATTTAAGGTGACTATCAATACACTATCCAATATCATATTCAGCCACTTAATATTAAGCTTGTCTGGATGGGCACGAAACTGTTATATTATAGAGATTTAAAAATTTGTCAGTTTCTTAATTAAAAAAAAAAATTAATACTTAATTTAAAAAAATCCGGACAACCCATACGCCTCTAATTTTAGTTGTAAGAATTGATTTTGGATCTGAATTTCATCTTCAATACAATTTAAATTAAAAAGGGTGCATATTCGCTTTCTTCTTTTTAGAGGAATCTTTTTTTCCATTCATAATATCTTTAAAGTTTGTAAATTCTTATTCATATATTTATGAATATATTCCTATCATATACCATCTAACATTATAAAGATAGAGTCAAATCTGACGTAAAAAAGGGTAGAAAAAATGATAAACACTGAATGATAAATGCTTTTACCGAATCTTAAGGTGCCTACTGATTTATTACACTTATAGACCCCCTTAAAACTTGACCACAATTTGCACCCAGATCAGGAATCTATAACATCATGATATGACTAAGACGAAATATCTTTGCCAAATAAAAAAGAATATTCATTCGATCATTAGATCACTAATACGATTTTTATATATAGGTACACGAACATATATAACTGACTGATTAACTTACGATTTAACAACGTTCGATGATCCTGTATGACCTACAACCCGGTGAAGTAAACATTCTGTTTTCATGCTTGACCAGGCATATTGTAAAACCTGACTTGGCCTTATTAAGCCTCTGATCCAGCGGTCTGGCCTCAAAATCGACTTTGTCTAAAAATTGACTTTGAATTTGGCAAAATCCTAACCTTTGCTTGGTTTTACACAACCTTAGTCAATCATTTTTTTCAGATTTTTTTTTCATGATTTTATAATTTAAAATTAAATTGAAATTTGATAAATAAACTTAATTGTATAATTCTACTGAAAGCAAGAGCCTCTTTTAAGGCTTGAACTTGAAAGGTGATCTGTGAGGTATTTCGAATGTACAACAATTAAACTATTAATTTTTTTAGGCCTATGTACATTTAGACTTTTATATTTATATGATTAAAGGAATGTAACTATGGAATGTTTCTAAATTCTTTTAATAATTATAGTAAAAACATTTTTATTTATATTTAACAAGGAAAAAAATATTTTGATTAAAGGAATGTCCAAAACAACTATGTTTGAAATGTTTCTGAAAATTCATGATAAAAAATTATATTTTTTGGAAAATATGTATTATGCTAAGAAAAATTATGAAATTTTGTTGCCTTGCCTTTATTGTAAAAACTGTGCTGGACCATTTTTATACATAGTAAACTTCAATAAACAAAGAAATTTAAAATAAAAAAAAAAGTACATGATGAAAGATATATCATGCAATTTTCATTCTTCTTATAAAAAATCAAAAGAAAATTGGAGGTAGCCTTTATTGCAGTGAAAAGGCATATAAAAACACAAAATTTGGAAAAAAAGTTATTTTAAAGATTGCTATACTGCTTTAATTTCTAAAATTAATGAATAATTCTTACATTTTGAAATAATTTTCTCTTCATGCTTTATTTTTTTCTTATCGCGCGACGTTCTTATACTTGGAAAAAAAAGGGGTGTTGGTGGGGGGGGGGGGGGGGGTAAAAGACAACTTATGACGAATTTTACTAAAATCATGTAATATATAGAAAAAATAAAATATTTCGTGGGTTGCAGTTAAATGATTCATGGACTGATTTTTTTTAAAAATCAAGTTAAACCATGCATATTTAAGTCCTCAATAAAAAAGTGTGTGTATAAACACTTCGACATGTTCAAGGAGAAAGACTAAAATAGTTTATTTTTGGTTGTAATGTTTGTTTTTTCTAACTCACAAACTGAAAAAAAAACAAAGTAAAATTAATGAATATGTACCAAGAAATTGATACCTCAAAATAAATCATGTTCCGAAGTTGTTTATTGATTAAAAAGAATATTTTTAAAAAACATGTAAATATTTTTAAAGTATTTCAGTTGAAAATTGTAATTGATAAAAATACATGTTCATATACCATATACGTTTTTATCAGTACTGTAACGCTCAGCCTACAATTTCACTGTCCGTTGAAGGAATATTAATGCTTTTAAATTGATATTTTGTTACTTTTCTTTATTTCTGTAAAAAATATATATATTTTTAAACGCGAATACATTGAGAAAAACTATTTGTCTATATAAATTGTCAGATTATAATTCATGAACTTTTCAAAGAAGTTTTAATACAGTGTACTAATAAAATAACAAAATAAATGCACTCAATACAAAGAAGAACAAGCATTCTGAGAGTATTGTATTAACAGAGGATATTCAATGTTTTGTAGTTGAATATGGAATTTATTTCACGAGTGGGACAGGATTTTTGATATTTTCACGAGTGCGAAGCACGAGTGAAAATATCAAAAATTCCTGTCTCACGAGTGAAATAAATTTCATATTCAACAACAAAAGATTCAATTTTCTGTTTATTACATTTTACAAAAAATTCCTTGATTTTTCCTTTGCCTCTGTCTTTTTGTAATACAGTCGTAGGCTCGTGACGTCATAGTTGAGCGGTTGAGACGTCATAGCTAAGTGAGGTAAAACACTGTAAACATGAATTTAGCAACATATTTTTAGTAATTTTGACAGTTTTATTCGCTGTCAGAATGGTTTATTTATTTCAATCTATCTTATATTAGGTCAAAAAAGATTTTGTTACAGCAATCTTCGTTATGGGAAGGGAAATCTCGAGTTTTCCCGCACTTTTGATATTCGTCACACTGTGACAGGATATCATTTTGATATCCTTTCACAGTGTGACAGGATATCATTTTTATTCAATGAATAAATTACAGTATTCAACGGGTAAAAATGTAATAAACATTAATATTCCCCTACCGGAAAGTGATATCTTGATCCCTTTATAAATTGAAAATGCCATAAAATCAATGAAACGAAACAACATTTGCAAACTTCATCTATAACTCATCAAGGGTACTTAAGTCACATACCAAAAATCAGTTAAATCACCTCAATATCTACAAGCGCTTAGAAAAAAAATGCGGAAAATCAAGAGGGGTACACTGATAGACAGCAAGAGGAAACGATGACTGGACAGTCAGCTAGACTGACAGTCGGACGGTCGGACCGACTCTGAGTAAATCCTTAGCACCCCCCCCCCCCACACACACACACACACACACCACCACCACCACTACCACCACCTTCCCCCCGGTTTCAGCGTTAGGGGAAAAATAAGACTACTACTGTAAATTGATCATTATGAGTATTTTACCCTATCTTTGGACTTTCAGTAGGCGTGACTTTCTCGGCGCTACGTAATGGAGAATACTAGTAGATTCTCATTGGTTACGAAATTAATAACATAGGAACTTAAAATTGTTGTTGATAACGATCAGACGACTTATGCCCCACCTCTGTGCCGTTAGAGAACTTTTAATTGGCTATTTACTACACCAGTTGACATTCGGCCGCATTTCTATCATATGTATATTTCAACAGTGAAGAGAAGCTGTGTAAATTTCAGAAGCTAATTAGGTAACATCGAGAATGCCACGTCTTACTGAAAGTCCACACTAAGCGTTTAATTCTTCTACAATAAAGAATGATACGGCAACAATGTAAGTAAAACGTATGCGCTTTCTACGTTTTACTAACATTGTTGCCTTGTCTTTTTTTATTGTAATATTAGTTACCGGACACTGCACATGTGCTATTCCTTTTCATTTCTGGATATATATAAATATATATATTTAAAAAGAACGTGTCCGCCATTATTAATCGGAGTCTCGCTATATCTGAGGACCCTTCTGTAAAGGGCCTGACTAAGTCAGGCACGCAGCATCGATTTTGAAAGGGGGGGGGCAGCCACAAAAAAAATTTTTTTTTACTTACCTGTAAAAGTTGACAAGCAAAAAAAGAAAAAAGGTAAATTGCCCAAAGTCGAAAATCCTATTTCGTGAGGGGGGGGGGGGGGGGCGATAGAGGCAAACTTTTTCACTTCCAATTACTTTCAATATCCATTTTTTAAGCTTACAATACTATATTTCCTTCATATTACTTTACTTTAATATAAAGTGCGGGGGCCAACCAGCCTTTCAATGAACACCCTGGCCCCCCTGTTGCTACGTCCCTGTTAGTCACTGTTCTGTGTAATCAGTAGACACCAGTGTAGACAGACGTATGATGAACAGCACTGTTTAGCGACAAAAATACCTTTAATAATACTTCTAAGTTCTAAGAAAAGAAAGATACCAACGAAAAAATAATTGTACGAGTCAGTGCAGTATACAACAACAGATACACTTACAATCAACGTGCCACTGTGCACGACAAAGTATGTATCAGGTTTACAAAAATTTAAGTTAAACAAAGTTCATAATAAATTTAAATTATTTGATTCTAACGATTGAAATTTACGAGGAAAAAAAATCATATCAAATCAACATATCTCATAGAAACGAAACTCGTTAATTTTTCAATTACATAAATCAGACAAACTATTAAAACGGACTTAGATATGTTTAATTTTTACGCTGCCCGCGTGGTGCAGTGGCTAGAGAGCTTGCCCTAGAGTCACGAAACAAGGGGATGAATCCCACTGTGGGATGTGAAGAAATTTGAAGCTCTCCACCGGCAAGACATGGCGTCTCCACATGAATGAAAAATTCTCGAGAAGATCGTTACGCAGCATTGTTAAGGTTGAAGAAAGGAAGCGGGGCCTAATTTAGACGGGAAAAGCTAACTGTGACGTCACACAAAAATATGACTTTTATGTTTTCCCCATAATGCCAGAAAATGAAATTATTTGCAAATTTATACTTTATTAGCATTATAAACAACAATAAAACTTATCAATGGATTTTAAAAAATTGCTAGTTAAAATCCCATACAGCTGGTTATAAACAAATCACTGATTTCG